ACTGCACCATTATCCGTAAGCAGCTTAATCAGCGGCCCTCTTTCACAAAACACTACTTCCAATTGCTTGATGATGCTAGCAGGGTCTTGGTGGTGCAAGGGCTTCCAAATGGCAAAACGACTGGGGCCGCAGTCTATCAGTGTCAGTTATAGTTGATGTCCGAAATGGGTTAAATCCATTGCAACCCTGTGCCGATTTTCCGCAACATCAAGCCTGCCCGGTTTCCAATGCACTGGGGCCGGGTCGATTGACTGGCATTCCTTGCATCCCCTAACCACTGCTCGCACCTCAGCTTTTGTTACTCTTGGGTCGATCAACTTCACAAAATAGTGTTCTCTTCACACCAGGGTGTCCGCTGGATTGATGAATGGCTTGTACTTGAGCAACATCTCGCTCTTCAGCCACAGCGCATATAGGTTTTCTGGTTTCCGTTATTTTGCGCATTTCATTTAACCATCACTGTGGTACTCTAGTAAGTTGGTCGGCTCGATTGTTGTATGACTTGACAAGCTCTACATCAATATCCAGCTCGTATTCTAAGGCCAACTCTTGGAGTGTGGCTAGCTAACGTCTGATTAGCATCTCGGAGGCTGCCTTGGTCCGGACAGTATGTCAGCTACCCAGCGATGCACACATGCTGAGTGTGTCCGTAAATGAATGGTTTTAGCCTTCCATTGTAATGCAAGGTTGATATTTCGCAACACAGCATCAAGCTCAGCCAAGTTGATGTGCTTGTCTTCATGCACCAGTCAGAGCCAGCTTGCATCTTCTACCATGGCGCCATTGCTCTCCACAACCACACTGGTGGCTAAGGAGCTTGCATCTACCCACACGGTTACATTTTTCTCACTGATACACCAGTCACCTTTCACTGGATTGTCCTGGGCTAGTCTCTTAAAAATGTAGTCTATCATCTGGGCTAGAAAAGGGTCCTGCACTTCATCATCCCATCCAGTGGTAACAGTGTTTGCCCTCCGCTTCTCAAATGCCATGGCGACACATAACCAACCGCATACCAGAAAATGACCAGTCAACTTCCTGCACAGCGAGAAGACAATTCAGCGGGTAAGTTTATTGGAGACTATTGGAAGTTCACATCCACAACGCCATCGCAGTTTTCCTTCCTCCTCCCAGACATGCAATCCCAACACGCGTGTGCCAATTCTTAGCTGCTCCGGGGTCTTACTTGACAGACCAAACTGCTCCAAATGTTCCTTGACACAGACCACAGACCACTCTCATTTACAAAAACATCGTCAATATAAGAGGAAGAGGCTGCATTGACGATCTCATCCTGACTCAAGATGGTATTAACAATGGCCCGCATGATTAGCCCAAATCCTAAGCAGGTTAGACAATACCTTTGTCCCTTAATCTCCACTGTTTGGAATGGCCAAAGAGACTTGTCGATGTGTACCTGCAGATAGGCCCAGCGTAGATCCAGCACTGCAGCATTTGGTCCTTGCTGATGCCATTCCCTTAATTTTTGAGAACAAACATCTGCGTTGGCCACATACGTGTCAACGTACTCATTGAGTTCCCGATAGTCCATAACGGGCTGAACCATCTGTTTGTTTTCCTGCAGAATGGCCATGAGGGGGATCAAGCCCTTTGGGTCTCCGAGCTCCTCCTCTGGGTAAGGAAGCAGCCAGCCGTTATCTATCCACATCTGGAGTTCCCGATCATACTCCTCCCAAATTTGTGCGGGAGCTGGATATTCTGCCAGTCTATTTCTTAACATACCCAGAGGATGGTTGCCAGCCCATTTCCAAGATGCGGTTCACCTCCGAGTGGTCTCATCGTATTCTACTTTAAAGTCGAGCTTGGTAATGGGGATGGCAGCAACAACTGGTTCGACACACTGTGAAAACTTTACCTCACCAGCGCCAGTTACAGATATTCCTCCCAACTGTTTGAAGGCGTCTAGTCCGAGCAGCAAGTCAAATCCAAGCAGGTCTCTGTCCGCGACTAGGACTTCCATAGCGATGGATGGCTTTGCACCAATGCTAACCTGTACCACTCCGATTCCACAGCAGTCAAGTGCATCTCCGTCTACTGTAAGCACGTGTTTTGATTTTCTTGTCTATGCTCGACAGCATGACTTGCGGACTAGTGACTGTGTGCATCCTGTATCCACCAGAGCTGTACGTGGTATTCCATCAATACAAACTGTCACTACATGCCATGCGGCATTTACAAGGGTTTTGGGGAGAAGATTGGCACTGAATTCTCCGCCCCCCCCCGCTCGTTTCCCGGACAACACCGAGCAATGTGCCCCTGCCAATGACATCGATAGCAAGTGATGGTCTGTCTGTGCTTGGTACCAGCACCTCTGGATGGTTCACGACCCAGGAGACAATCGCTCGGCCTATGATTGGGTCCATCACATTTATAGCACCTTGTGTGCACATCTGTTTCCTTCAACTGTGCAGCCACTGTGGCCTGTTCTGTAGAACCAGTGCACTTCTTCAAGATAGTGCGAGCTCATGCAAGCACATGTGACAAATCCAGGTCTTCCATCTAGGATGAAGCTCTTAAAGGCTCCTCTGCATGCTCAGGCAATCTAGCAACGAATGCACACTTTTCTGATACGCCACCAAACAGAACTGCGAGTCTGCGCAGTTCTGCCAAAAAGATGTCGACCGTCTCCCCTGGCTGAAGGCGATGTGCTGCAAACTGCTTACATGTGGAGAAGGGGTCTAAGGCGAAGGCTGTGTATAATGCTTTCTTAACGCAATTGAAGTTTGCACGCTTCTCCTCACTCAATTGCTGGTACACAGCATATGCGCCACCTGACAAACGCAATGGGATAACACACTTGATTCACTTGCTTCACAATGCTCAACTGACATATCAGTTCCGCCTTCTCCAACCATTCCACTACCGACTGTCCAGAATTGCTTCCGTCGAACAGTGGTACAGTGTAACCCATATAAGAGAGTTGTCGGGACCAGAGAAGTCTCTTATATCCGGGTTTCTCTATTTTATATACATTAACACAGGCTCTAATTTGGGACCAGAGAAAATCTCTCTTATATCCGGGTCTCTTATATCCGGGTCTCTTATATCCGGGTCTCTTATATCCGGGTCTCTTATATCCGGGTCTCTTATATCCGGGTCTCTTATATCTGGGTTACACTGTATCAGCTTTGGGTCGAAGGCCATAATGCCAAAATAGCTTGTGAGAAAACTGGAATTAGGGAAAAAAAATACTCCTTGTTGCGAACCTGAAATGAACGCACAACTCTTCCGAGTGAACACTTTACGACAGCAAATGAGCAAACAGCACCCACGACTGCTGCCGACCGACCAAAACGGCTTTTGTCGCCCAAAAGAAACACCAAATGACTCGTGTGTCTTCTTCTTGTAGTCCTCGGTCAAGTCCATTATGGTACTCCAAGGTGTGCCTGGCAAAAACACACACACGCAGTTCGAGGACGCTTCTGTGCATGCTCGTTACATGAATTTCTCCAATGTTCACACTAATGCTGGACCTCTGCTTCTCACCTTCTGTCAATGATATCATCAGTTCTTCCAGATCTTTGTCAGTAATGTATTTTTCATGGCTCTTTTGTGTGTTTGATTTTTTTTTTTTTTTTTTTTTTTTAAATCCTGTCAAAAGCCTTCCCACCAACTTCCTGGCAACCTAGAAAATCTCTCCTACATATCTATTACTCTATAATGTATGGAAGCCCTTGAATTTGTTGACTATCTTACTCCAAAATGGCTTCCAGCAGGCATTGCTTGACTTAGGCTTTAGGGCATCAATAGAATCAGCAATAAGCTCAATTGTAATTGTGAAGCCCTTCCATAAATTCACAATGTAGTAGTCAAGGTTAACATAAAGTGGAGCGCAAATTATGGCAAAAGACATCTTCACAAATTTCAGGAGGCCTTTATAAAGTATTACAATTTTGACTGTTTGGAGGCAGGAACAGCAATTTAACATTTTCATTCTTAGATATAAGGGATTTGTGATAGCAGAAAGCATGTTAATGACCCCCCCCCCTTCTTCTTGACAAATTTTTTCACTTCATATAATGCAGTAGTGGAACTAATTAAATAACAAAATAACTGTGACTTAAGTTTGTTGTATTTCTAGAACACAGGCAGTATATTTTTGTTCTTAATAGCATGAGGATTGTTGCCTTTGTACGCATGCCACATAATACCATTCAACTGATATTTCTAAATCTCAAATTGTATCCTCTGTTTGGCAGCTTTTATGAATGTATGTACAATTCTGCATTCCCTTTCAAAAAAAAGTTTGTTTCATTTCAGTCTCTTTTCTAAGATTAGTTTTTAGGTGTTCTGGGAACTCCAGTGTTACTTCCCCTGTTATTTGGGTTTTAATGTTTTATAAAGCTATAAAACTCTCTCTTACCTGTAATCTCTTTATCACTCTCCTCAACACTACTTGTTTTGAATTTTTTTACACATTTTTTTTTTTTTTTTTTTTTTTTTCAATCAACTTCTGTACCATGTTCTGTAACTGTACACTTAATAATATTGCTCTTTACAACCACTTTATCATTAACTAACACACCATTTTCAACATTCCAACTGAAACACTAACACTTCTGTGAATTTTATATTCCCTTTATCACAGCTGGAGCCATTTCTAGGTTACTTTAACTATTTATATGGTTTTCAACAGATACAACACTTGAAATTTTTGTTGGATACTTAGTTCCACTCTAGCCTTCTTTGACTTTGTTACTGTTCTTAATGCATTTACCACCTTTTATTTATTTACATTCTTATTTATTTTTTTAAAAGACATTTTTTCATGCAAGAAAATTAGGCTTTCTTTAATGCAAGGGCAAAAGCTCAAAAGAAGAAGAGATTAGTTTTCTTCCTTAGGTAATTATGTGATTTCATGTAGAACAAAACATTAAGAACTGTATTAATTGTATTTGTTTTTCAAAGTCTATTCATATTTATTCTAAGAATATTTATTGACATGTAGCTAGATTTAATTTATTATTGTTTTATTTTAGGTCCTTTCACAAGACCTCATCCTGCATTATGGAGGATTGTGTTTGGTAAATATTCTTTTAAAAATCCTGCCAAATGTATTCTATATAAAAATATATATAATTGTTAAGTTTGTACAAATTGTGAAATAAAAAATTTCTTTTTCCATAATTTGTTACATTGTTATTATTCTGATATTTGAAACGGTATGAAAGGAAATTAATTTGATTGAAGTGACCCAGTTTTTCCTATTCTTGTTTGTTAAAGTCTGTTGTAAACAAGTAGAAAAATTTTATTGTCAGTACAAAAGCTTTGAAAAATATTCTATGGACTTAGTTTTTAGATGAATCTTTCAATGAATTCCATTTATTGAAGGTAAAGTAATTATCAAATCAACTTTTAGACAAACTGAAACCTAGAAAAGGCAATAACAAGTAAATCATTACATGTAAAATCAAAAGATAACATTCTAGTTCAAATTTAAATCTTTACCAATATCACATATTTTGCCATTTAAATGATTATGAATATGCCATATTTTTTCAAATTTAGGACTCAGCGTTCTCTACTTCATGTTGCTGGTGTTCCTGCTATTCCAGAACACTCAAGACACACGCAAAATGTTAGGTTGGGTATATCCAGATTTGAAGAATGGAACACCTGATGAAAAGGTAAAAGAATCCAATTGATATAAAATTTTCTTTTTTTTATGATTTTCTTCTTTTTTTTTTTTTTATATATTTGTATATAATTTATAAATCATTTATTTATAAATGTTTCCATGTTCTTGCCTTAACACATGTGCTCCAGTTTATTTGTAAGATTATTTTTCTGCAATAAACTCATAAAAAATGAATTCATTTTTTTCCCTTTATTAAAAAAGATTAAAATTAAAATGTTTGACATTATTTTTCTAAATGTATTCAACTGTCATTTCCAGTATTGCTGAAGATTCTGTTTTTCATTAATGCAATATTAAGTATACTATTTCTTATTTATCTATAATTTAATGATCCATTAAATAGACAACTCTTTCTATTTTTAGGAATATGCAGTGAATTGTTCAGACATCAGTCTAGCTCGGCTGTGGGAACATATTGATTTCTTTGCATTTTCTCATTTCTTTGGTTGGGCACTCAAAGCTCTCCTCATTCGACACTATGGAATTTTGTGGACAATCAGTGTCTTGTGGGAACTCACAGAAGTAGGTTCAATATTTAATACTTTAATAGTTGTGTGTAATTTTACATAAATAATTTTAGCAAGAATTTTCTCTCTTATAACTTATTTGTGTCCTTTTTTATGATACAACATTGTTTTATTGTCCATTTCAAATACGAGTGCAGTAATGCTATTATATAAATATATTTATATTACAATGAATATTACATAATTAATCAAAAGTTTTGAATATTTTATTTTTAAAATAGTGTAAACATTTTCTTGCTGAAAAATAAGTTTATCCTTTTGCTAACTGAACTCATTTCTTAAACTTGATAATACTGATTTAATGTACAAAAAAAAGAAAAAAGAAAAAGGTAAAATAAAGTTGTAATTGCCTTTTGTAAATGTTATCTCGCTTGAATGATATTTCTTTTTTCTTGCCAAATTGTTTCATTTTACTTTCTTTCTTACCAGGCAGCATTTGTGCATCTGTTACCCAACTTTGCTGAGTGCTGGTGGGATGCATGGGTACTTGATGTCTTAATTTGTAATGGCTTCGGCATTTATCTTGGAATGTTAGTGTGTCAGAAGTTGGAAATGAGAAATTACTATTGGGAGAGTATCAAGTGAGCACTTTTATGTTTTTCTTTCTAGCATAATTTAAAAATATTAAATAATTAAATAGTAATTAAACAAACCTTCAGTTTTATTTTTTACCTTGTATATAGTATATATCTACAAACTTGTAAGTGGGAGTCTAGGTAGCATACTGTAATAGTTGTGTGTAAGTTTACAGAAAAATTGTCCATTTGAAACATTTTTTTTTTTTTGCATACATAAAAATTAAACTTAGCAAAAATTATTTTTTTGCTTTGTTTATTAAAGTAAAATTTGTTCTTGCAATTAGATCATGTTTTTCACATTTTGATAAATTATACAAATGTCTAAATTTAAGTCTTTTAACCCTAAATATCGAAAGTTAAGTCCTCCAGCCTTCATTTTTCACTTAGGTTTCATTCATCAGTTTAAAAAAAGGTGTGATTTGCTTTTTATTTTTTTAAAGAAATTAGTTGCTTTGATAATAAATGTACATAATGGAATTTTGATTAAAATTTTTGTATCATCCCAAACAACTAAGGACAATGTTAATTTTGTGTTCTGCTCTCTCTCTCATTTTTATTTATTACATCATACTCTGTTTCTAGGATGAATTGTATCTTTTATTTGTCTCTACTTTTTTTGCCTTTCATTTTTCTTTGGGTTCCACTAACTATTCAATGTCCACAAAATCAACTTTTTACAAGTCTCTGGCTATGCTCACTGTGAATGACATACCTACATTGTCTCTGCTACAAACCTCTCCCTACATTTGCACTTGCATGTCATTGGACTTATTCTGGATTGTTGGATTTCTCCTCTTTTGCCTTCTATTTCTCATTGGTCATGCTAATAATGTTTGGCTATGTCAATGAACTCCTTGTTGAGAGATCACATTCAATTAGGTTCAATGAGGTTAATCCCTTTAGTTAGGCATTTATATACTAATAGTTAAATATACATATTCGTTTGAAAACTTTGTAAAATATGAATATTCTAGAGATATGCTCATCTTCAAGTTTATTTTATTTGCTTTTGTTGTAGCTTTTCAAAAATATAATTTATCTGATTTCTCTTTTCTTTGAGTAGTTTACAATTATCAAATATTTTAATTAATGTTTAATGGTAAAAAGAATTGATTTACAGCCCCTTAGTATTGCTTTACCAGATTCTTTTCATAAATTATTAACCTAATCAACCAATATTTATTACAATTACTGTATTACATTATTTTCATTATTACTTCTAATTATTTTTCACTTTCTATTTAAAAGTTTATTTACTTTTTTGGTTATTTTCATTTACAAATAAATTTAATGTTTTAGATAGATTTATTACCACTTAATCATATTTAGTTTATAAGATGATTTTTCCATATATTTATGTAATGTTCATGCATATTGTTTAACTACACAAAAATCATGCTCACCTCTATTCTTTTACAGAGATATCCATTCCACAACTGGCAAAATCAGAAGAGCAGTTTTGCAGTTTACACCATCCAGGTTTTCAGATGATTTTTTTTTCATAAAATTTTGACCAGTTAGTGTTAACAGGATAATTTAGCCATCAAGATTAGTGATGAATAGTTTTTATTGAATAAAATAGAAAGGAATTTGAAAATAACTTTGCAAAAACTACAATAGATTCTCAATTTAAATTATTGAAATTGATAAAAACAATGTAAGTAATGTAAACATTGCATTTAATTTTAGTGTGAAGATCAAGTAAACAGCTGGAAGTTAATTCCTTCAAGAACTGTATTTAGCATATCTTTCAGTCATAAAGTAAGGAAATATTTCAGCAGATAGTAAAACACTAGTAAGAAAGTAGAAGTTCATATTGAGTATTTGGATAGGTTGGTTAATTATTATTAGATATGGCACCAACCAAATTGTTACATTAAATATGCTGTTAAATGTTTATTAAATATCTTTTTGCTACATAAAAAAAAATATTAGAAAGATGGTTTGATTTATAGCCAGGTATACAAAGTTATGATTTCTTGGCATCATTATTTATTACTTAAATTTACTAAATTGTATAATTGGTTTAAGTCTTTTGTTAAATTTTGAATGTAGAATAGATTTCAAGATAAGTACAGCAGGTTTGATTGTGATTATCACCAAATTTAAATTAATCACTTTAGCAACCCAAATAACAAGTTAGTTGAACAATACACTTTTTTTCCTTTTTAGATATAAAGTGGTTGAAATTACAAGGCACTCCACAAATATAATTTTTAAATTTCAAATATTAATGAAAGGTGTTTTGTCATATATGGAAAAAATAAAAATAAAAAGTTAGTAAATTTTTAATATATTTTTAGCTACCTCCATATATAAAAATCATGAAAGCTCACATGTCCCAACTATGTAATCCATATTATAAAAGACCTATTTCTCCGTCACACACACACACTGTCTATATGTGTATATGTAATGTTGTTTGTTGTGTGTGAGTGACTTAATGTACTTGTACCATTTAATGTATGCACATACAAACATAATTACACTCTGGAATAATGCATTCCCTTCCCACTAGGTCTGGACAACCCCTACTCTAGGCTGAGCAATAAAAACAAAGTTGGAGGAAAAGGAAAGCTGGCCCTCTGTGGTCAGTTTTATGACTCCTATATTTAAAGTAGATATATTTGTTAATGAACAATATTTATATGTATTTTAAATGGACAAATAGTTTAGATTTGAAATTTTGTCTTACTGACAGTGAAGCAACAGATACTGAAGTAATGTCCCTTCCATGTTTAATTTGAAAAATATTTTTATGTTTTAATACTTATTTTCCACATTTTTTTTCAAAATTTGCAAATTTGCACTTAGCTAAACATTGATTTTAAAATTGAATTCCATGTCCATTTTTTTTTTAATGCATAACAAAGTGAGTTACACACACTTTGACCAATATTTGAAATTTGTAAGATGATTGGCAATTATTTCCACCATTTTATAGGTTAAGATTTCAGATCATTTGTGATCTCATATTTAGAAAAATTACCAGCTGCATTGTTAAAAATCTTCCTGTTGTATCATCCTTTTCTCTGATTTTATAATGCATATTAATTGCACAAAAAATTTTCTCAAATCAATTTACTGTTTTGTAGCTGGACCCATGTGAGGTGGCTTGATCCCAACTCCTCCTACATGAGGGTGCTAGCTGTCGGTATTCTGGTTATGATATGGCAGGTAAGAAAAAATTTTAAAGACTGGGTGTTTCTCCAAAAGTAATGGTTCCTATTTTATTATATTGGCCCATAATGTCACAGGCAAATGTTAATTGTATGACAGATGTTGAAATTTCTTGCTAATCACTCCTTTTTACCTTCCTTTTAGATAGGAATCTGGCAAAATGGCATCTGACATGAAAAGTGTCGTTAAAGCAGAATTGTATATACTCATGTATATGCCAACTTATGTATAGTACAGCCTCTGAAGTTTTTGGCATGAATTTTAACCCCCCCCGAAGACATTTACCAGTGTATAATGCAACCTCTTCAAAAAAAAAAAATTATCTGTATAGTGTAACCGCCCCTATTTTTGTGTAAAGAACTGATCATAAAAGCTCACACTAGAGTATATATGGTAATTAAATTCCTCTATGCAGAAGAAAATTGCACTCATTGGCATTCATCAATGCTTGCTGAACATGTATGGAGACTGGCCAGTGGGTAATATATTTTGGTAATAGTACTAGTATTGTGTGTATGTGCACAACTGTGAACCCACAACTCTTGAAAATGTAAAACCAATGATGTTGACTGGAAAAATAAAATTATTGTGCTTTCTGTACCTGTTTTAGTTTTTGTGTAAATAAACAGAAGGCATTACTTTCAAAACAATTCTGTAAATATTATTACATGACTGCTAAATCAAATAATCATTATATTTGAATGTGAATAGAAGGCTAACAATATAATTCATAAATGTTTTTTGGAATTAGCAACCTCATTTCAAATTTAAAACCACCTTTTTATAATGTAATTAATCAAATTTCTCAAATTGATTTTTAAAATTTGAATGAATGAGAAAAGAGCATCAAATAATATTAAAATAAAATTAGAAGAATTTGAATAGTATTAAAATTTAAAATCACAGTATTTTATGAAATTTTAAAGATTATTTTTTTTTATAATGAAGTTATTAATCTTTCATTATACATTTTTATTAGATTCAGTTTCTACATTTATTCACTTTGAAAATGAAATTTAGAGATATTTTCAGAAGGTATAATTTTAGAAATAAAAGGACAAGTTCTGTAGATATGTTTGTTAATATCAGAAATGGGTTATGAGAAATTAAATTTCTATGACAATAATAAATCCAAAGGCTGTTTATCAAAAATTGCAAAGAATATTGAAATATTTGAAAAATGTCTCTTCTTTAAAAATGATAAGTAGAAAATATACAGATCAAAAGTTTAAGTTACATTTGTTGTCCAATGTTCTTGTGAGCACCATTTTAGACCAAGTATGAAAAGAAATGAATTTGATATAAACTATATCCAAATGTAGTCTGTTAAAGGGATTTTAAACTTGGTTTGCATGTATTTGTTACAAAACAATTTTAGTGCATCATCTCATCAAATACATTTTCTCATGAAAAATTTCTTGCTTATCTTTTATATTGTCATTCAAAGAGTAAAAATATATTACATCAATTCATTAATAGTATAGTTGATGTGCTGATTGCCTATACATTTTAATGCTTTATTTAATGATATAGACAAGTTTTGTTGTTCATACTTACAACTTTAAACAATCCGAAGAAAAAAAAACATGAAAGCCTTTTATGAATTTAATTTTATGCTTACAATTTTGCAAGCTTTACTTTTTCAGATATTTGAATAACTAAATTTTGTCTTTGAAATCCCTAATCTCATATATGTATGATATTCTAACACTTTCGCCCCAGCCCCTCAACCTCCGATGTCTTACTCTCTGGGTTGAGGTGTCTACTCGGTCCTAACCAAACTTAAGGGAGTGGCTGTAGGTCCCCTGTAGATTTTTCTACCGGTCCACTGGTTTAATCCTGCTTCCTGCCTATGTTGTGTTTGGTTTGAACCAGAAAGCAGAAGTGATGTTCATCCATTCACGAATTGACTGAAGATGTAGACATGGCTGGAGAGTCTGCGCTAAGAAATTTAGAATACAGAAAAAAAAAAAATAATTTCTGCAGAAAGCCAGACAAACAACTATTCAATGATTGAATTGTTAATGTCTCTTATGTAGCAGAACAGAATAGTATAGAAAAGAAACTGGTTACAGAAAAGAAAAGTAATTGATGTAAAAACACATACACTGGATTCTGGACAGAGAGAGACGGTGTTATGATTAACTTGTTGTTAAATCATCTCAGAACAATATGTGACTCTTGAGATGGGGGAATAAGATTTCTGTGCATGGCTTAAAATTTATAGTGGCGTTCCTCCTTAGCAGTAGTAGTAATATTCGTGGTAGCAGAAGCAGCGGTACTTATATCAACAGCATATGCTAGCAGACGCTTCGTTCCAATCTCTGACGTCACGTTCTCTCCTTCTTGAGTCTCCAACTTGACTCTCCACTGTATCTAGCCCAACTCTTGCCTGGTCTAATTCTCTTCCGTCTGCCTCTTTTTCAGCATAATTACGTGTTTATATAGAAAAATCCGGCTAATTACAACTGAATCTTGGCCCTACTACTTCACATTCGATTATCATGGGGTTGTCTGTTTCAACCAAAATCATGTTAATTCTAAAGGTCCCCCTTGCTTACTCAGCTCTATTCCAAGTTTTAATCAATAAAAATTATTTCATCCATTTTCATTGTCTGCTGATGACCCAGATTCAATGGGTACAACTTCTGCCCTAGATCAGGTTTCACCATCAGTAAACAAAAATGCTCTGAACTAATTTTGCTGTTCAAATCCACTCCAATTTCACTAAAAAAAAAAAAATATATATACGTGTGTGTGTGTGTGTTTCCCAGACTCTCTCTCTCTCTCTCTCTCTCTCTCTCTCTCTCACAGATATACATTTTCTAGAAATCAAAGTATCTGTATTTCTGTTTTCTTTTGTTTTAGGTTGCAGAATTGAATTTATTTTTCATTAAGCATATATTTATGATTACTCCTGCACATCCTGTCAATGTAATCCGAGCCATGCTTATTGCTCTTGTATCAGCACCTTCAATCAGGTAAATATTTATTACCAAAACAATCATGCTTTTTTTTTTTTATTTTTAGGCTTCCTAACATTGAAATTTTTAACAATGATGATTGAAGTTTTTTCTTTGTCTTCAACTTCTTTTTTTATTTGTTATTGTTTACTTTCATTTCAACTCTAAAAATGATTTTTGTACTTTGTGTGTGCATATACATGCAAAATTTTAACAAAAATAATAATCTTTCTTTATTCTTTCAATTTCCCTTTTTAATTCATTTTTGCTCACATTACTAAGGTTAGCAATGAGATCAAACATTTGGTTATAATCAGTAAACATTGTTAAGAGAATTGTGACTTAATTTTTCAGTAAAATTGTATTAGCATTAGGAAAATTATTCTTGATTTCTCTGTATCCTGTTGTAGTTTAGTGAGATACAACATGAACAAAATAACTTTGGATAAAGTCCCAGGATTGTTATAACATCAATGCAAAATACACTATTTGGCAATTACAATTTCTTTTGTCAGATCTGCATTACCTTTTTATTCTATTATGAAGTTTTGTGGGAAGCTGATTTGACTTTTCTGATCATTCCTTACTATTTTTCTTAACAGCTGATGTTAATTGTAACATAAAAGAGAAAAAGAAAATATGAGAAATAGTGTAAAATAAAAGCATTCTTGCGACATAAGTACAGTATTGTGTTTCATAATAACTGAGTACATAACTATTTCATTAATATAACTTAGTTTTGTGTATCAATGTAAAATTGTACTTAGAAACTCCAAATTTTTGCTTCATTGACAGGCAATATTACATGTACGTCACTGACACCCAGTGTAAGAGGGTTGGCACGCAGTGCTGGGTATTCTGGTAATTATGGTTTATATAATACACTATTTTGTGTGTGTGTGTATGTAATATATATATATATATATATATATATATAATATTTTTTTCTACATATGTGTGAAAGCATATGTAATACTCTGCCCTTGTCAGCCAACAACCAGGGAAGGTAACACAGTTTTGGTGGCTAAGGTGGTACTGCCATCCCTAGTGCCAGCAGCAGCTTTTTGCCACTGGACAGGATATTGTTTGTGTCTTTTTTGTAGATGTGTCAGTCTCTTGCAATTTATTTATATTTTAATTTTTTTTTTCTCAACTGAAAGTCAGATTATCAACATTGTTTTTCTGCACCTCGTAATATGAATTCTGTGGAAAGAAATGGTGAAATCACCCCCCCCCCAAATCATAATGCCGACTTCGAGGGCTTGCCACTTGGTGGTGTACTTATAAACAGTGAACTGTATAAATGCCACTCTGAAATATTTCATTATTCACCAAATAAGAAAATTCAAAAATTAAAGGGACCTTTGAATTAGCTCATGAGGAATTGATCCATATGCATTTGCGAGATCAAGTTAAATTACATGAAGCTTATCACCCCAAGCAAGGCGAGTGTGCCATTTTAACGCAAGGGTTTACAGAAAGTGGAAGCAAGAGTAAAAGTCACCAAACACAAATATATGAGTAAATGAATGAAGAGAAATAACAAATGATCAAAAAAGTAAACCTAAACCTGCTCTCAAAAAAAAAAAAAAAATCACCTAATGTTGGTAGTGAAAATGAGAAGGTCTAAAGTAGAAGTAGCAGACAGTCATCTTATGAAACAAGCAGAAACGAGCTGGCACAGCCTGCAACATGATGTGGTCTCAGGGTTAAGTTAGTGTTAAGATTCGAAGACAAACATATAATGGAGACTGGCGTGATATTTGTGTTAACCACATGGCTACTTAGAAGAAAGTAAACCAAGGAATATGTATGTCTCATCTGTTAACTAGCGATCATATCGTTCATTTTGAATGAGTCAACGAGAAAAGAAAAAAAATTTCAAAGAATTTATCCAAACTTTTCAAAAGAACAGTGAGTTTAGCTGATAGTATTGAGTTCCAAATCATGTGAATGCTCACAGCCAGGGAAGCCAGGTATCCCAGCCTCCTGGACAGCTGTGTTTATGTAATGGTTACCTAGCGGGAAGTCTGTCATACAACGGGCAAGGACTCAAAAAAATATTTTTCCTATACATTCAAGAGAGAGATGGGGCAGAAATTTGCAATGCCTTTTGCATTCTTTTCCTTGGGTATCTACCAGGCACCATTCTTGTGGTACAATACCTTGTTTCCATTCCCATTGGAGGAGGATGGTGAGTTGCTTGAGGACGTTTGGACAATTCTTATATAACTTGTAGGATTTTCCATTTATCCCAGAATAATCACCAAGCATGTGTTTAATTGAAATATATATATATATATATATATATATATATATATATATATATATATATATATATTATATTTTTCAATTAAAAATGTAATTATAAATTCATGAATCATTCATACAAAAAACAAATATAGAGGTTAACTTCTATATTTGTTTTTTGTATGAATGATTCATGAATTTATAAAATATATATAAACGGCAAAATCCAAAATTACCCCAACATGAGTATAATCTATTTGAAGCTGGTCTGTAGCAAGCCATATTCAGCTCTTAAGTGTTTGTCTGGAAGTGGGGATTTGAATTTATTTATGGCTAGGGCCTTTCATTGTCTGTAACTAAATTTCGGTTCCTACTATGGGATGGTCCGTATGCTAGCTAGTATTTTCCTGGGATTTACAATAAATAGCACTTAGATCATGAGGGTTGAATGTTATTAATAAGTTAAGTGGGGATTTAATCTTAAGACGGATTAAATTTATTTGTTTTTTATTATCCCAATTTTCTCCTCCAAAAATAGCATGCACCTATCTCTAGAACTATTGGGGGTGTTCGCAAAACCTCAAATTTTCCAACTTATTTGTGGATTCAGATCCTTTTCCTTCAATTCCCAAAATATTTTTGAAAGGGCTGTTTGATGTTTTAATTTTGAATTGTTAAATGATTGTGTGTGTGTGTGTTGATTCTCTGTTTAAATTCTCCTCCAGAGATGCCTATGTAAATATTATAATTTATCATATTTTCTTTAGAGGTAATGGTTGTCTGGTATATTACTCTAGTGGTTCTGCATTTGCCCTTTACTGGGCAGTTTTTTCTTAATTCTACAACTACAAGGGGTTTCCATGCTAGATTTAGTTTTTTTCCCATGGAATTTACTTAAGATGTAGTTGTTATGAGAATTAATCATTTGATACATATTGCTAGTGCAGGAGTAGCAAATTTTTATTGATTTCCTGTTGAATATCTTATTTAGAGGATTTTTTTTTTTTTTTGTGGAAGAGTTTAATTAATTTTAGGAAGTATTGTCTGCTGTTGATAACGTGAAAGTTTGCAGAAGGTGGGGTGGGGGTTTGAACGAAGTAATTTTTCTTTTCCTATTTTTACACTTAAATCCCACTTTTTCTGTGTCATTATGACCTATAGGGGTTGTGTGAGACAGCTTATTTTTGGAACAACTCTTTTGGAAGGCCTTTTCATATAGTTCTTTATTTTTATTAAAGATTTTTTGATTGGACAATAGTTTACTAATTCTGATGAAAACAGTAGTGGATATTTGTCTTAGGATTGCATTGGGGTGGTTAGAACTGATATTAATGTAGTTTGGGGTTTTGTTTTCTTTATGATAGGGTTTAAAAGTTTTATCATTAAAGTTAAGGGTTATGTCTATATAGTCAACTATTTTAAGGTTAGAGGAAATCTCAGTCTTAAACCCTAGTAATTTGAAGGCCCTAAAGATTTTTACGATTCTGCTAAGTACATCTAAAATATAAAAACATACTAGATCAGCAACCTGGGCTGAGTCATATGCCCACATGGGTACATCAAATTTGTTCTTGTGGCACTTAGTCCAGGTGGAGTTATTCAGTGTTAGTGATTTTCTTGCTTTTAAAATGATATTAGTTTCATCATCGGTTATTTCTATATAGTTCTTTGTGAAGTTGATACTATTAACTAAGAGGTCTTTAGTGATCACTTATGTCAAACTTAATGAATGTCACTTTATCCTTCATGTTGGTGAACCATTTAATAATATCTGATGAACCCTTCCAAAGGTTAGCACTTTTCGAATTTCTATGGAAAGGACCTCAAGATATTATATTATAATATGTAATTTAATTTTGGCTTCTGTTATATTTTTTTTTTTTTTCACTATATTTGCTTTATTTTCAGTGCAATTACTTTAACTGAAGCCATTGTATGTATCAAGTTTGGAATGGACCTTTTTAAGAATGCTGAAATGGGATGGATTGTATTCTGGTTCGGTGTTCAGGTAAAATATTTTTTTTATTGATCAGAAAATATCAGCTTTGCAAAAGTTGATAAAGGCGTTGGTTAGATCCAGTGACAGGACCCAAAGAGTGTGAGTTCAATACCCGGTTAAGGCAGTGGAGAACTTTCAGAGGGAAATTAACAGGAGATAACTGATAACTGATATCCATCAAACATGGCACTTGGAGATGGAGCAGTCTACCCCAGTGAGCGAAATAAAGGGTTCAGTTCGACATTCCAACCACCTGAAGAAGGCCAGAGTATACAACGGCCGAAATGTTGTGATAAATATGGCGACAAAGATGAGGACAATAGTCCGAATAATGTAAATGTACATAATACCTCATCTCAGAAATATAGACAGACTCTGATAGAGATATATATATATATATATATATATATATGCATACTACGAAATCTCCACAAATGTTCTTAAATGCCTATAATTGATAACAGAGCCATTGGTTTTTACTAAAACTTCTCGTTTTCACTCTCGCATGGTCATGTGTGACATCATGAGCTGTGACATGATTTTCGCTTCCGCGTCTTGTATACACGAGTTAGTCGTTGCTTTGAAATTTTTCATGCAACAAAAACAGACTATCATTATTGTTTCGTCTGTGTATTGGTTGATATATTGAAAAGTAATTGTCATCTTTGATAATGGCTTATGTAAGTCGAAAGCTTAGATTGGATTTAAACATGTATCAGTATGGTGATTTTCTTTCGTCTTTCAATGATAATGTTATTAAGTTTAGACAATATGAAAGGAACTTACTTAAAATAGACAAAACTTGTCTATATTATTTAATGAAAAATTGCTGCCTAAATATATATATATATATATATATATAGAGAGAGAGAGAGAGTGTTCTCATGTTTCAGAAACAAGAGCCAAAAACTTCAACATTGTAAAGATTAGCAAAAGAATCCTAGAAAGAATTACTAGGCAAATTAAAATCCACCTTGGATTAACATTCTGGATTAATACCAAAGAAGTCATCAATTGGTTTACCAGTATCAACAATAAGCCTGATTGCACCCTAATACAGTTCGATATTGTGGATTATTATCAGTGAATATCAAGAGATCTATTCACGACTGCCCTGGAGTTTGCTACTGTATATTCAGACCTAACAAAAGAAGAAATGAATATAATTCTTAGTGCAAAAAATCTGTCCTCATTCATGATGGGGGCCAATGGATTAAAAACACTGATGAACATTTTGACATTACCATGGGATCTTTAGATTCTGCAGTCTTCTGACCTTGTTGGTCTATTTATACTATACAACCTAACTGCGCACCGTGAATTAGACATTCAGGACATCGGGCTATACAGGGATGACGGGCTCATGGTAGTGAGGAGTTCTACTACAAATTTTAAAATAGATAAAATTAGAAAGATAATATATAGTGAATTCAGAAAACTAAATTTAAAAACTACAGTCAATACTAAATTGAAAAGGGCAAACTTCCTCGACATAACTCTGGACTTAATGAGCAACATATACCTACCTTACAGAAAACCTAACACTAACCCCTTGTATGTAAACCCTAAGTCAAAACACCCTCCATCTACAATTAAGCATATACCCTTATCAATAGAGAAAAGAATCAGCATGAACTCCGCTAATGAAGAAATATTCCAACAACACAGTAATTTTTTATAACACAGCTCTAAAAAATAGTGGATACAAAACACTTTCCTACTAATAACAGACTTAATTATAATAAAAAATAGTAAATTAAGTTACAGAAGAAAAAATCAGGAAAATCATAAAATCATTTGGTATAATCCTCCGTTCAACCAAATGGTTAATAATTAGACAAAAAATGAAAATTGTGTTGGAAAATATATGCTGCCTAAAATTTGTGGTATACCAATGCACCATCTCCTCCATTGTGACACTGAAATGACATATATATAGGTTCCATGAAAAATGAATTTAAAATTAGATGGAGACAACACAAAAACTCCTTCAATAATATTAGAAATAGAAATCAGACATCCCTATCCAAATTTTTTTGGCATTTAAAAGAAATGAATAAAACACCAAAAGTAAAATGGAAAATAATAAATAGAACAAGAACTTGTAAAACCTGGGATGACCCATGCTCTTTATGCCTACATGAAAAAACTACACATTAAGTTTCTAAAAAATGAAAATTCATTAAACCATAGACATGAGTTAATGGTTTTTTGCCGACATCAACAAATTTTTGCATTAAATAATTAGGTTAAAAAAAAAAATTTAAAATTTCATAATCTAATAAAAGATTTAAAAGCTTAACCCAATAATAAGATAAAAAACCCTTTATGAAGTCATCAAGAAAACAAATTGTAGTTCAATATGATGCATTTATATACAAACAACCATTTTAGAAAAAAAAAAATCTTTATACATTTAACGGTGTAACAATAATGCCAACAACTCTCTGTCGCTGAAACAGACTAGATGATATGCGTATAGCGAATGTCATCATTCGCTTTAAAATAGACACCCTGACTTGACCTCTTTCCGATAATAACTAATATGTTGATACAAATTGTTAACCCTTACGCCCCTTATTGAAATAATTGCTTCAGGCATTTCCATAGTAATTAATTTTATGAATGAATATGCTTATAAAGATGCATAAATTTAAAGATTAGTTATTCCAAAAATTTTGCTTGAGGATGAAACAGAGCTTGATACTTTAATTCAATTTAATTTTAATAATTATATTGAAGTTTTTGGCTCTTGTTTTTGAAACAGGAGAACACTTATGTAGCAAAGGAATCATATTTTTAAAAATAATTATATATATATATATATATATATATATATATATATATATATATATATATATATATATATATATATATATATATATATATATATATATATAATATAAATTTTTTTTATATATATATATATATATATATATATATATATATATATAAAAAAAAAAAAAAGATGAAGATAAACGAAAATTACGTAACTGTAGTAATCCTCATAAGTGTCTTCTTAATAATAAATGTTGGACTGAATCATTAGTATACCAATGCAATATCTCATCTGTTGGGGATCCAGACAACGTAAAAGTCTACATTGGATGCACAAGACATGAATTAAAAAAAAACGGTTCAACCACCATCAAAGTTCTTTTAGAATAAATAAATACCAAAATCTGACGTCCATATTGAAATATTTCTGGCACTTAAAAGAAAAAATAAAACACCTACTGTGAAATGGAAATTAATAAGAAAAACTAGAATATGTAGGTCATTAAATGACCCATGTCCTTTGTGCATACATGAGAAATTATATATTATTAGGTTTATAAAAAATAAAAATATACTTAAACAAATGAAATAGCTATTCTTTGCCAACATTATCAAAAATTTGCCTTAAGTAATGTTTAAATAAAAAAACAAAAAACTGATAAATGAAATATACATATTTATATTTTATATTTAAATAATTGTTAAATAATTTAAGTAATTCTATTACATTTATTTGTTTTAAAAGATGTATAGTCTATTAGTAATTAAAATTAAGAATAATATTTTAAAATTGTAGTTCAATACGTATTCATATACAAACAACCCTTTTAGAAAAATTTTTTATATATACAAGTACAAATTTAAGAGCAAAACAAAAGTACCGAAAAACTTTTTGTTGTTGAAAAAGACCAGATGATGTGTTGAACGGATGTCATCATTTGTTTGAAAAGGCACCCCTACCCTATCTTGACTTAACCTCTTTTCGAAAGTAACTCATAATTTTTGATACAATAGTTGTAAGTGATAAAGAATACCCTACTGCCCCTTGTTAAAATGATTGGATTTCCCCATATCCATAAAAACTAATATTATGAATTTTAAAATAAGTTATTCCAAAATGTGCTTGAAAATGAAACAGAATTATGGACTTTAATTTAATTCTATAATTGAATTTGAAGTTTTTAGCTTCTGTTTTTGAAACATGGTAATTCCTGTGTAGTGATGGAACCATATTTTTTTAAATAAGTAAATTTATAATTATATGTAATATGGAGTTGGTGTTGCTTCTTTGGATTGAGAATTTTCTCACATTTACATTCATACTATGTTGTAAATAATAATAGAACACAAGCTAAAATTAATTGGATTAAAACTGACTGCTTGTGGCTCTTTCAAATCTGATGAAAAATAATTACTGAAAAGTCTAAATAAATAAGGATTAAATAAAAAATTTTTTTAGTCTTAATGAGTTGATAGTATTTCTATTATTTTAGTTCCTTTTTATAATGGTATATTCTTTTTATCTTTCAAGAAATCTGTATTAAAATGCTATTGTTTTATATTTTTAAAGAAACAAAATAACTGCTATGTATATAAATTTGGAAATATTAAAATGAAAATCAGAAAAATAACTTACAAAATATTATCCTAGCTCAAATTTTTATTTTTTGCAGCTTCTGGGAAGTCTTGCTTGTGTCTATTTATGTGCACTCTTTGCAAAAAGGAATGAGGTTTGTAAATAACTTTTCATTATTGTTTGCAAAACCTACTTTCATACTAATTGAGTTAACATTTGTAATAAATTTTAAATATTTTATGCTAAATGTTGTTTAGCTATATAATTTAAAATTTCAATTTAATTTCTACAATGTTGACTTATGCTTAAAATTTTAACAAATATGTCAGTTTGCATAAAATGATTTTTACAAAATTCATTTTTCATCTTCAAATCTGACGTTCAAATCATTTCAAGATCAGATGCTATCATTACTTTGTCCTGAACCAAATTATAGACAAGTACATTCATTCATCTGAAACATTTTCAATAAAATTCATATAGAAGCAAAATATTCAAAAGCACTTTTTATATTCTTGTTAAATTTTTTATTTAAAATTAGTTTTCAAAAGTTTTGAACAACAAATTCATGGACTCTATAAATGACAACTTTTCTATAAAACAATTGCCTATTAATTGTTTCTGCTAGTTCTAGTAATTATTTCAGTTTATTTAGGCTAAACATTTTGTACATGTAATTACTTTATTTTCTTAAACTTTTTGTCTAGCATAAAATGGATGCAGATGGTGATGGTATGGATAGTGACAGTGCATCTCGAGTTACACCTATCCACCAGCAGTACTTTGTGCAACATCGATCATGCTGTACTCCAGAGAAGACTCCCAGCAGTAGTAATAGCAGTCCTGATACAGAATTTAGTAGTTCTCCAATACTTCGACAAAGAGCAAAGGAATCGTTGACAAATGGAGCTCTCTGACAAATCCATCCTTTATCATCTTTCTCACCCAGTTTTCAACTGCTTTGCCCAACTCTCACTTTAGTTACCCAATTCTTGTGGCAGTTCTGCCGTACCACCTGACTCTGTGATTACAAAACTGATTAACAACATATGGCACTGTTGGACAAAGACTGTAGCAGGAATCAGCTGGTATTCATTCAATGCAACTTTATGGTTAGCCTCAATAAATATTTACTGTGGATTTTTAAAATTCTGTTCACATTTTTTCTGCTCCACTTGTTCCTGCTCAGCAGATTTGTCTCTTGAGATATTTAGCCACTCAACTTATATTAGTATGTCATTTTCTACTTACCTTGAATTCCCTTTAATGTTGTTATTCTAGATTTTATCTGCAAATCAACAGGGTATTCCAAGTGCACACTTTATTGAAATACTTATAGACAAAAGTATACTATTTTATTATTAATCAAACTAATGATTTTACTTTATATTAAGAGCAATAATAAGTTATTGCAAAAGTGCCCATTGAGTTAATTTTAAGTAAACAAGAATGTATTCTTTTTATTTTATTTTTTCTTCTAACTTTTTGGGGCAGTTCGCTTGACTAGAAGTCAAAATCGATACAAAATGTATTTTAACTGATATTTTTTGCTTTTTGTTTTTTTTTTTTTTTTTGTTTGGTTTTATACCATTTTTTCCTCTCTAATTGCAAGGTCATGGTCCACTGTGTGAGGTAAATCTGTCCTCCCACCATCACTATTTGGACCATGTTTCATTTTTTCTGTGTTATGTCTCCCATTCTCAGTTTCATTATCTTTTTTATTTTTTTAAATTTTTTTTGCTTCTTTCCAACATTGAATTCTCCTGTAGTTGTATGAACATCCATAGTCTGTGGATCATGGTCATGGCAAAAGCTTTCAGTTCTACTTTGGTTAGTTCTCCTACATTTCCCTCTGTTGCCATGACCCTACTCCAATGATTACTGTGATATGGATAACAATATTTGCATAATACTCAGTACTTTCCTACACTTGTACACTTCATCATGCTTGTCCATTGTCATCTACTTGAAGGCCTTCCTATGTTTGCTATTTTAATTAAACAGTATTGAAACTATTTGGGTGTCTTCCATCTTTTGGGACTTTATAGCCAGCAGGAAAAGTCACTTTATAATAGCTTCAGCAAATTATTTGAAAATAATGAAATTATTTAGTAAATTTAAAGACACATTTGAAAGCAAGCACTTTTCCAGAATAAATTTTTATTTCAATTGATTTTATATTCAAATGATTACATTAAATTTTATTTTTCATTATATTTTTCTGTGCTATCTCTCTACTAGAAATAAAATTTACTTTTACTAGTAACAAAGTTGTAACTGCTTCAAATCATTTCACATCTTTTAACAAATTTCCTCCCCCCACTTACTACTTTCTGTATGAAGATTTTGGAAAATTGTATTTTGATACGTTAAATTGATTTTATTTGTTTTTTTTTTCCTCCACATTTTTGATTATTAATGTGAAACGGGCTTAAGGATTAAAATAAGTATCACCTAGTTGTATTCACTCCTTTCTTCTCTTCCTCCTCTACTTTTAAAATTTTTTTTTATATTGTTGCTGTTTTTTTTTTTTATTGTTTAATTCTTTTTTCAATTATTGATTTCAGTAGAATTTTTATAAGTGAAAATTAACCAAAACTTTATCAAATGATAACCATGTTTAGTGCTAGCCACCCATATGACCTTAGACTTTCTTTTTTTTGTTTATTAGAATGTTCATTATTTACCTGTATTTACTGTCTATAATTTTTGTAACTATTATGAGTAGGTTTTAATTTAAATGAGAAAAAGAAACCCTCCTTTTTAATAACTATGATGCCATTAAATTTTGCTGTGTTTTTTTATTAACTATTTCTAAATATTCTTTTGTCTATGCAGAGACTTTGTTATTTATTAATGTTAAAACTTTCCTCCTAAGTTTGACTGAAATTGTAAACTTGTGCTATTTCTGCCCAATTTTTAATTTACAAAACTTTTAAATAATGGATGATAACTATCTAGATATTTTGTCACTGTTACTTCTGTTCATAAGTTTTTTTTTTGTTTTTTTTTTTTTTTGTAATTTTGTTTCATAACACCATTTTAGTTCTTTATACACACAGTGTAACATTTTTGGCAAATTCTTCTAAAATTTGAGCTTCTACTACCTCAATATCAAATTATTGGCTGTTCACATTATCTTAAGAGAAGTTACATTTTAATTTACTTAAAGCATTTTCTTAAGATATTTCTCCTTTATATATTTTTTTTTTTTTTTTTTAAATTCAAATGATTTTTCTTTTACAAAAAATGTCAAAGTAAATATGTGACTAAGTGGAAAGCCAAAAAATTCACAAATCTACAAGCAATATGTAATGTGAACTTTAATGTTAGTTCTAGCAACTGAACTTCTTAAACTACAGAAGTTTGATAGCAACTAATTTGATGAGCTCTCTTTTCCATAGTGTGTTGTTTAGCACAGAAGCTGAGTATTATTGTCTGTGTTAAAATTTAATTTCACTTGATTTACTTAAAATACTATATATTTGTCATGTAAATTAAAAAATTTAACATTAACTTGATATTCATATGTTACTAAAGCGCAATATTAGAGGCTTTAATTGTAAAAATAAACTGTTTAATATTTTTGTCTCAATAATCAATGAGAGGATGCTGAAAAAATAATTCTAATGTTTGATCAAATGTGTCAGGTCAAGAATTTTTCAGCAATTTCTCCTAATTTAAGATCAGGCAAATAGAGTTTGATTATTCCTTCATAATTTTTTTTTAAATTAAAACTTTAAATTTTGATTTTAAAAAGGACAAAGGTAATGATCAGGCAGATGTTCACTGTAATAATCTCAGTTATATATATCTAAATAACTTTCATGTTTTAATTATTTAAACAATTACTGTTGGTTTAAAGATATTAGTAAAGTTCATGCTAATTATCAGTATGAGCATATATTTTGCCTTTCATTAGGACTGTTTAGAAAAAAGATTTTTCAATTTTAAAAATATAATATGTAGTTTTGTCATTACATTCTTATTTCTAATTTTAAAGCTTTTCATTATAAATTGTAAGATGAATATTTAGCAATCAATAAATATTCAGTTCTTTTATTTGCATATTTTCACATAGGAATAATGAAAAAGTAAAATAGAATATTTATTGTAATTAATTTGCAAAAGATAGAATCTGCTTTGTTCATTATTAGAGTCAAATGGTATTGTAACATTTTTTATTACTTCATACTTCTAGAACCAGTTATTTGTATGCTGTTTAGTATAAATATTTTGGAAAAGTTCTTACTCATGTTTACTTATTAAATCTTTTTGTTTTAGCTTTGATTTCTTATAAACAGTTGGAATTGAACTTTCAGAAAATTAATTTTGCATTTTATTACTATACAACTTTTTTTTACTAATATAGATATAAAATTCAACTTACTTATATGGCTATTTAAATTAATAACCAATTTTTTTTATAGTAATGCTTTTGCCATTATATAGCTACACAAGTAGAGTGAAATTTTAGTGAAGGATGTTTAGATTTGACATATTTACATCCTTAAATAAAATTCATTAATTTTTTTTTTTTTTTTTTTTTTTTGTAGCTTTTCTTGCATTTATTACTAAAATTTAATGATAGCTATAGTAGGAGAAAGATTAAGCTGTCTAGTATTTATAAAATACTATAGAATAATAGTTACTTGAGGAAATGATAGACTTGTGCTATAGTGTTGTACACTAGTTGTACTCCAAAATAATTCAACCATGAAACTAAAAGGCTTTTATTTTAAGTGATAAAATGTAGATTTTGTGTAGCAGTGTTTTACTATTTCTAGCACTTCAAGGTGATGTTATCCTTCATATTGACTTTTTCATAAAATATCAAAAATTATTTTCTGTGTGATCATAGAGCAAAAACCTTTTGTCAAACTGAAATTTATAAGTCTTAAGCATGAGTTGAAAATTTTACAAGTTTTGCTTTCAATGTTTTGTATTAGTGTACAAGTCTCTGGGGAAAGTTCAAATAATGTTTAAAAAAAAGCATAAAATAAAATTTCACTCTCAGAATTTGTAAAAAGGTTCATTTTTGGACTATTGTACTACACTTTTTTGCATATTGATAAATGCATTCATCAATCATCTACACAAAATAAAGACAGTGAATCATTCAGAATATGTTGCTTCAAGATAAAATTTATCTAATATGTTGACTTGAAAAAAAATCAATTTTCCAAGGTGATAATTATACTCCTGCTAATTTTCAAATATACTATATACTCATTTAATTTTATTTTTCAAAATTATTTTTCTCTGAAACTTATAAAAAAAATTATATCACTGCTAGTATTTCTTTCCTGCTGGGTTAATTTTTAGCAGTATAAATTTGTTAATCATTTTAAAACTTTATTAAATTCATTAAATTTATATTATTTTTTAAAGGTGCACTTCTGAGCACATGATAAAATCTTTTGATAATTTACTTTCAGTATCCTAACAAACATAAACACTGTTTTGTTTTTTTAATTTTTTTTAAAACTCATTTTTAATTTGATTAGCTTGAATATAACATCTTCATATTATCTGGTTAGTCTTTTTCTCTAAAATATAAAATCTGTATCTGAAATACTAAGTATTATGCTTTGATAGTTAATGTCAAATCATTTTTTTTCTTATTTTTCTGCTAATCCATCTCCTAAAACTTTTTTTTTTTTAATACAGTATTATAACAGGTTTACCTTTCTACAATTTTACACATTCCATTTCAACTCTTTATGAACTTCATTTTTCAAGTTGTATTAAAACAAACAAACAAACATTCATAACAAAATTTGAAATAAAAATTCTTCAACTGAATCTCAACTACAAATCATTAACTGGCCTAGAATATTTTGTTAATATTTTTGCACAAATTTTATGAAATTTTTTGTAAAATTCCCAAGGGATTGCAAAAACCTTGAAAATTTTGTTAGCTAAATTATCACTTATATTTGAAGTTATTATTCTGAAAGTAACATAACCAAGTAATTAAGCTGATTGTACTCCATTAAATAAATGCTCTTCTTACAATTATGTCTTTCTGTGATTTCTCTGAATTAATTTTTCTACCTTGTTAAGCAAGATTTGTTTATAGCTTTTCAATAACTTGTATTCTTGCCTGTAGGTATTTTAATGTCTATGTTGATGTACCAAACAATTTTTTTTTTTTTTAAGCACCTCAAAATATTTTTCAGTTAGCATGATTGAATTTACATTTAAAGTCAACACTACATGCAGAAAAGCAAATTGACAGTCATTGATGATTGGCAAAGTACAAGAAAATCTGATTTATTTTTAATGGCCAGGTTTGTTTGAGCTGTGTATAAGTGGTTGTAAAAAAAAAAAAAAAAAAAATCAAAAAAATCTGTTAAACAAAATATAGTTATTTTAAGTAGACACAGTTTTCAATGTTATTAATATTTTTTAAAAATCGATAGTACGTCAAGCCAAGTGCACAACAACAATACCTAATTTTAAAAGGCATTAAAACTTCAAAGATATATTTTTTGGTTAAATTTTAGTTTTAATTCCAATAGATTAAATTTAATTTTCTCAAAGAGAAAAATGCTTTGGCATATTTTAAACTAAATTTAAACTGATCAAATTTTTATTTATTTAATTCTTTCCTTAGAAAAATATACCGATTTATTTATATTGACAATTTAACCATTTTTTTTTTTTTTTTCATCTTTTAAAAGTAAAATATACTTTCTTAAATGTTATTCAAAGAACATTACTTATCTAAAGTATAATTAATGGGATTTGAAACAAACTTTTTTTACATTTTGCTTAAAATATAGTAAAAACATTTTTTTTGCTTCCTGACCAATATCCAATGGACTGCATTTTTTGCATGCATTACTTAAATCACTTGTTATATATTTTTTCTCCACTTAAAAGTAATTCAAAATTCTACATAAAAGTATTTTCCTTGGAACTTTGTTAATCATAAATAAACTTTAGTTAATAACAATGTGCCAGTTTCCAAGCCTCTGTTAATTGGAGAAGGCAAAGAGTATTAGAGGTTATAACTTTCAAATATATTGTGCACACCTAGATGAGCTGCATAGATGTATGTTTGACTGTTTTTCAGATTTTCCTTAAATATCAACAATGAGGAAATAGCAATGGTGTAGGAAGACCTAGTTTAATTCCAAATGGACTGATCTGAAGCCAAAGTTAAAAACAGATCAAAATTTTTGGTTACAAATAAACATTTCTTAGTACATACATTACCTTCCCAACATCATATTTAGTAGTGAGGTTTCAGTGCAGTCACCCAGCCTCTTTCCAAGCAAAGAAGCAGACTAAAATTTACTGCCATCCCGTTAAAAATTTAAATTTACTCTTCCTAAACCAGATAAATTAGTTTACTTGATTAACTTGTTTGTGAAATGCATATCTGTTAAGTGTTTGATTTGAAGTATACAAAGTATGTTAATTTATTGTTACTTGTGACCATTAGATCACTGTCAGCTGTTTCCATTTTGGTGAAGAGAAAATACTTACTCCACTACTTATTTTTTATATCTCTATACAAAAAGGTCCAAGTAAAAAGAAATTAAATAATTTTTCATAAAAAACTGACATTTCTCAAAATTTTCTAAGAAAACTAACAGCAACTGAACATTTTAGACCTAAAATACTAACATGATATTACTATTCATAAACAAGAACAACAAAAGCTTATAAGCCCATCAAGGGAGATAACTGTCTTTATGCTACCAAGAGCAGATAATAATACATGTATCCCCCCCTCCATCTTTAAATAATTTTCTTATGTAAATTGCATAATAGAAGCATGAAAACCAAGTAGAAGAAAGTGAACGTTTGTAGCAACTGAGTCAAGCAATGACAAAGAGAAAAAAAAAGGTTTAAACCTATCCAAGGAAACATTTTGAGCCTTTAGTGAGACCTCACAAAAGAATGTCACTAGAAGTTTGTAAATTTTACTCTTTAGTGACATGTGAACTTTTGTTAGGAGGTGAGTACACTAAATTGGCTGTCTTTACTGTCCACAAAGGACCCAATAATCTGAGAATGGTGCTATATACTATTTCCATAAATGAACAGTTCAGGTCAGTTTTTATTGCCACTTGTAGAGCAAGAAGGATAAGTGTAAGGTTATCTAACCAAGCATGCATGTTTATTTTGGTTTTCAAAGCTAATTGTTTGCTTTTGGGTGGGTACCTATAAGAATTCCCCGCCCCCCAAAAAAGAGGACACATAATGAAAAAAAAATGCTCAAGCAAATAAAAACAATTTTATTGTCAAAATCTTTGACATTATTAAGAGGAAAGATTAAAGGAATATTTTTTTTTTTTTTTTTTTTTTTTTTTTTTTTTTTTTTTGCAAAAAATAAAATGAATATTTCCATGGTTCTAAAAAGGACAATGTCTATTTGTGCTAAATATTGGCTGACAATTTTTCTCTATCCCCCCACCCATCAATTCTGGACCATAAATTTGTATTGGAAAATTGATTTGAAAATTCTTGCAAAAAACAGATAATTGTCAATTGTTACCTCCTCTCATTTAATTTTTTATGAAATTTTGAGATTTTTTTTTCATATCACTTAAATAAATGTAGATTTTCTAAGAAAACCTGAAAAATGCATTTTAAATAATTTAAATATCTTTAAACATCTGTCTATAGGACCAAAATTTAATGACTTAAAAGAAAAATTAATTTCTGCATCTAAATAAAATTTTAGAAATGAAAAAAAAAATTCAGGAAAAGTGGGGGAAAAAATAGAAAATACAAACATGAAAAAGTTGAAAAGTGGAAAAACATGAAAGCAGGAATGGAAAAAAAAGTACTAGAAAATAATGAAGTTAAAAAAAAAATTTTTTTTCATTTTTTCTGGAATAAAGTGGAAAAAAGAAATAGGCAAAATACGTCAAAGGATAACTGTAAAAAAAAATAAAAAATAAAAAAAGTGAAATATAAAAAAACAGAAAAGATTAAATGACCAGAGAAGGAAAAATTCAGAAAAAGTAAAAATGGTGAAAACAAAAATTAGAAATGGATAAAAGGTGAAAAAAGTAAAAATAGATAAAAGAAAGATGCAGAAAAGGAAAAAAAAACCTAGAAAAAGAAAGAACAAATTTAAAAAAAAAAGAAAAAGAAGAAATAACAGGAATGGTAAAGATAGTAAAAATGAAAAAAATAGAAAAATAGGAAAGCATAAAAGGAACAAAAAATAGAAACAAGTAGAAAAGGAAAAAAGATGAAAAACAGCAAAATTGAAAAAGGTGAAAAAAAACAGAAAAAAGTATAAAAGTGGAAAAAGTAAAATGCAAAAATGTGAAAAATATAGAAAAGGATGTATAGTGAATAAGGCAGAAAAGGAAAAATATAGAAAGGTGAAACACATGAAAGAGAGAAAAATATGAAAAAAAAAAAATAAAAAGGAAAAAATGAACAAAGCAGAAAAAAGAAAATGACAAAAAAACAGAAAAGGAAGACAAATGAAAAAAGGAAATGTAAAAATATCATAAACAGAAAAAGGTAAAAGCCAGAAATACAGAAATGGAAGAGAGGTGACAATAATAATAATGAAAAAGGCAGAAATGTTAAAATGTAAAACAAAAATCAGAAAAAAGACAAAAAATGGAATGAAAAAAATGCAGCAAAAGAAAAAAAACAAAACAAATAGGCAGAAAGGAAATAAAATAAAAAACCTGAAAAGAAAAAAATAAAGAAGGCAGAAAAAATACAATATGGAGCAAAGGAAAAATTTAAAAAGCCAGAAAATAAAAATAAAAAAGGCTGAACATGAGAAAATAAAAATGGCAGTAAAAAATAAAAATAGCAGAAAAAGAAAAAAAGCAGGAAAAAATGAAAAAAGAAAAAGACACAAAGGAAAAACTATAAAAGCAAAAAGGGCTAAAAAGAAAACATGTAAAAAGCACAAAAGGAAAAATATATAAAACAGCAGAAAAGGAAAAGCAGCAAAAGAACGGAAAAGGAAAAAAAAGCAGAAAATAGAAAAATAAAGCAGAAAAGGAATAAAATAGAAAAAAAGAAAAAAAAAAATTAGAAAGGAAATAAAAAAAAACAGTAAAAAAAAAATAAAAAAAAAAAACATTGAATTAAAAAAGGAAAATTTTTTTTGATGAAATGGAAAATATAAACAGGAAAAAAGTAGAAAAGAAAAAAATTAAATGCCGAGAAAGAAAAATAGCAAATGGCAGAAATGCAAAAATAAGAAAAGCAGAAAAGAAAATAATAGAATAAAAGCAGAAAATGAAAAAAAAGCAGAAAATTAAAAAAAAAAAACAGAAAAGGAAATAAAATAACAGCAAAGGAAACGATAGAAAAAAGGCAGAAAAGGTAAAAATATTTAAAAAAAGCCGGAAAGGAAAAAACAAAACAAAACAATGTTTTTTTAAAAAATTTTTCTAAAGCTGAAGAAAAAATAATAAAAAGCAGAAATGGAAAAAATAGAATTTTTAAAAGCAGGAAAGGAAAAATAAGAAAAAGAATGAAAGGAATAAAATAGAGGATGCAGAGAAGGAAAGAAAATAGAAACTGCTGAAAAGGAAGAAAATAGAAAAAAGAAAAAAGAAAGGAAAAAAAGCAGAAAAGAAAAGAAAATAAAACAATCAAAAAATGAAAAAATAAACAAAGGTAGAAAACGAAAAGAAATAGTAAAAAAGCAGAAAAAGAAAAATTAGAAAAACAGAAACAGAAAAATAAAGTAAAAAGGCAGAAAATGAAAAAACATAAAAAATCAAAAATGGAAGAAAAACAAGAGACAGAAAAAGATGAACTGACGGAGAGTGCAGAAAAAAGAAAAATGATAAAAAGTAGAAAAAGTAAAAGGCAAAAACAGCAGAAAATGGAGAAAAAAAGAAAAAATACATAAAATGCAGAAAAATGAAAGAAAAAACAAGTGATAAGAGACAAAAAAGCTAAAAAGATATTTTTAAAATCTTTTTCAGCTCTTTTTTCAGCTGAAGGACAAAAAAAGAAAAAGATAAAAAGGCTGAAATGGAAAATGACCAAAAGCAGAAAATGGAAAAAAAATCAACAAAAGGAAAAATGCAGGACATAGCAAAAAAGTAGAAAAGGGAAAAGACGAGTAGAAATGGAAAATTATGAAAAAGATGAAAAAAACAGAAAAGCGAGAAAGATGTAAGAAGCAGAAAATGCAGCAAAGGGAAAAGACGAAAAAAGCATAAATACAAAAAGTCAAAAAGAGCAGAGATGGGAAAAAGACAAAAGCAAAAAAATGAACAAGCAAAAAAAAAAAAAAAAAAAAAAAGCAATTAACAAGTGTTAAATGACAAAAAGAAAAAAAAATTGGGAAAAAAAAAAAAAATTTTAATAGGACAAAAAGGAAGAAAACGACAGAAAATGGAAACAGTCAAAAAAAAAAGCAAAAAAATAAATAACAAAAATTTAGCCGTAAAACATAAAAAAAAAAATTTGAAAATTGGGGAAAGACGGAAAAAAGAAGAAAAAAAATGTAAAAAAATAAAGGAAAAAAAAAAATAGAAAATAGAAAACTCAAAAGAAAGCAGAAAATGAGAAATGACTAAAATGCAAAGAAAGGAAAAAATTAGAAAATAGAAAAATAGCAGGAAATGGAAAATACATAAAAAGCAAAAAAAGTAAAGACATAAAAAGTGTTAAGCAGAAAAAGAAAAAAAAAAAAATTTAAAAAAAAAATTGTTAATTTTAAAAAAAAAAAAAATTGAAAAGAGAAAAATGAAAAAAAAAAAAAATATTATAATTTATAAAAAAAAAAAACAAATTAAAGGGAAAAATAGTAAAAAAAAGCAAAAATAAAAAAATAAAAGACAAAAAAATGTTTTGTTTTCAAATGCAAGAAATTATAAAAATGGAATTTTCAAAGGAAAAAAAATGCAGAAAATTCTAATAAAGAAAAGAACAAAGGAAAAAGAAAACAAATGGAAAAATCAATGTAGAAAAGTATCAAAAGGAAAGCAGAAAAAGAGAACAGAAAAATCGATAAGGAAAATCATAAAAGCAAAGAGCCAATGGATGAAACGAAAAAGTAGGAATGCAGAAGAATTTCCTAAGAAATATTGTAAAAAAAAATCTTTATAACAAAAATTGAAAACGAAAAATGAAAACAAAAATTGAAAAAAATAAATTGGAATCCCAGATAAAAGCAGAAAAATAACAAATAAAACAGAATATGTGAAAAGGAAAAAAAAATGAAAAAGGGAAAAAGCAGAAATTGAGAAAAAATTCAATAGTTTTTTTGTAGATTTTTAAAAAAAAAAAAAAAAAGAAAAAAAATTTTTTTTTTTAAAAAAAAGAAAATAAAAGAGAAACATTAAAAAAAACAAAAAAAATAAATAAGCTGAAATAGAACATAAAATTTTTGGAAAAAAAATTTTTGAAAAAAAATCATCAATGTAGAAAAAAAAATATATTAAATCCTACTTATATATTAAAAATATTCTTGGTGAAAAAATTTATGCAAAACAAAACAAAAAAAAAGAATATGAAAAACAGAAAAGCAGGTAAAAAAAAAAAAAAAAGTATTTTTGAGGTATTTATAACATTTCCTTTGTAAAAGCAAAAAAAAAAAATCCTTTTAAAGAAAAAGAAAAAAAAAAAAAAAAAAAAAAAAAAAAAAAAAAAAGAACTCCAAATGCATTTGAATTGGTCTTTTCCTCATGAAATTTGAATTTAAAAATTTCACAGTGAATTTTTTTTAAAATCTTAAATCATTATAAAACAGAAAAGCAAAAAATATGAAACTATTTGGACAGAAAAAGTAAACAGAAATGGAAAAAAGGAGAAAAAAAAATGAATGAAAATTTCTTTTTTTGAATATAGAAAAGGAAAAATTAATATTTAAAAATATAAATTGTTAAAATCAATGGTTACTAAAAAAATAAGTTTTAAAAAGAGAATAGTTTAGAGATGAAAAACAGAAAAGCAAAATTTATAATCAGAGAAATAGGTTCAGAAAATGTTAAAAAATTTCATGTACAGTTTAAAGTTATTGAAAATCAAAAGTAAAAAAAAAAAAAATGCAAAAAAAAAAATAGTAAATTTAAAAGTCTAGAAAAAAAACAGTTTTTTAAATATAATGTATACGGAAAAAAATTTTTGAAAACATTGTCCTTTAGAAAATAATTTTTATTAAAAATTTAAATTCAAAAAGGATTATAGTCATATAAAAATATGAAATAAAAAAGAAAAAAAATTTTATAATGATAAATCAGCAGAAAAATTTTATTTAGCATTAAATTTTCTAAAAATTAAAAGAAAAATCAGATCAAATGTATTTTTTATAAAAGAAATTCTTTCTAAATCACTTTTAAAAATTTTAAATATAAAAAATTTTCCAAAAAAAAAAACATCAAAAAATCCCATTTTTTTAGAAAAAAAATTAAAAAGTGACATTTTTTTTGCACGAGGAAAAAATCCAGCAACAGATTAGAAATGTCAAACCAAATTAATTAAAAAATCAATGAAAAATTTAATTTGTCATTCTAAAAAAAAAGTTTTAAAAATTCATATTTGAAATACAAACAAAATAGTTTTTAGAATATTTCCAAAAATGAAAAAAATCAACTTTAAATAAAAATTTTTTTGATTTTTTTTTTTAATTTTTCTTTTTCATAATTTCAATATTTGTTCTTTCAGGTTTTTTAATATTCATTTATATTTTCCTTTTTTTAATTTTTCATTTTTCTGGATTTTTTTTTAAGAATTTCTCAAAATTTTTTTTCCTTTTTTTTTTTTTCTTAAATCTTAATTCTATTTCTTTCTCTTTTTCCTTTTTCAACCATCTTTTTATTTTCTTATTTCGAATTTTTTATTTGATTTTTTTTTCCATTTTTTGCAATTTTATTTTTTAAAAAAAAAAGATATTTAAATATATTCTATATTTTTTAAAATATTTTAAATTTTTCTTTTTTTTTTTATTTTTTTTTTCTTTTCAAAAAATTTCTTTTAATTTTTTTTTTAAAAATTTTTTCATCATTTTTTTTATATTTTTTTTTCAATTTTCTTTTCGTTTTTTCATTTCTATTTTTCCAAATATTTTTTTAATTTTTTTTTTTTTTTTTTTTTTTATATTTTTAAGTTTTTTTTTTTTTTTTTCATTTTTTTTTTCTTTTAGTTTTTTTTTTTTTTTGTCCAATTTCTTTTTTTTTTTTTTTTAATTTTTGAATATTCTTCTTTTTTTTTTTCATTTTTCCTTTTCAAAAATTTTTTTTTTTAAACAGCTTCACGTCCACGTCCCCCAGCCTTGCTCGTTCCTCGCTGCTTCGTTCGGGTGTCGCCGCTCCAAACGTGACGTCCGCCTGTCTGCGTCAGTCGTGCTATCCTGTCCTGTGACGACCAACTGGCTTGGTATTGGTCGCGGCACCCAAATGTGACGTTCTAACCTTTTGGTGATTCTGATGGGAATCTGGTTAGATTCGATATCAGCCTCGTCGTTCCCAACTTGCTTCCAACGTCTGGTTACCGAAGTAACTGCTTTGATCTCCAGTCTGCCTACCCACGTTGTGAATTGATCTTAGGCAGACGAAATCAATCAGTCGTCGGGGCCGTAATGCAAGTTGAGTTCGAATAAGTGTGGTATCGCACAAATATGTGTAAAAGAAAATAAAATAATAACTCAAAAAGTTCAAATGTATCAAAAAAAAAAAAAGATAACAATACTTTTATATCTGGTTGCTGGATACATAGGACTGCGTCTATCTCCCGACCCGCTATATGGATTCGTGACACGTTGTTTTTTTGTTAGGCGAGTTTTAACATCTTAAGTTGTCTGTTCTTTAAGAAACTGGTTCTTGGTGTGTCTTCAGGCGATAGTCGTAAAACTTGTTTTGGTGGTATGAATCTAAGTCGCTCTTCAAAAATAAATTGTTCTTGGATTGAAGATGAGTTCGGAAGTTGCGCGAATCTTTCAGTCAGCTCTGCGAGGCTCTGCCCACTTCCAACTCCAACTGGAAACTGGATGGAAAACTGAACTCCAACTCAACTGATTTTCGCTCGCTGCGACTTTGCTTATATGGACGCCGACCAAAACCGGGGTGGGCTTTGTCGGGGTTTGAGGTTCCTTGATAATTCTAAATCCACAATCCCTTTTTTTGTTTTCGGTCAGGAAAATTTATTATTTCCATTTTTGGAAGTCTTCTCTTCCCATACCCTCAGAGGGCGTCAACAACGATTTTCCTACTTCTTAGCAGTAACATCTCATACCTATCCTCTTTAATGAGTGGTAGCAGCCCCCCTCCCTGCATCACATGATCACCTCCGCCTGGCTCTCGTTAACATTCATCCAATGGGCGATCAACAGTGTGGGTGTGACCAGACTAGCCTTGTTTCTTAAAAAGAATATCTTGCTCAAAGAAAAAAAATTATCTTCTCTTTTTTCTTTTTTCTATTTCCTTTCTTACTTTTCTTTTCTTTTCTCTCTTCTTCTCTGGCCGCCAACAGAACAATACGACCCGTAGTGTGATAACCTCAATTCCTATCCCAAAGTCACTTTCATCTGGACTTCGTCAATCAGATTTTCGCCAATTATCAGGTGGGTGGTCATCTAGCGAAACACAGCCAACTTTTCCGATAAAATAGTTTCGCTGTTACCGCCAGATTCTAACACAACCCAGATACCTTGTCTAACGATATCTTTCCATCGACAAAGACTTAACCTATTTTCTTTGTTTTCTTTTTTTTGCAGCTCGTGTGTGGTCAACGGGCGACCTATTAAATTTTTATCTCTGTAGTTTTCTGTGGAAGCCCCAAATGGCATTCCCGTGACACAGTTAAATGTTTATCTATTCTGTCCCGGAGTTTAGCAAGCCGATCTGGAACTTGTCAACCAAGTGGCTGGTCCAAACAGACGCATTCACTTCTCGGCGCCAACCACTGGCTGATGGAACGGCTTTCCTCTGATAATATAAGTTCGCCACCACGACACAGTTATTTTTTTTTCTCTATTTAGAATTCTCGACAATGACAATGAAACCCTTCACCATTTTTCATTATCAAAATTTCATTTCTTTTCCTTCTTTTCTTCCTTTTCCTTGCATCCCTAAATGGTGTCACAATGGTCTGCTATTTTCTTTTTTTTCCTGTTCTGCCTCAGTCCTTTTATTCTTTTTCTTTTTCAATGTTTTAAATTTCTGCATATTTCCTTTTGTTTTTCCTTTTTGCTTTTTTCAGTTTTTTTTTTCTATTTTAACTTTTTCATGGTCTGCTATTTTCGTTTTTCCTGTCCTGCCTCTGTCCTTTATTCTTTTTCTTTTTCAAATGTTTTAGCTTTCTGCATATTTCCGTTTGTTTTTCCTTTTCTGCTTTTTTTCAGTTTTTTTTTTTTTTTTTAACTTTTTTTCATGGTCTGCTATTTTCTTTTTTTCCTGTCCTGCCTCTGTCCTTTTTTAAGCTTTTCTTTTTATTTATCAATGTTTTTTGCTTTCTGCATTTGAAAATTTTGTTTTTTTTTTTTTGAAATTTTTCAGTTTTTTTATTTTCTTTTTTTTCAACAAATGGTCTGCTATTTTTTTTTTTTTTCCTGTCCTTTCTGTCCTTTATTCTTTTTCTTTTTTTTTCAATGTTTTAGCTTTCTGCATATTTTTTTTTTTTTTTTTCTTTTTGTTTTTTTCTTTTTTTTTTTTCTTTTCTATTTTAACTTTTTTTTTCATGGTCTGCTTTTTTCTGTTTTTTTTTTTCTGTCCTGTCTTTGTCCTTTTATTCTTTTCTTTTTTCAATGTTTTAGCTTTCTGCATATTTCCTTTTGTTTTTCCTTTTCTGCTTTTTTTAGTTTTTTTTTCTTTCTTTTTAAAACAAAAATCATGGTCTGCTATTTTTCTTTTTTCCAGTCCTGCCTCTGTCCTTTTTATTCTTTTCTTTTTTTCAATGTTTTAGCTTTCTGCATATTTCCTTTTGTTTTTTCCTTTTCTGCTTTTTTTAGTTTTTTTTTTTTCTATTTTTTTTTTTTTTCATGGTCTGCTATTTTTTTTTTTCCTGTCCTGCCTCTGTCCTTTTTTTCTTTCTTTTTTCAATTTTTTTAGCTTTCTTTCATATTTCCTTTTTTTTTCCTTTTCTGCTTTTTTTTTTTTTTTTTTTTCTTTTCTATTTTAACTTTTTCATGGTCTGCTATTTTCTTTTTTTTTCCTGTCCTGCCTCTGTCCTTTTATTCTTTTCTTTTTCAATGTTTTAGCTTTCTGCATATTTCCTTTTGTTTTTCCTTTTTTGCTTTTTTTTATATTTTTTTTTTTCTATTTTAACTTTTTTCATGGTCTGCTATTTTCTTTTTTTCCAATCCTGCCTCTGTCCTTTTATTCTTTTCTTTTTTTCAATGTTTTAATTTCTGCATATTTCCTTTTTTTTTTTTTTTTCTGCTTTTTTCAGTTTTTTTTTTTTCTATTTTAATCATTTCATGGTCTGCTATTTTTTTTTTTTTCCAGTCCTGCCTCTGTCCTTTTATTCTTTTCTTTTTTCATATGTTTTAGCTTTCTGCATATTTCCTTTTTTTTTCTTTTCTGCTTTTTTTCATGTTTAAACTTCTTTTTCTATTTTAACATTTTTTGATGGTCTGCTATTTTTTTTTTTTCCAGTCCTGCCTCTGTCCTTTTATTTTTTCTTTTTTCAATGTTTTAGCTTTCTGCATATTTCCTTTTGTTTTCCTTTTTTCTGCTTTTTCAGTTTTTTTTTTCTATTTTTAACTTTTAATGGTCTGCTATTTTCTTTTTTTTCCTGTCCTGCCTCTGTCCTTTTATTCTTTTCTTTTTTCAATGTTTTAGCTTTCTGCATATTTCCTTTTTTTTTTCCTTTTTTGCTTTTTCATTTTTTTTTTCTATTTTAACATTTTCATGGTCTGTTATTTTCTTTTTTTTTTTCCTGTCCTGCCTCTGTCCTTTTATTCTTTTCTTTTTTTCAATGTTTTAAAAAAAACTTTCTGCATATTTCCTTTTGTTTTTTCCTTTTCTTTGCTTTTTTCAGTTTTTTTTTTCTATTTTAACTTTTTTCATGGTCTGCTATTTTCTTTTTTTTTTTCTGTCCTGCCTCTGTCCTTTTATTTTTTTCTTTTTCAATGTTTTAAAAAAATATTCTGCATTTCAGGTTCCTTTTTTTTTTCTTTTCTCTGATTTTTCAGTTTTTTTCTTTTTATTTTTTTTTCTTTTCTTTTTTTTTGTCTGCCTATTTTTCTTTTTTCAATTTTTATTTTCCTATTTCTGTTTTTTTTTTTTTTTTTTTTTTTTTCTATTTTGTTTTTTTCATGGTCTGCATATTTTCTTTTTTTTTTTCCTTTTTGTCCTTTTTTTCAGTTTTTTTTCTGCATATTTTTTTTGTTTTCCTTTTTTTTTCATGGTTCTTTTCTATTTTTCTCTTTTTTTTCCTTTTTTCCTGCCTCTGTCCTTTTTATTCTTTTCTTTTTCAATGTTTTTTTTCTGCATATTTCCTTTTGTTTTTCCTTTTCTGCTTTTTTATTTTTTTTTTCTTTTATTTATTTTTTCTGAAAAGAAAACAAAGATGTCCTGTCTCTGTCCTTTTTATTCTTTTCTTTTTTCAATGTTTTTTTTTTCTGCATATTTCCTTTTGTTTTTTATTTTCTTTTTTTTTTTTTTTTTTTTTTCTTTTTTTTTTTCATGGTCTGCTATTTTCGTCCTTTTGCCTTCTTTTTATTCTTTTCTTTTTTTTTTTTAACTTTCTGCATTTTTTTTTTTTTTTTCTATTTTTTTTTTTTTTTCTTTTTAATGGTTTCATGGTATTTTATTTTTTTTTTTCTGTCCTGCCTCTGTCCTTTTATTCTTTTCTTTTATCAATGTTTTAGCTTTTCTGCATATTTCCTTTTGTTTTTCCTTTTTCTGCTTTTTCAGTTTTTTTTTTTTCTATTTTAACTTTTTCATGGTCTGCTATTTTCTTTTTTGTCCTGTCCTGTCCTTTTTTTTTCTTTTTTTTTTTCAATGTTTTAGTTTTTCTGCATATTTTTTTTTGTTTTTTCCTTTTCTTTTTCAGTTTTTTCTTTTCTATTTTAATCTTTTTTCATGGTCTGCTATTTTTTTTTTTCCATCCTGCCTCTGTCCTTTTATTCTTTTCTTTTTTCAATGTTTTAGAAGTTTGCATATTTCCTTTTGTTTTTTTCTTTTTATTTTTTTCAGTTTTTTCTTTTCTTTTTAACTTTTTCATGGTCTGCTATTTTCTTTTTTTTCCTGGTCTGCTATTTTTTTTTTTTTTTTTTTTTTTTCATGTTTCTTTCTCCATTTTTCTTTTTTTTTTTTTCCTTTTTTAATCAGTTTTTTTCTTTTCTATTTTAATTTTCCTTTTCTGCTTTTTTTTTTTTTCCAGTCCTGCCTCTATTTTTTACTTTTTTTTTTTTTGTTTGAAACATTTTTTTTTTTGTTTCCTTTTTCTGCTTTTTCCTTTTTTTTTTTTTTTTTTATTTTTTCATGTTTTTTTTTTTTTTTTTTTTTCCTGCCTCTGTCCTTTATTCTTTTCTTTTTTTTTTAGCTTTTTAATGGTTCCTTTTGTTTTTTTTTCTGCTTTTTTAGTTTTTTCTTTTCTATTTTAACTTTTTTCATGGTCTGCTATTTTCTTTTTTTTCCTGTCCTGCCTCTGTCCTTTTATTCTTTTCTTTTATCAATGTTTTAGCTTTCTGCATATTTCCTTTTGTTTTTCCTTTTCTGCTTTTTCAGTTTTTTCTTTTCTATTTTAACTTTTTCATGGTCTGCTATTTTCTTTTTTTTTCCTGTCCTGCCTCTGTCCTTTTATTCTTTTCTTTTTTCAATGTTTTAGCTTTCTGCATATTTCCTTTTGTTTTTCCTTTTCTGCTTTTTTTTCTTTTTTCTTTTCTATTTTTAAATTTTCATGGTCTGCTTTTCTTTTTTTTTTTTTTTTTCCTGTCCTGCCTCTGTCCTTTTATTCTTTTCTTTTTCAATGTTTTTTTCTTTCTGCATATTTCCTTTTGTTTTTCCTTTTCTGCTTTTTTCTTTCTGTTTTTTTTTTTTTTTTCTATTTTAACTTTTTCATGGTCTGCTATTTTTTTTTTTTTCCTGTCCTGCCTCTGTCCTTTTATTATTTTTTTTTTTTTTCAATGTTTTAGCTTTCTGCATATTTCCTTTTTTTTCCTTTTTTTGCTTTTTCAGTTTTTTCTTTTCTATTTTAACTTTTTTCATGGTCTGCTATTTTCTTTTTTTTCCTGTCCTGCCTCTGTCCTTTTATTCTTTTCTTTTATCAATGTTTTAGCTTTCTGCATATTTCCTTTTGTTTTTTCCTTTTCTGCTTTTTCAGTTTTTTTTTCTTTTCTATTTTAACTTTTTTTTGGTCTGCTATTTTCTTTTTTTCCTGTCCTGCCTCTGTCCTTTTATTCTTTTCTTTTTTTCAATGTTTTAAATTTCTGCATATTTCCTTTTGTTTTTCCTTTTCTGCTTTTTCAGTTTTTTTTTTTCTATTTTTTTTTTTTCATGGTCTGCTTTTTTTTTTTTTTTTTCCTGTCCTGCCTCTGTCCTTTTTATTCTTTTTTTTTTTCAATGTTTTAGCTTTCTGCATATTTCCTTTTGTTTTTCCTTTTTTTGCTTTTTTTTCAGTTTTTTTCTTTTCTATTTTTTATTTTTCATGGTCTGCTATTTTCTTTTTTTTTTCCTGTCCTGCCTCTGTCCTTTTATTCTTTTCTTTTTTCAATGTTTTAGCTTTCTGCATATTTCCTTTTGTTTTTCCTTTTCTGCTTTTTTTTCTTTTTTTCTTTTCTATTTTAACATTTTTCATGGTCTGCTATTTTCTTTTTTTTTTCCAGTCCTGCCTCTGTCCTTTTATTCTTTTCTTTTATCAATGTTTTAGCTTTCTGCATATTTCCTTTTGTTTTTCCTTTTCTGCTTTTTCAGTTTTTTCTTTTCTATTTTAACTTTTTTCATGGTCTACTATTTTCTTTTTTTTTCCAGTCCTACCTCTGTCCTTTTATTCTTTTCTTTTTTCAATGTTTTAGCTTTCTGCATATTTCCTTTTGTTTTTCCTTTTCTGCTTTTTCAATTTTTCCTTCTTTACTTTTTCATACTTTTTCTTTTCAATGTTTCACTTTTTTTTTCTTCTTTAATATTTCTTCTTTTTTCATGTTTTTTTTTACTTTACTGATTTTTCTCATGTTTTCATTTTCTGAACTTTTGTAGATTTTTCTCTTGAAGCTTTTTTACTTTCTGTTTTTTCCATTTTACTTTCATATTTTTATTTTATTTTTTGTCTTTTCCCTTTTATTCCTTTTCTTTTTTTCCGTATTTTCCTTTTCATTTGTTTCCTTTCCTGCTTTTTCCTGTCCTGGATTTCAGAATCTTTTTCCTTCTTTGCTTTTTCTCTTTGTTATTCATTTTTTTCTTTCCTGCATTTTTTCCGTTTCTGCTTTCTTTCCTTTTCTTTTCTCAATATTTCCCTTTTCTGCATTCTTCGTCTTCTTCTGCTTTTTCCCTTTTTTAACCTTTTCTAATTTTTTCTTTTGCTTTATTCACCTCCTGCTTCTTCCATCTTTCTTTTTTACATACTTTTAACTTTTTCTTTCCTGCTTTTTTTTTATTACTTTTCATTTTATTTTTTGTTCCTTTTTGTTTTCATTTTCTGCTTTTTTTCGTTCTTTTCCTTCTATACTTTTCATGTTTTTTCAATTTCTTCTTTATCCTTTTCTGCTTTTTTTCCTTTTTGTTTTTTGATTTTCTACTTTTTTCCTCTTATGCATTTCCATTTATTTAATTTTCTGCATTTTCCACTTTTTTCTTTTCTGATTTTTCCGTTTTTTGTATTTTCCCTTTATTTAACTTTGCTGTTTTTCTTTCTTGTTTTCCTTTTCTGCTTTTTGCTTTTTTCATATTCCATCCTATCACTTTTTCTTTTTTTTTTCTTTTTTACTTTTTTGCTTTTTCCATTTTATTCATTTTCTGCTTTTTCCCCTTTTCTGGTTTTTCGTTTTTTTAACATTTCTTCATTTTCCATTAAATTTTCCTGTGTTGCGTTTTCCCTTTTTACCCCTCTTTTCTTCTATGCTTTTTCACTTTTTTCCTTTTTCTGTTTGTCACATTTTGTCCTTTTCTGCTTTTTTTGTTTTTGCTTTTCTTTTTTGCCTGTTGCCTTTTTATTTTTTTATGTTTTCTTTGCTGCTTTTGCTTTTTACATTTTTTCCTGCTCTGCTTTTACTCTTTTTCCCTTCATTTTTCTTTTTATTTTATTTCACTTTTTTTTTACACTTCTGCATTTTACATTCTTTCCTTTTCTGCTTTTTAAACTTTTAATTCCTTTTCTGCTTTTCTATTTTTCAGTCCCTTTTATGCTTTGTTTATTTTTTTCCTTTTCTGCTATATTCCGTTATTTTTGCTTTGCTAATTTTTCATGTTTGTATCCCTTTTATGCGTTTTCTTCTTATTTTCTTTTTTTACTTTTCTGCTTTTTCCCATTTTGTCTTTTTCTGCTGTCTGCGCAATTTTCTGATTTTTTATTTTATTTCCTTTTTCATTTATCTACTTCACATTTTTTCCAATTACTGCCTGTTTCCCTTTCTGCTTTTTTCGTATTTGTTTTTCTTTCTTTTTTTTTCCACTTTGTTTTTATTTTCTACTTTTTCCATTTTTCGTTTCTTGCCTTTTCACTTTTTTCTTTATTTTATATTTTTTCCTTTTCTCCCTTCTTCTTTACATTTTCTGATTTTTTTTACTTTTTCCTTCTTGCTTTTTCACTTTTTTTTTCCCATTTTCAGTTATTTCCATTTCTGCTTTATTGTCCTTTTCTGTTTTTCCTTTTTGTTTCCCTTTTCTGCTTTTTTCCTTTTTTCTTTACTTCGTTTTTTCTTTCTTCTTTTTCTTTTCTACCTCTTTTACATTTTTTCTTTTCTTTTCTGCTTCTTTCCTTTTCTTTTTTCCTTTCTTTTTTCTTTTCTGCCTTTTCCTTCCTTTTCCCTGTTCTAGTTTCTTCCCTTTTATGTACTTTTCCATTTTTTCCGTTCTTTTCTGTTTCGCTTTTTTCCCTTTTCCTCCTTTTTTCATTTTATTTACTATTTTTACTTTTTTGACTTTTCTGCGTTTTTCATTTTGAACATTTTTTGTTTTTAATATTTTTCTACTTTTCTATTTTTTATCTTTTACGCTTTTTTCATTTTTCTTCTTTTTTGCCTTTGCTGCTATTTTCATTTTTTGCCTTTTCTATTTATTCGTGATTATTTCATTTTTTGCTTTTGTCTATTTTTACTTTTCTGCTTTTTCACTTTTTTTCATTTTTTTTATTTTTCATTTTATTTACCTGCTTTATTTTTTTTCAGTTTTTTTCGATTTTTGATTATTTTACTTTTTTCTTTTACATTTTTTACCAGTTTTTTTCATTATTTTCCCTGTTCTGTTTTTCTTTTTTGTTTTGCTTTCAACTTTTTCTCCTTTTTTCATCTCATACTTTTCCCCGTTTTCCTTTATTTTTCCATTTCTGCTTAGCCTATTTTAACTTTTCTGCTTTTTCACTTTTCTCTTTTTCTGTTTTTTTTTTCCATTTTCTGCTTGTTTCTTTTCTTTTTCATTTTCTACTTTTTTCATTTTCTTATATGCATATTTCCTTTTCTAAAAATAGTAAACATTCCTGATTTTGTTGTTTTTGCTTTTCTAATGTTCCTCCTTTTTGCCTTATCTGCAATTTTCCTTTTTTTTAACTTTTTTACTCTTTCCCGGGTATTTCAGATTTTGTTCTTATTTTTACTTTTCTTTATTGCATTGTTCCTTTCTTTTCTTTTTTGCACATTTCTATTTATCTTTTTTCTTTTTCTCGTTTTTTCTTTTTTCTTTTCTGTCTCTTTCATTTTTTTCCTTTTCTGCCTTTTCCTTTTTTGCCTTTTATGCTTTTTCCTTTTCTGCCTTTTCCTTTTTCGCCTTTCATGCTTTTTCCTTTACTACCTTTCCTTTTTTGCCTTTTATGCTTTTTCCTTTTTTGCCTTTTCATTTTTCGCCTTTTATGCTTTTTCCTTTTCTACCTTTCCTTTTTCGCCTTTTATGCTTTTTCCTTTTTTGCCTTTTCCTTTTTCGCCTTTTATGCTTTTTCCTTTTCTGCCTTTTCCTTTTTTGCCTTTTTTGCCTTTTATACTTTTTCCTTTTATACTTTTCTGCTTTTTACTTTTTTCTTTTTCTGCTGTTTCCGTTTTCATCTTTTGCTCTTTTTATTTTAATTTACTGCTTCTTCCATTTTTTTCTGCTTTTTTAACTTCTTCTTTTCCTTTTATACCTTTTTCTACTTTTTCTTTACACCACTTTCACTCTTTTTCTTCTTTTGTCCTTTATTCTTTTTTCTGCCTTCTCCGTTTTTGTTTTGTTTCCTTTTTGCTTTGTTTTCCCTCTTCTGCTTTTTTCCTTTTCCATTTCTGCTTTTTTCCTTTTTTCTTTACCACTTTTTCCTTTTTCATACTATTTCTCCTTTTTTCCTGTTTTTAATTTTTTAATTTTACACTTTTTCTCCTTTTGGTTTTTGTTCTCACTTTTTACTATTTCTGTCTTTTTCATTTTTTACTTTGAACATTTTCTCATTTCTCCTTTTCCTTGTCTGCTTTTTGTTTTCCATTTCTGCTTTTTTCATTTGTTTTTACTTTTCTGCTTTTTCCATTATTTTTCATTTCTTCTTTTCTCACTTTTTTGTTGCTGCTGTTTTCTCTTTTTTCTTTTCTTCTATTCTCCATTTTGTTTTTCTTTTCTGCATTTTTCCTTCCTCTTCCTTCTTTTCACATTTTCTCACATTTTTTTCATTTACTGCTTTTCCTCTTCTTTTCCTTTTCTGCTTTTTTCCCCTTTTGATTGTTGATTTTTCACTTTTTTACTTTTCTGCTGTTCTTCATTTTTCTTTTTCTGTTTTTTTCTATTCTGCTTTTTCTATTTTTTCCTTTCTTTTCTTTTTCCATGTTTACATCTCTTTTCTTCTTTTTGCTTTTCTTTTACATTATATTTTTAGCCTTTTCCTTCTATTTCAGATTTTTCCCTTTTTCCTTTTTTTCTTTTCTGCTTTTTTCCTATTTATATTTTTTCTATTTTTTTTTAATTCTGGTTTTGCACTTTTTGTCCTTTCTGCCTATTCTGCTTTTTCCATTTTTTCCTTTTCAGCCTTTCCCCCTTCTTATTTTCCTTCCTTTTCTTGCATTTTCCATTTTAAAGAAAATAAAAAAAAAATAGAAAAAGATTTTCATTTCATTTTTGTTCTTTTCCACTTTTTTACTCTTTCATATTCCACTTTTACATTTTTTCTATTTAGTTTACATTTGGTTTTTCCATATTTTCTTTTCTGCTTATTTTCCCTATACTTTTCTCATTTGTTGCGTTTTTCCCATTTCTAATTTTTTTGCTTTTCTGTTTTTATATATTTTTCTTTGCTCCATTTTCCCCTCTTTATCTTTATCTTCTCTTTTTTCATTTTTACTATTTTCTCCTTTTTTTTTTTACATTTCTGTAGATTTTGCTCTTTTCTACTTTTTACCTTTTTTATCTATGTTCTTATTTTACTTTTCTGTTTTTTTCTTTTTGCCTTTTCTGCTTTTTTTAAAACTTTTTTCCTTTTCATATGTTTTCCCTTTTTTTCCTTTTCTACTTTTTTCCATTCTTCTTTTCCATTTCTGCTTTTTCCCTATGTTCCATTTTTAAAAATATTTCTCCTTTTCACCATTGTTCCTTTTTTTTACTTTTTCCTGCGTTTTGCATTTTTCTTCTTTTCTGCTTTTTTTTTCCTTTTTATTTTCCTTGTCTGCATTTCTTCCGTTTTTTCCTTTTCTACTTTTGGTGTGTTTTTTCCTTTTCTGCATTTTTACATTTTTCATTTTTCTTCTTTTCCCTATTTTTTGTTCCTTTTTTCTTTTTTAGTCCTTTTATTCTTTCTCTGCTTTTTTCTATTTCTCCGTTATATTTTTTCTTTTCTACTTGTTCCCCTTTTTCCTTTGCTGTCATTTTCCTTTCTTTTTCCTTTTCTGCACTTTTCAATTTTTTACTATTTCTTTTTTCCCATTTTTGCGTTTTTCCTCCTTTTTCTTTTAATTTTCTTTTTTTTCTTTTTTTCTATTTCTGCTTCTTCCTTTTTTTCACTTTCTGCATTTTATCTTTTTTTACTATTTCTCATTTTTTTCCATTTCTGATTTTGCTCTTTTTCTCTGTTGCTCCACTTCTTTTATTTTTTGGCTCCTTCCATTATTTTTTACTTTTTTAGTTTTCTCTTTTACTTTACTTTTCTCTTTCTGTTATTTTTCTATTTTTTCCTTTTTGTTTCCATTTTTTTTATTTTTCCATTTTCTGGATTTTTTTCATTTTCTTTATTTTTCTAATTCATCCGTTTTTGTCACTTTCTGATTTTTTTTCTGTTTTCACTTTTTAACCTTTTCTGTTCGTTTATGTATTTTTCATTTTTTCCTTTTCTGCTTTTTCATTTTTTACCTTAACTGATTTTTCCCTTTTCTTTCTGTGCTTCTGTTTTTTAGTTTTTTCTTTATATCTGATGGTTCTGTTATTCCTTATTTTCCATTTCTTCTTTATTCTACCATTTTCTATTTCTTCTTTTGAGGTTTTCGTGTTTTCCCTTTTTCGTTTACTTTTTACACTTTTCAATTTCTAATTTTTCCGTTCTTTCCCTTTTTCCCTTTTTCAGCTTTTTTCCATTTTCTTTCCTTTTCCAATTTTTCGTTTTTTTCTTTTTTGTACTTTTTTTCCCTTTTTTTTCTATTTCTGCTCCTCTGCTTTCTATTTTATTAACATTTCTGTTGTTTTCATTTTTATTCCTCTTCTGCTTTATTCACTATATCTGCACTTTTCCTTTATAGCATTTTTTCCATTTTTCATTTTCTTTTTTCACTTTTTCCTTTTCTGCTTTTTCCCTTGTTTCCCCTTTTAACTTTTCTGTTTTTTTTATTTTTATTTTTCCTTTTTCTGCTCTTCTTTCCCTTTATTAATTTCCATTTTCTGATTTTTCTCTTTTGTTTGTTTTTCTAAAAACTTTTTTCACTTTGTGCATTTCTGTTTTTTCATTTTTCTTAACTTTTCTGCTTTTTTCACTTTATTAATTTCCTGCTTTTTTCCCATTTTGCATTTTTTTCTTTGTTGTACTTTTGGTCTTTTTTACATTTTTCATTTTACACTTTTTTTTCCTTTTCATCTTCTTCACTTCAATTTCCTATTTTTACCTGTTCTCCTTTGACCCTTTTTTCTATATTTCTGTGTTTCAGTTTTTTTCTTTTTCTTAACATTTCTGATTTGTTTCACCTTTATTTCTTTTCTGCTATTTTTCCTTTTCTTTCCATTTCTGCTTTTTTCATTTTTCTGGTTATTTCACCCTGTTTTATTTCTTTTCGTCTTTTTCCTTTCTTCCATTTTATGGACTTTTTTTTTCCTTTTGTCATTTACTTTTTTCATCTTTTTCATTTTCTGCTTTTTTTCGTTCTTTCACCTTTTCTGCTCTTTTCCATTTTGTTATTTCTTCCTTTTACCATTTTTTTGCTTTTTCCTCTTTTGTTATCTTGGTACTATTGTTTTTTTCTTCTCTTAACTTTTCTGCTTTTTTAACTTTTATTAATTTCCCACTTTTTTCCTTTTTTTTCTTCACTGTTATCATTTTCGCCTTTTTTTACATTTTTTTTTAATTTTCTTTATATTTTTTTCCTTTTCTGCTTTTCCCGTCTTTTCCATTTTTTTTTTTTACATTTTCTTTTACTCATTATTTCTATTTCTGTGCTTCTCTATTTTCTTATCTTAATATTACTGGTTTTTCACTTTACAACTTTTCTGCTTTTTTATCCTTTCTCACCTTTTTGAACTTTTCCATTTATCCCTTTGTTCTTTTTTACATTTCTTTTTACTTTTCTGCTTTTCCCTGCTGTCCGTAGTTTAACCTTTTCAGCATTTTCCCCGTTTTCCCTTTATCTGTTTTGTTCTCCTTCTTATCCTTTTCATTTTCTGCTTTTTCTCTTTTTTGTAATTTTCCGCTATTTTCCCTTTTTCCCTATTCCTCTTTTTCCTCAGTTTGCTTTTTTTAAATTCTGCTTTTCTGTTTTTCCCTTTTCTTAAATTTTCTTCATTTACACTTTAATTCATTTGCTGCTTTTTCCTCTTTCTTAAATGTTTAGCTTTTTCATTTTTATCCTTTTGTTTTTCTTGCATTTTTTCAGTTTTTTCTTTTCTTAACTTTTCGGCTTTTTACAGTCTTATTATTCCATTTCTGCTTTTTATACTTCCCTACCCCTTTTTTCCCCTTCCAGTCTTTTTTCATTTTTTACCTTTTCATATCTACTCCTTTTCTTTCCTTTACTCCTTTTTTACGTTTTCTGTTTATTTCTCCTTTTTTTTTTTATTTTCATTTTCTCCTTTTCTCTTTTTGTAATTTTCTGTTATTTTCCCTTCTTTTTTATTTCTGATTTTTTCAGTTTGCTTTTTTGTTTTTTCGTTTTCTGCTTTTCTATTTTTCTGCAATTTCACTTTAAATCCCTTTTTGCTTTTATCTTTCTTAAATTTTTAGCACTTTTCCTTTTTATCCTTCGGTTCTTTTTTTTATACATTTTTTTAATTTTCTTTTCATGTTCTTCCTTTTGCTTTTACAGCCTCATTCCTTTTCTACTTTTTCCCTTCCTTAACTTTTCATCCTTTTAACTTTTTCTCTTTTTTTACATTTTCACCTTTCCCTTTTTCTTCTTTTTTATCTTCTATTTTGTCTGCCTTTAATCTTTCAATTTTTTTCATTTTTCTCTTTTTGTAATTTTCTGCTATTTTCCCTTTGTTCTATCTCTGATTTTTTCACAGTTGACTTTTTTTCCGTTTTCTGCTTTTTTTTTAATAATTCTGCTTCTCTGTTTTTTTCTTAACTTTTCTGCATTTTCATTTAAATTCCTTTTCTGCTTTTTTTTTTACCTCTTCCTTAACTTTTTATCACTTTTCCTTTTTAACATTTTGTTCTTTTTTTACATATTTTCATTTTTTTTTCCATTTTTTTTCTTTTCTTAACTTTTCGGCTTTTTTACAGTTTTATTCTTTTTGCTTTTTACAGTCTCATTCTTTTTCTACTTTTTCCGATCCTTACCTTTTTCATCTTTATTCTTATTCCTTTTCTACTTTTTCCCCTTCCTTACGTTTTTTTCACCTTTTCTGGGTTTTTTCCCTTTTTTTTTTACATTTTCAACTTTTCCCTTTCTATAGCGTTTATGTATATTTATATACAATTCCTTGATACAAAGCTGATGGCACAGTCATTGACGACTTAAGCAGGCCCATATTCTCCATGCAATAACCCTTCTCGACCATCGTGACACTTGTTTGTTGTTAAGGTTTTGAACGAGGCTTCTGGAACAAAACAAAACAAAAGGAGAAAAAGTTGGAGGTTTTTTTTCAGGGTGACAAATCACATGAGATCAGGCGAAACGGTAGTTCTAGTTTCTCTCTGCAGTGTCTACCTGGCGTTCTGTTTTTATGGACTCCTGGGCAAGGGATGGGCTGGGATATGATATGCTCTGGGAATGGCGACATTTCCCAAACAACCAATCAGAGTTCTCCATGCAAATGACCAAATATGGAAAGCCTCTCCTCCCTCCTAGGAATTCTACTTGAGCCTTATCCTTATTTTGGTCACCTGATCAAACCCGTCTCCTTCATGCTTTGTACGAATACCTCTCATCATCACTGTCAGAGGGGCATGGAAAGCCCTCCGTCTTCCCTGAAATTCTACCTGGGACTTATCCTCTTTGGTCACCTGATCAAACCCGTCTCTTTCCTGCTTTGTGCGAATACCTCTCATCATCACTGTCAGAGGGGCATGTCAGAGGGGCATCATCACTGTCAGAGGCATGGAAATCCTCCGTCTTCCCTGAAATTCCACCTGGGACTTATCCTCTTTGGTCACTTCATCAAACCCCGTCTCCTTCCTGCTTTGTGCGAATACCTCTCATCATCACTGTCAGAGGGGCATGGAAAGCCTCCGTCTTCCCTGAAATTCTACCTGGGACTTATCCAACTTTCATCACTGTCAGAGGGCATGGATATCCGTCTTCCCACAGAAATTCAAACCCATCTCCTTCCTGCTTTGTGCGAATACCTCTCATCATCACTGTCAGAGGGGCATGGAAAGCCCTCCGTCTTCCCTGAAATTCCCCCTGGGACTTATCCTCTTTGGTCACCTGATCAAACCCGTCTCCTTCCTGCTTTGGCGATATATTTCTCATCATCACTGTCAGAGGGGCATGGAAAGTCCTCCGTCTTCCCTGAAATTCCACCTGGGACTTATCCTCTTTGGTCACCTGATCAAACCCGTCTCCTTCCTGCTTTGTGCGAATACTCTCATCATCACTGTCAGAGGGCATGGAAAGTCCTCCGTCTTCCCTGAAATTCCACCTGGGACTTATCCTCTTTGGTCACCTGATCAAACCCCTCCTTCCTGCTTTGTGCGAATACCTCTCATCATCACTGTCAGAGGGGCATGGAAAGTCCTCCGTCTTCCTGAAATTCCACCTGGGACTTATCCTCTTTGGTCACCTGATCAAACCCGTCTCCTTCCTGCTTTGTGCGAATACCTCTCATCATCACTGTCAGAGGGGCATGGAAAGTCCTCCGTCTTCCCTGAAATTCCACCTGGGACTTATCCTCTTTGGTCACCTGATCAAACCTGTCTCCTTCCTGCTTTGTGCGTATACCTCTCATCATCACTGTCAGAGGGGCATGGAAAGTCCTCCGTCTTCCCTGAAATTCCACCTGGGACTTATCCTCTTTGGTCACCTGATCAAACCCATCTCCTTCCTGCTTTGTGCGAATACCTCATCATCACTGTCAGAGGGGCATGGAAAGTCCTCCGTCTTCCCTGAAATTCCACCTGGGACTTATCCAACTTTGGTCACCTGATCAAACCCGTCTCCTTCCTGCTTTGTGCAGATACCTCTCATCATCACTGTCAGAGGGGCATGGAAAGCCCTCCGTCTTCCTGAAATTCCCCTGGGACTTATCCTCTTTGGTCACCTGATCAAACCCGTCTCCTTCCTGCTTTGTGCGAATACCTCTCATCATCACTGTCAGAGGGGCATGGAAAGTCCTCCGTCTTCCTGAAATTCTACCTGGGACTTATCCTCTTTTGGTCACCTGATCAAACCCCATCTCCTTCCTGCTTTGCATGAATACCTCATCATCACTGTCAGAGGGGCATGGAAAGCCCTCCGTCTTCCTGAAATTCCCCCTGGGACTTATCCTCTTTGGTCACCTGATCAAACCCGTCTCCTTCCTGCTTTGTGCGAATACCTCTCATCATCACTGTCAGAGGGGCATGGAAAGTCCTCCGTCTTCCCTGAAATTCCACCTGGGACTTATCCTCTTTGGTCACCTGATCAAACCTGTCTCCTTCCTGCTTTGTGCGTATACCTCTCATCATCACTGTCAGAGGGGCATGGAAAGTCCTCCGTCTTCCCTGAAATTCCTCCTGGGACTTATCCTCTTTGGTCACCTGATCAAACCGTCTCCTTCACCTTTTGTGCGAATACCTCTCATCATCACTGTCAGAGGGGCATGGAAAGCCCTCCGTCTTCCCTGAAATTCCCTGGGACTTATCCACTTTGGTCCTGATCAAACCCGTCTCCTTCCTGCTTTGCGAATACCTCTCATCATCACTGTCAGAGGGGCATGGAAAGCCCTCCGTCTTCCCTGAAATTCTGCCTGGGACTTATCCTCTTTGGTCACCTGATCAAACCCGTCCTTCCTGCTTTGTGCAGAATACCTCTCATCATCACTGTCAGAGGGGCATGAAAAGTCCTCCGTCTTCCCTGAAATTACACCTGGGACTTGTCCTCTTTGGTCACCTGATCAAAACCGTCTCCTTCCTGCTTTGTGCGTATATTTCTCATCATCACTCTCAGAGGGGCATGGAAAGACCTCCGTCTTCCCTGAAATTCCCCCTGGGACTTATCCACTTTGGTCACCTGATCAAACCCGTCTCCTTCCTGCTTTGTGCGAATACCTCTCATCATCACTGTCAGAGGGGCATGGAAAGTCCTCCGTCTTCCCTGAAATTCCACCTGGGACTTATCCTCTTTGGTCACCTGATCAAACCCGTCTCCTTCCTGCTTTGTGCGAATACCTCTCATCATCACTGTCAGAGGGGCATGGAAAGTCCTCCGTCTTCCCTGAAATTCTACCTGGGACTTATCCTCTTTGGTCACCTGATCAAACCCGTCTCCTTCCTGCTTTGTGCGAATACCTCTCATCATCACTGTCAGAGGGGCATGGAAAGCCTCCGTCTTCCCTGAAATTCCCCTCTTTGGTCTTATCCTGCTTGGTCACCTGATCAAACCCGTCTCCTTCCTGCTTTGTGCGAATACCTCTCATCATCACTGTCAGAGGGGCATGGAAAAAGTCCTCCGTCTTCCCTGAAATTCTACCTGGGACTTATCCTCTTTGGTCACCTGATCAAACCCGTCTCCTTCCTGCTTTGTGCGAATACCTCTCATCATCACTGTCAGAGGGGCATGGAAAGCCCTCCGTCTTCCTGAAATTCCACCTGGGACTTCACCTGATCAAACCCGTCTCCTTCCTGCTTTGTGGTACCTCTCATCATCACTGTCAGAGGGGCATGGAAAGTCCTCCGTCTTCCCTGAAATTCACACCTGGGACTTATCCTCTTTGGTCACCTGATCAAACCCGTCTCCTTCCTGCTTTGTGCGTATACCTCTCATCATCACTGTCAGAGGGCATGGAAAGCCCTCCGTCTTCCCTGAAATTCCCCCTGGGACTTATCCTCTTTGGTCACCTGATCAAACCCGTCTCCTTCCTGCTTTTGTGCATACCTCTCATCATCACTGTCAGAGGGGCATGGAAAGTTCTCCGTCTTCCCCTGAAATTCCCCCTGGGACTTATCCTCTTTGGTCACCTGATCAAACCCGTCTCCTTCCTGCTTTGTGCGAATACCTCTCATCATCACTGTCAGAGGGCATGGAAAGTCCTCCGTCTTCCCTGAAATTCCACCTGGGACTTATCCTCTTTGGTCACCTGATCAAACCCCGTCTCCTTCCTGCTTTGTGCGAACAATACCTCTCATCATCACTGTCAGAGGGGGCATGGAAAGCCCTCCGTCTTCCCCTGAAATTCCCCTGGGACTTATCCTCTTGGTCACCTGATCAAACCCGTCTCCTTCCTGCTTTGTGAATACCTCTCATCATCACTGTCAGAGGGGCATGGAAAGTCCTCCGTCTTCCCTGAAATTCCACCTGGGACTTATCCTCTTTGGTCACCTGATCAAACCCGTCTCCTTCCTGCTTTGTGCGAATACCTCTCATCATCACTGTCAGAGGGGCATGGAAAGTCCTCCGTCTTCCTGAAATTCCACCTGGGACTTGTCACTTTGGTCACCTGATCAAACCCATCTCCTTCCTGCTTTGTGCAGGCCTCTCATCATCACTGTCAGAGGGGCATGGAAAGTCCTCCGTCTTCCTGAAATTCCCCCTGGGACTTATCCACTTTGGTCACCTGATCAAACCTGTCTCCCTTCCTGCTTTGTGCGAATACCTCTCATCATCACTGTCAGAGGGGCATGGAAAGTCCTCCGTCTTCCCTGAAATTCCACCTGGGACTTATCATCTTTAATCACCTGATCAAACCCGTCTCCTTCCTGCTTTGTGCGAATACCTCTCATCATCACTGTCAGAGGGGCATGGAAAGTCCTCCGTCTTCCCTGAATTTCTACCTGGGACTTATCCACTTTGGTCACCTGATCAAACCCGTCTCCTTCCTGCTTTGTGCAGAATACCTCTCATCATCACTGTCAGAGGGCATGGAAAGTCCTCCGTCTTCCTGAAAATTCCACCTGGGACTTATCCTCTTTGGTCACCTGATCAAACCCGTCTCCCTTCCTGCTTTGTGCGAATACCTCTCATCATCACTGTCAGAGGGGCATGGAAAGTCCGTCTTCCCTGAAATTCCACCTGGGACTTATCCTCTTTGGTCTTCCTTCTGCTTTGTGCAAATCATCACTGTCCAGAGGGGCATGGGAAACTCTCCGTCTTCCCTGAAATCCTACTGGGGACTTATCCACTTGGTCACCTGATCAAACCCGTCTCCTTCCTGCTTTGTGCGAATACCTCTCATCATCACTGTCAGAGGGGCATGGAAAGCCCTCCGTCTTCCCTGAAATTCCACCTGGGACTTGTCCTCTTTGGTCACCTGATCAAACCCGTCTCCTTCCTGCTTTGTGCGAATACCTCTCATCATCACTGTCAGAGGGGCATGGAAAGTCCTCCGTCTTCCCTGAAATTCCACCTGGGACTTATCCTCTTTGGTCACTTCATCAAACCCGTCTCCTTCCTGCTTTGTGCGAATACCTATCATCATCACTGTCAGAGGGGCATGGAAAGTCCTCCGTCTTCCCTGAAATTCTCGCTGGGACTTATCCACTTTGGTCATCTGATCAAACCCGTCTCCTTCCTGCTTTGTGCGAATACCTCTCATCATCACTGTCAGAGGGCCATGGAAAGACTTCCGTCTTCCCTGAAATTCTACCTGGGACTTATCCACTTTGGTCACCTGATCCAACCCCTCTCCTTCCTGCTTTGTGCGAATACCTCTCATCAACACTGTCAGAGGGGCATGGAAAGCTCTCCTTCTTCCCTGAAATTCCACATGGGACTTATCCTCTTTGGTCACCTGATCAAACCCGTCTCCTTCCTGCTTTGTGCAGAATACCTCTCATCATCACTGTCAGAGGGGCATGGAAAGCCCTCCGTCTTCCCTGAAATTCCACCTGGACTTATCCTCTTTGGTCACCTGATCAAACCCGTCTCCTTCCTGCTTTGTGCGAATACCTCTCATCATCAATATCAGAGGGTCATGGAAAGCCCTCCGTCTTCCCTGAAATTCTACCTGGGACTTATCCTCTTTGGTCACCTGATCAAACCCGTCTCCTTCCTGCTTTGTGCGAATACCTCTCATCATCACTGTCAGAGGGGCATGGAAAGTCCTCCGTCTTCCCTGAAATTCCCACTCGGACTTATCCACTTTGGTCACCTGATCAAACCCGTCTCCTTCATGCTTTGTGCGAATACCTCTCATCATCACTGTCAGAGGGGCATGGAAAGCTCTCCGTCTTCCCTGAAATTCCACCTGGGACTTATCCTCTTTGGTCACCCATCAAACCCCTCTCCTTCCTGCTTTGTGCGAATACCTCTCATCATCACTGTCAGAGGGGCATGGAAAGCCCTCCGTCTTCCCTGAAATTCCACCTGGGACTTATTCTCTTTGATCACCTGATCAAACCCATCCCCTTCCTGCTTTGTGCGAATACCTCTCATCATCACTGTCAGAGGGGCATGGAAAGTCTCCGTCTTCCCTGAAATTCCCCCTGGGACTTATCCTCTTTGGTCACCTGATCAAACCCGTCTCCTTCCTGCTTTGTGTGAATACCTCTCATCATCACTGTCAGAGGGGCATGAAAGACTTCCGTCTTCCCTGAAATTCTACCTGGGACTTATCCTCTTTGGTCACTTCATCAAACCCGTCTCCTTCCTGCTTTGTGCGAATACCTCTCATCATCACTGTCAGAGGGGCATGGAAAAGTCCTCCGTCTTCCTGAAATTCCCCCTGGGACTTATCCTCTTTGGTCACCTGATCAAACCCGTCTCCTTCCTGCTTTGTGCGAATACCTCTCATCATCACTGTCAGAGGGGCATGAAAGCCCTCCGTCTTCCCTGAAATTCCACCTGGGACTTGTCCTCTTTGGTCACCTGATCAAACCCGTCTCCTTCCCTGCTTTGTGAATACCTCTCATCATCACTGTCAGAGGGCATGGAAAGTCCTCCGTCTTCCTGAAATTCCACCTGGGACTTGTCCTCTTTGGTCACCTGATCAAACCATCTCCCTCCTGCTTTGTGCGTATATACCTCATCATCACTGTCAGAGGGCATGGAAAGTCCTCCGTCTTCCCTGAAATTCCCCTGGGACTTATCCTCTTTGGTCACCTGATCAAACCCGTCTCCTTCCTGCTTTGAATACCTCTCATCATCACTGTCAGAGGGGCATGGAAAGTCCTCCGTCTTCCTGAAATTCCACCTGGGACTTATCCTCTTTGGTCACCTGATCAAACCTGTCTCCTTCCTGCTTTGTGCGAATCCTCTCATCATCACTGTCAGAGGGGCATGGAAAAGCCCTCCGTCTTCCCTGAAAATTCCCCTGGGACTTATCCTCTTTGGTCACCTGATCAAACCCGTCTCCTTCCTGCTTTGTGCGAATACCTCTCATCATCACTGTCAGAGGGGCATGGAAAGTCCTCCGTCTTCCCTGAAATTCCACCTGGGACTTATCCTCTTTGGTCACCTGATCAAACCCGTCTCCTTCCTGCTTTGTGCGAATACCTCTCATCATCACTGTCAGAGGGGCATGGAAAGTCCTCCGTCTTCCCTGAAATTCCACCTGGGACTTATCCTCTTTGGTCACCTGATCAAACCCGTCTCCTTCCTGCTTTGTGCGAATACCTCTCATCATCACTGTCAGAGGGGGGCATGGAAAGTCCTCCGTCTTCCCTGAAATTCCACCTGGGACTTATCCTCTTTGGTCACCTGATCAAACCCGTCTCCTTCCTGCTTTGTGCGAATACCTCTCATCATCACTGTCAGAGGGGCATGGAAAGCCCTCCGTCTTCCCTGAAATTCTACCTGGGACTTATCCTCTTTGGTCACCTGATCAAACCCATCTCCTTCATGCTTTGTGCGAATACCTCACATCATCACTGTCAGAGGGGCATGGAAAGTCCTCCGTCTTCCCTGAAATTCTCCTGGGACTTATCCTCTTTGGTCACCTGATCAAACCCGTCTCCTTCCTGCTTTGTGCGAATACCTCTCATCATCACTGTCAGAGGGGCATGGAAAGCCCTCCGTCTTCCCTGAAATTCCACCTGGGACTTATCCACTTTGGTCACCTGATCAAACCCGTCTCCTTCCTGCTTTGTGCGAATACCTCTCATCATCACTGTCAGAGGGGCATGGAAAGCTCTCCGTCTTCCCTGAAATTCCACCTGGGACTTATCCTCTTTGGTCACCTGATCAAACCCGTCTCCTTCCTGCTTTGTGCGAATACCTCTCATCATCACTGTCAGAGGGCCATGGAAAGACTTCCGTCTTCCCTGAAATTCTACCTGGGACTTATCCTCTTTGGTCACCTGATCAAACCCGTCTCCTTCCTGCTTTGTGCGAATACCTCTCATCATCACTGTCAGAGGGGCATGGAAAGCCCTCCGTCTTCCCTGAAATTCTACCTGGGACTTATCCTCTTTGGTCACTTCATCAAACCCGTCTCCTTCCTGCTTTGTGCGAATACCTCTCATCATCACTGTCAGAGGGGCATGGAAAGCCCTCCTTCTTCCCTGAAATTCCACCTGGGACTTATTCTCTTTGGTCACCTGATCAAACCCATCTCCTTCCTGATTTGTGCGAATTCCTCTCATCATCACTGTCAGAGGGGCATGGAAAGCCCTCCGTCTTCCCTGAAATTCCACCTGGGACTTATCCTCTTTGGTCACTTCATCAAACCTGTCTCCTTCCTGCTTTGTGCGAATACCTCTCATCATCACTGTCAGAGGGGCATGAAAGCCCTCCGTCTTCCCTGAAATTCACCTGGGACTTATCCTCTTTGGTCACTTCATCAAACCCGTCTCCTTCCTGCTTTGTGCGAATACCTCTCATCATCACTGTCAGAGGGCATGGAAAGCCCTCCGTCTTCCCCTGAAATTCCATCAGGACTTATCCTCTTTGGTCACCCTGATCAAACCCGTCTCCTTCCTGCTTTGTGCGAATACCTCTCATCATCACTGTCAGAGGGGCATGGAAAGCCCTCCGTCTTCCCTGAAATTCTCGCTGGGACTTATCCACTTTGGTCATTCATCAAACCCGTCTCCTTCCTGCTTTGTGCGAATACCTCTCATCATCACTGTCAGAGGGCCATGGAAAGCCCTCCGTCTTCCCTGAAATTCTACCTTTATCCTCTTTTGTCACCTGATCAAACCCGTCTCCTTCCTGCTTTGTGCGAATACCTCTCATCAACACTGTCAGAGGGCATGGAAAGCTCCTTCTTCCCTGAAATTCCACACTGGACTTATCCTCTTTGGTCACCTGATCAAACCTCTCCTTCCTGCTTTGTGCGAATACCTCTCATCATCACTGTCAGAGGGGCATGGAAAGCCCTCCGTCTTCCCTGAAATTCCACCTGGGTTTATCCTCTTGGTCACTTCATCAAACCCGTCTCCTTCCTGCTTTGTGCGAATACCTCTCATCATCACTGTCAGAGGGCATGGAAAGCCTCCGTTTTCCCTGAAATTCCACCTGGGACTTATCCTCTTTGGTCACCTCATCAAACCCGTCTCCTTCCTGCTTTGTGCGAATACCTCTCATCATCACTGTCAGAGGGGCATGGAAACCCTCCGTCTTCCCTGAAATTCTACCTGGGACTTATCCCTTTGGTCACTTCATCAAACCCGTCTCCTTCTGCTTTGTGAATACCTCTCATCATCTGTCAGAGGGCATGGAAAGCCCTCCGTCTTCCCTGAAATTCCACCTGGGACTTATTCTCTTTGGTCACCTGATCAAACCCATCTCCTTCCTGCTTTGTGCGAATACCTCTCATCATCACTGTCAGAGGGGCATGGAAAGCCCTCCGTCTTCCCTGAAATTCCACCTGGACTTATCCTCTTGGTCACTTCATCAAACCTGTCTCCTTCCCCTGCTTTGTGCGAATACCTCTCATCATCACTGTCAGAGGGGCATGGAAAGCCCCTCCGTCTTCCCCTGAAATTCTACCAGGACTTATCCTCTTTGGTCACCTGATCAAACCCGTCTCCTTCCTGGTTTGTGCAAATACCTCATCATCACTGTCAGAGAGGCATGGAAACCCTCCGTCTTCCTGAAATTCTACCTGGACTTATCCCCTCTTTGGTCACCTGATCAAACCTGTCTCCTTCCTGCTTTGTGCGAATACCTCTCATCATCACTGTCAGGGGGCATGGAAAGCCCTCCGTCTTCCTGAAATTCTACCTGGGACTTATCCTCTTTGGTCCTTCATCAATCCCGTCTCCTTCCTGGTCACCTCATCATCACCCGTCTCCGTTTTCCTGGAAATTTGGGCTTATCCTCCTATCATCATCCTGATCAGAACCTGCATTCCTGCTTTTGTGCGAATACGTCTTCATCACTGTCAGAAATGAAAGCTCTCCGTCTTCACTGGGAATTATCCTCTTTGGTCACCTGATCAAACCCGTCTCCTTCCTGCTTTGTGCGAATACCTCTCATCATCACTGTCAGAGGGGCATGGAAAGCCCTCCGTCTTCCCTGAAATTCTACCTGGGACTTATCCTCTTTGGTCACTTCATCAAACCCGTCTCCTTCCTGCTTTGTGCGAATACCTCTCATCATCACTGTCAGAGGGGCATGGAAAGCCCTCCGTCTTCCCTGAAATTCCACCTGGGACTTATCCTCTTTGGTCACTTCATCAAACCCGTCTCCTTCCTGCTTTGTGCGAATACCTCTCATCACTGTCAGAGGGGCATGGAAAGCCCTCCGTCTTCCCTGAAAATTCTACCTGGGACTTATCCTCTTTGATCACCTGATCAAACCCGTCTCCTTCCTGGTTTGTGCAGGCCTCTCATCATCACTGTCAGAGCATGGAAAGCCCTCCGTCTTCCCTGAAATTCCATCTGAATTATCCTCTTTGGTCACCTGATCAAACCTGTCCCCTTCCTGCTTTGTGCGAATACCTCTCATCATCACTGTCAGAGGGGCATGGAAAAGCCCTCCGTCTTCCCTGAAATTCTACCTGGGACTTCCTCCTTTGGTCACTTCATCAAACCGTCTCCTTCCTGTTTTGTGCGAATACCTATCATCATCACTGTCAGAGGGGCATGGAAACTCTCCGTCTTCCCTGAAATTCCACCTGGGACTTATCCTCTTTGGTCACCTGATCAAACCCGTCTCCTTCCTGGCTTGTGCGAATACCTCTCATCATCACTGTCAGAGGAGCATGGTGCCTCCTCTTCCCTAAAATTCCATTTGCACTTATCCTCTTTGGTCACTTCATCCAAAACCCCGTCTCCCTTCCTGCTTTGTGAATACCCTCATCATCACTGCTGAGGCATGGAAAAGTCCTCCCGTCTTCCCTGAATTCTACCTGGACTTATCCTCTTTGGTCACCTGATCAAACCTGTCTCCTTCTAGCTTTGTGCGAATACCTCTCATCATCACTGTCAGAGGGGGCATGGAAAGCTCTCCGTCTTCCCTGAAATTCCCATCTGGGATCATCCTCTTTTGGTCACCTGATCCAACCCCGCCTCCCCTTCCTGCTTTGTGAACAATTTCTTATCATCACTGTCAGAGGGTGGCCAGAAAGTCCCGTCTTCTGAAATTCCACCTGGGACTTATCCTCTTTGGTCGCCTGATCAAACCTGTCTCTCCTTCCCCTGGTTTTAGCAACACTCTATCATCATCACTATCAGAGGGGCATGGAAAGCCCTCCGTCTTCCCCTGAAATTCCACCTGGAACTTGTCAACTTTGGTCACCTGATCAAACCTGTCTCCCTTCCTGGTTTGTGCGAATACACTCTCATCATCACTATCAGAGGGGCATGGAGTCCCTCCGTCTTCCTGAAATTCTGCCTGGTACTTATCCGTTTTGGTCACTTCATCAAACCTGTCTCCTTCATGCTTTGTTGAATAATCTCATCATCACTGTCAGAGGGGTATGGAAAGTCCTCCGTCTTCCCTGAAATTCCCCCTGGGACTTATCCACTTTGGTCACCTGATCAAACCGTCTCCTTCTGCTTTGTGCGATACCTCTCATCATCACTGTCAGATGGGCATGGAAAGCCTCTCCGTCTTCCCTGAAATTCCACCTGGGACTTATCCTCTTTGGTCACTTCATCAAACCCGTCTCCTCTTCCTGCTTTGTGCGAATACTCCATCATCATCACTGTCAGAGGGGCATGGAAAGCCCTCCGTCTTCCCTGAAATTCCACCTGGACTTATCCTTTGGTCACTTCATCAAACCCGTCTCCTTCCTGGTTTGTGAATACCTCTCATCATCACTGTCAGAGGGCATGGAAAGTCTCCGTCTTCCCTGAAATTCTACCTGGGACTTATCCTCTGGTCCCTGATCAAACACGTCTCCTTCCTGGCTTGTGGAATACTTCTCATCATCACTGTCAGAGGGGCGTGGAAAAGCTCTCGTCTTCCTGAAATTCCACCTGGGAATTATCCTCTTGTCACCTGATCCAACCTGTCTCCTTCCTGCGAATACCTCATCATCACTGTCAGAGGGCAAGGAAAGCCCTCCGTCTTCCCTGAAATTCCACCTGACTTATCCTCTTTGGTCACTTCATCAAACCCCGTCTCCTTCCTGCCTGTGTGCAGAATACCTCTCATCCCCACTGTCAGAGGGGGCATGGAAAAGCCCTCCAAATCTTCCCTGAATTCCCTGGGACTTATCCTCTTTGGTCACCTGATCAAACCCGTCTCCTTCCTGCTTTGTGCGTATATTTCTCATCATCACTCAGAGGGGCATGGAAAGTCCTCCGTCTTCCTGAAATTCCCCCTGGGACTTATCCTCTTTGATCACCTTGATCAAAACCTGTCTCCTTCCTGCTTTTGTGCGAATACCTCCCTCATCATCACTGTCAGAGGGGCATGGAAAGACCTCCGTCTTCCCTGAAATTCTACCTGGGACTTATCCTTGTTCTTTGGTCACCTGATCAAACCGTCCCTTCCTGCTTTGCGAATACCTCTCATCATCACTGTCAGAGGGGCATGAAAGTCCTCCGTCTTCCCTGAAATTCTACCTGGGACTTATTCAACTTTGGTCACCTGATCAAACCATGTCCTTCATGGTTTGTGCGACACCTCCCATCATCACTGTCAGAGGGGCATGGAAAGTCCTCCGTCTTCCCTGAAATTCCCCTGGGACTTATCCTCTTTGGTCATCTTCAATACCTCTCATCATCACTGTCAGAGGGGCATGGAAAGTCTCCTTTCCCCTGCTTTCCACTTTGGTCACCTGATCAAACCTGTCTCCTTCCTGCTTTGTGCGAATACCTCCATCACTGTCAGAGGGGGCATGGGAAAGTCTCCCGTCTTCCCTGAAATTCCACTCTGGGACTTATCCTCTTTGGTCACTTCATCAAACCCGTCTCCTTCCTGCTTTGTGCGAATACCTCTCATCATCACTGTCAGAGGGGCATGGAAAAGCCCTCTCCGTCTTCCCTGAAATTCTACCTGGGACTTATCCTCTTTGGTCACCTGATCAAACCGTCTCCTTCCTGCTTTGTGCGAATACCTCTCATCATCTGTCAGAGGGCATGGACCTCCGTCTTCCCTGAAATTCCACCTGGGACTTATCCTCTTTGGTCACCTGATCAAACCCGTCTCCTTCCTGCTTTGTGCGAATACTTCTCATCATCACTGTCAGAGGGGCATGGAAAGCCCTCCGTCTTCCCTAAATTCCCCTGGGACTTATCCTCTTTGGTCACCTCATCAAATCCGTCTCCTTCCTTTTGTGCGAATACCTCATCATCACTGTCAGAGGGGCATAGAAAGCCTCCTTCCCTGAAATTCTACCTGGGACTTATCCTCTTTGGTCACCTCATCAAACCCGTCTCCTTCCTGCATGTGCGAATACCTTCATCATCACTGTCAGAGGGCATGGAAAGCCCTCCGTCTTCCCTGAATTTACCTGGGACTTCATCCTCTTTGGTCACCTCATCAAACCCCGTCTCCTTCCTGCTTTGTGCGAATACATCATCATCACTGTCAGAGGGCATGGAAAAGTCCTCCGTCTTCCCTGAAATTCTACCTGGACTTATTCTGTTTGGTCACCTGATCAAACCCGAAAAGAAAACACCGGTAAATACTTTCCGTCTCAGTCAGTTCCAGGCTCCCTGATAAGACAAGTCTCCGTCCCTCCCCTGAAATTCCACCTGGGACTTATGTCTTTGGATACCTGATTCGACCTAAAAGAAAACACCGGTTTGTACCAGTCCGTCTCAGCCGTTCCAGGCTCGTGATAAGACAAGCCCTCCGTCTTCGGGCGTAGAAAATCAATCAGGGTTCTGGTCTATTCTGCAGAGATTGACCAAAAGAAAAACACCGGCAAATACCAGTCCGTCCATCAGCCGTTCCAGGGCCGTGATAAGACAAGTCCGTCTTCCCTGAAGGTTCTGCCCAAGGACAGAGATTTGTCTGAAAAGAAAAAACCTGTAAATACCAGTCCGTTCAAAGTGAATTCCAGGCTCGTGACTGTCAGACAAGTCCTCCGTCTTCCCTGTGAATCAATCAGGGTTCTGTCTTGGACAGAGATCAAACCCGTCTCCTTCCTGCACCGTGCGAATACCAGTCCGTCCTAGTCAGTTCCAGGCTCGTGATAAGAAAGTCCTCCGTCTTCCCTGAAAATCAATCAGGGTTCTGTCCTGGATAGAGATTCGACTGAAAAGAAAAAACACCCTTCAGTGAAATACTCTCCGTCATCACTGTTCCAGGGTAGACAAGTCCTCCGTCTTCCCTGAAATCAACCAGGTTTATCCTTTATAGAGATTCACCTGAAAAAACCTGTCTCCTTCCTGGTTTGTCCGAATCTCTAGCATCAATTCCAGGCTCGTGATAAGAAATCTCCTCCGTCTTCCTGAAATTCCATCTGGGAATTATCCTTTGTCACCTGATCCAACCTGCCTCCTTCCTGCTTTGTGCGAATACCTCTCATCATCACTGTCAGAGGGGGCAGCCTCTGTCTTCCCCTGAAATTTCTCCGTCTTCCCTGATCAAACCTCTTCCTGGTTTTTGAATACCTCCTCTTTGGGTCACTTCATCAAACCAGTCTCACCTGATCAAACCTGTCTTTGTGTGAATACCTCTCTGTCATCACTGTCAGAGGGGCATGGATCCACCACGTCTTCCCTGAAATTCCTCCTGGGTTTATCCGTTTTGGTCACTTCATCAAACCTGTCTCCTTCCTGCTTTGTGCGAATACCTCTCATCATCACTGTCAGAGGGCATGGAAAAGCCCTCATGTCTTCCCTGAAATTCCCCTGGGACTTATCCACTTGTCACCTGATCAAACCTGTCTCCTTCATGCTTTGTGCGAATACTCTCATCATCACTGTCAGAGGGCACAAGCCTCCGTCTTCCCCTGAAATTCCACCTGGACTTATCCTCTTGTTCATGTCAAACCCATCTCTCTTCCTGCTTTTGTGCGAATACCTATCATCATCACTGTCAGAGGGCATGGAAAGCTCAACCTTCCCTGAAATTCCACCTGGGACTTATCTCTTGGTCACCTGATCAAACCCTCTCGTTCCTGATTTCCAGTGAATCCTCTCATCATCACTGTCAGAGGGGGCATGGAAAGTCCGTCTTCCTGAAATTCCACCTGGGACTTATCCTCTGGTCACTTCATCAAACCCATCTCCTTCCTGCTTTGTACGAATACCTCTCATCATCACTGTCAGAGGGGGCCCTCAATCTTCCTGAAATTCTACTCTGGGACTTATCCTCTTTGGTCACCTGATCAAATCCCGTCTTCCTTCCTGGGACTTTGTTTATCGAAAACCTACCTATTTCTCATCATCACTGTCAGAGGGGTATGGAAAGCCCTCCGTCTTCCTGAAATTCTACCTGGACTTATCCACCTTGGTCACCTCATCAAACCTGTCTCCTTCCTGCTTTGTGCAATTTCATCATCACTGTCAGAGGGGCATGGAAAGTCCTCCGTCTTCCCCTGAAATTCCACCTGGGACTTATCCTCTTGGTCACCTTGATCAAACCTGTCTCCTTCCTGCTTTGTGCGAATACCTCTCATCATCACTGTCAGAGGGGCATGAAAGCCCTCCGTCTCCCTGAAATTCCACCTGGACTCTATCCCTTGATCACTTCATCAAACCTGTCTCCTTCCTGCTGTGCGAATACTTCATCATCACTGTCGAGGGGCATGGAAAGCCCTCCTGTCTTCCCTGAAATTCTCCACTAATTCAACTTTGGTCACTTATTCCCATCGATCACCTGATTTGAACCCATCCTTCCTGCTTTGAGCGAATACCTCTCATCATCATCACTGTCAGAGGGGCAAAGTCCTCCGTCTTCCCTGAAAATTCCACCTGGGACCCTCCGTCTTCCTGAAATTCTACCTGGGACTTATCCTCTTTGGTCACTTCATCAAACCTGTCCTTCCTGCTTTGGCGAATACCTCTCATCATCACTGTCAGAGGGGCATGGAAAGTTCTCCGTCTTCCCTGAAATTCCCTGGGACTTATTCTTTGGTCACCTGATCAAACCCCATCTCCTTCCTGCTTTGTGCGAATATTTCTCTCATCACTGTCACATGTCAGTCTTCCTGAAATTCCCCTGGGCATCACTTTGGATCAAACCCGTCTCTTCCTGCGTGCAGGCCTTCCCAGAGGGGCATGAAATTCCACCACCTGGGACTTATCCCTTTGGTCTCCAAACCCGTCTCCTTCCTGCTTTGTGCGAATACCTCTCATCATCACTGTCAGAGGGCATGGAAAGCCCTCCACGTCTTCCCTGAAATTCTACTCTGGGATTTCTATCCTCTTGATCACTTGATCAAACCTGTCTCCTTCTGCTTTGTATGAATAATTTCTCATCATCACTGTTGAGGGGCATGGAAAAGTCTCTCCAGTCCTCCTGAAATTCCACCTGGGACTTATTCTTTTGGTCACCTGATCAAACCCATCTCCTTCCTGCTTTGTGCGAATACCTCCATCATCACTGTCAGAGGGGCATGGGAATCTCCGTCTTCCCTTTCCATCTGGAATTATCCCTTTGTCACCTGATCCAACCTGGCCTCCTTCCTGCTTTGTGAATACCTCTCATCACTATCAGAGGGCATGGAAAGCCCTCCGTCTTCCCCTGAAATCTCCACATGACTAATCCTCTTTGGTCACTTGATCAAACCTGTCTCCTTCTGCTGTGTGCGAATACCTCTCATCATCATCACGTCAGAGGGCATGAAAAGTCCTCCGTCTTCCCTGAAATTCTACCTGGGACTTATCCTTTTGGTCACTTCATCAAAACCGTCTCCTTCCTGCTTTGTGCGAATACCTATCATCATCTGCTGTCAGAGGGCATGGAAGACCCTCCGTCTTCCTGAAATTCCCCTGGACTTATCCACTTGTCACTTCATCAAACCTGTCTCCTTCCCTTGCTGTGGCGGAATACCTCTCATCATCACTGTCAGAGGGCCTCGAAAGCTTCCCTCTTCCCAAAAATTCCACCTGACTTATCCTCTTTGGTCACCTCATCAAACCCATCCTTCCTGCTTTGTGCGAATACCTATCATCACTGTCAGAGGGGCATGGAAAGCCCTCCGTCTTCCCTGAAATTCTACCTGGGACTTATCCTCTTTGGTCACCTGATCAAACCTGTCTCCTTCCTGCTTTTGAATACCTCTCATCATCACTGTCAGAGGGGCATGGAAAGTCCTCCGTCTTCCTGAAATTCCACCTGGGACTTATCCTCTTTGATCACCTGATCAAACCTGTCCCTTCCTGCTTTGTGCGAATACCTCTCATCATCACTGTCAGAGGGCATGCATGTCTTCCTGAAAGCCTCCGTCTTCCCCCCAAAATTCCATCTGACTTATCCTCTTGGTCACCTGATCAAACCTGTCTCCTTCCTGCTTTTGTGAATACCTCATCATCACTGTCAGAGGGCATGGAAACTCCTCCGTCTTCCCTGAAATTCACCTGACTTGTCCTCTTGGTCACCTCCATCAAACCTGTCTCCTTCCTGCTTTTAGTGAATACCTCTCATCATCACTGTCAGAGGGCATGGAAAGCCCTCCGTCTTCCCTGAAATTCCACCTGGGACTTATCCTCTTGGTCACCTGATCAAACCATCTCCTTCCTGCTTTGGTGCGAATACCTCTCATCATCACTGTCAGAGGGGCATGGAAATCTTCCGTCTTCCTGGAAATTCTACCTGGACTTATCCAACTTTGGTCACCTGATCAAACCTGTCTCTTCCTGGTTTGAAAGGAATACCTCTCATCATCACTATCAGAGGGGTATGAAAGCCCTCCGTCTTCCCCTGAAATTCCACCTGGGACTTATCCTCTTTAATCACCTGATCAAACCCGTCTCCTTCCTGGTTTGTGAATACCTCTCATCATCACTGTCAGAGGGTCATGGAAAGTCCTCCGTCTTCCTGAAATTCTACCTGGGATTATCTCTTTGGTCACCTGATCAAACCTGTCTCCTTCCTGCTTTGTTTACATCTCATCATCACTGTCAGAGGGGTGAAAGCCCTCCGTCTTCCTGAAATTCCACCTGGGACTTATCCTCTTTGGTCACCTGATCAAACTCCCGTCTCCTTCCTGGTTTGGTGCGAATACCTCTCATCATCACTGTCAGAGGGCATGAAAGCCCGTCTTCCTGAAATTCTACCTGGGACTTATCCTTTTGGTCACCTGATCAAACCTGTCTCCATCCTGCTTTGTGTGAATACCCCATCATCACTGTCAGAGGGCATGGAAAGTCCTCCGTCTTCCCTGAAATTCTACCTGGGACTTATCCAACTTTTATCACTTCATCAAACCTGTCTCCTTCCTGGTTTGTGCAGAATACTCTCATCATCACTGTCAGAGGGGTATGGAAAGCCCTCCGTCTTCCCTGAAATTCCACCTGGACTTATCCTCTTTGTCACTTCATCAAACCTGTCTCCTTCCTGCTTTGTGCGAATACCTTCTCATCATCACTGTCAGAGGGCATGGAAAGCCTCCGTCTTCCCTGAAATTCCACCTGGGATTTATCCTCTTTGGTCACCTGATCAAACCTGTCTCCCTTCCTGCTTTGTGCGAATACTCTCATCATCACTGTCAGAGGGGCATGGAAAGCCCTCCGTCTTCCCTGAAATTCCACATGGGACTTATCCTTTTGGTCACCTGATCAAACCTGTCTCCTTCCTGGTTTGTGCGAATACCTTCATCATCACTGTCAGAGGGCATGGAAAGCCTCCGTCTTCCCTGAAATTCTACCTGGATTATTATCCGCTTGGTCACCTGATCAAACCTGTCTCCTTCCTGCTTTGTGCGAATACCTCTCATCATCACTGTCAGAGGGGCATGGAAAGCCCTCCGTCTTCCCTGAAATTCTACCTGGGACTTATCCTCTTTGGTCACTTCATCAAACCCGTCTCTTCACCTGTTTGTTGCGAATACCTATCATCATCACTGTCAGAGAGGCATGGAAATTCCCTCCGTCCTGAAATTCCACCTAGGACTTATCCTCTTGGTCACTTCATCAAACCTGTCTCCTTCCTGCTTTGTGCGAATACCTCCCTCATCATCACTATCAGAGGGCATGGAAAGCCCTCCGTCTTCTTAAATTACCCTGGGACTTATTCTCTTTTGGTCACCTGATCCAAACCCATCTCCTTCCTGCATTGTGCGTATATTTCTCATCATCACTCTCAGAGGGGCATGGAATGCCTCCGTCTTCCCTGAAATTCCCCTGGGACTTATCCCTTTGGTCACTTCATCAAACCCCGTCTCTATTTCCTGCTTTCTAGTGAATACCTCTCATCATCACTGTCAGAGGGCATGGAAAGCCCTCCGTCTTCCTGAAATTCAACCTGGGACTTATCCTCTTTGGTCACCTGATCAAACCGTCTCCTTCCTGCTTTGTGCGAATACCTCCTCATCATCACTGTCAGAGGGGCATGGAAAGCCCTCCGTCTTCCCTGAAATTCCACCTGGGACTTATCCTCTTTTGTCACCTGATCAAACCCGTCTCCTTCCTGCTTTGTGCGAATACCTCTCATCATCACTGTCAGAGGGCATGGAAAGCCCTCCGTCTTCCCTGAAATTCCCCCTGGGACTTATCCCTCTTTGGTCACCTGATCAAACCTGTCTCTTCCTAGTTTGTGCGAATACCTCTCATCATCACTGTCAGAGGGCATGGAAAATTCTCCGTCTTCCCTGAAATTCTACCTGGGACTTATCCAACTTTGGTCACCTTCCATCAAACCTGTCTCCTTCCTGGTTTGTGCAATACCTCTCATCATCACTGTCAGAGGGGCATGGAAAGCCCTCCGTCTTCCTGAAATTCCTCCTGGGACTTATCCCTTTTTGGTCACCTGATCAAACCACGTCTCCTTCCTGGTTTGTGCGAATACCTCTCATCATCACTGTCAGAGGGCATGGAAAGCCCTCCGTCTTCCTGAAAATTCCATCTGGGACTTATCCTCTTTGGTCACCTGATCCAACCCGTCTCCCCTTCCTGCTTTGTGCGAATACCTCTCATCATCACTGTCAGAGGGTATGGAAAGCCCTCCGTCTTCCCTGAAATTCCTCCTGGACTTATCCTCTTTGGTCACTAGTCAAGCCCGTCTCCTTCCTGGTTTGATTGCAGAATACCTCTCATCATCACTGTCAGGGGCATGGAAAGTCCTCGTCTTCCCTGAAATTCCCCCTGGGACTTATCCCTTTTGGTCACCTGATCAAACCCGTCTCCTTCCTGCTTTGTGCAGATACCTCATCATCACTGTCAGAGGGGCATGGAAAGCCTCCGTCTTCCCTGAAATTCCCCCTGGGACTTATCATCTTTGGTCACCTGATCAAACCTGTCTCCTTCCTGGTTTGTGTAAATACCTCTCATCATCACTGTCAGAGGGCATGGAAGCCCTCCGTCTTCCCTGAAATTCCACCTGACTTATCCTCTTGGTCACCTCATCAAACCTGTCACCTTCCTGGTTTGTGCAAACTATCCCCTTTCCCATGAAAGGAATACCTCTCATCATCACTGTCAGAGGGGCATGGAAAGTCCTCCGTCTTCTTTCTACCTGGGACTTATCCTCTTTGGTCACCTGATCAAACCCGTCTCCTTCCTGCTTTGTGCGAATCCTCTCATCATCACTGTCAGAGGGGCATGGAAAGCCTCCGTCTCAAAGCCCGTCCCTGAAATTCCACCTGGGACTTATCCTCTTTGGTCACCTGATCAAACCTGTCTCCTTCCTGCTTTGTGCGAATACCTCCTTCCTGCTTTGTGCATCATCATCACTGTCAGAGGGGCATGGAAATTCCTCCTGTCTTCCCCTGAAATTCCTTCCTGGGACTTATCCATCACTTGGTCACCTTCATCAAATCCGTCTATTCCTGGTTTGTGCGAATACCTCTCATCATCTCTGTCAGAGGGGCATGGAAAGCCTCGTCTTCCCTGTTCCACCTGGGACTTTTATCCTCTTTTGGTCCTTCATCCGACCCGTCTCCTTCTGCTGTGTGCGAATACCTCTCATCATCACTATCAAGAGGGCATGGAAAAGCCCTCCGTCTTCCCTGGGGAATTCTACCTGGGACCTATCCTCTTTGGTCCCTACATCAAACCCCGTCTCCTTCCTGCTTTGCTGCGAATACCTATCATCATCACTGTCAGAGGGGCATGGAAAGCCTCCGTCTTCCCTGAAATTCCACCTGGGGACTTATCCTCTTTGGCCCTCCTGATCAGCCCGTCTCCTTCACCGCTTTGTGCAGGCCCTCTCATCTCATCCACTGTCAGAGGCCATGGGAAAACCCTCAAATCTTCTGGAAATTCCACCCCTGGGACTTATTCTCTTTGGTCCCTGGTCAAACCGTCCCCTTCCTGCTTTGTGCGAATAACTCTCTCATCACTGTCAGAGGGGCATGGAAAGCCCTCAGTCTTCCCTGAAAATTCTACTGGGACTTATCCAACTTTGGTCACCTGATCAAACCCATCCCCTTCCTGGTTTTGTTGCGAATACCTCTCATCATCACTATCAGAGGGCATGGAAGAGCCCTCCGTCTTCCCCCTGAAATTCTACCTGGGACTTATCTCTTTGGTCACTTCATCAAACCCTGTCTCCTTCCTGCTTTGTGCGAATACCTATCATCATCACTGTCAGAGGCATGGAAAGTCCTCCGTCTTCCTGAAATTCTACCCTGGGACTTTTCCTCTTTGGTCCACTTCGTCAAACCTGCTCCTTCCTGGTTTAAAGGAATACCTCTCATCATCACTGTCAGAGGGGCATGGAAGCCTCCCCTCTTCCCCTGAAATTCTGGTACTTATCCATGACTTATCCTCCTTTGGTCACTTCATCATCACGTCAAAAAGTCTCCCCTTCCCCTGGAATTTATCCACTTGGTCACCTGATCAACCTGTCCTTCTCATCCTCTCATCACTGTCAGATAAGGCATGGAAGCCTCCGTCTTCCTGAAATTCCACCTAGGACTTATCCTCTTGTTCACCTCCATCAAACCCGTCTCCTTCCTGGTTTGTGCGAATACCTCCTCATCATCACTGTCAGAGGGGCATGGAAGTCTCTCCGTCTTCCTGAAATTCCACCTGGACTATCCTCTTTGGTCACCTGATCAAAACCCGTCTCCTTCCTGGTTTTGTGCAACACCTCTCATCATCACTGTCAGAGGGCATGGAAAGCCTCCGTCTTCCCTGAAATTCCACCTGGGACTTATCCTCTTTGGTCACCTGATCAAACCTGTCTCCTTCCTGCTTTGTGCAGAATACCTCTCATCATCACTGTCAGAGGGGCATGGAAAGCCCTCCGTCTTCCCTGAAAATTCTACCTGGGACTTATCCAACTTTTGGTCACCTGATCAAACCTCTCCTTCTGGTTTATTTTGATACCTCTCATCATCACTGAGGGGCATTCCGTCCTCCCTGAAATTCCCCTGGGGCTTATCCTCTTTGGTCACTTCATCAAACCTGTCTCGTTCCTGTTGCAAATACTCTCATCATCACTGTCAGAGGGCATGGAAAGTCCTCCGTCTTCCCTGAAATCACTTATCCTCTTGGTCACCTGACAAACCCGTCTCCTTCCTGGTTTTGTGCGAATACCTCTCATCACTGTCAGAGGGGCATGGAAAGCCCTCCGTCTTCCCCTGAAATTCTACCTGGGACTTATCCTCTTTGGTCACCTGATCAAACCCATCTCCTTCCTGCTTTGTGCGAATACCTCTCATCATCACTGTCAGGGGCGTGGAAAGTCCTCCGTCTTCCCTGAAATTCTACCTGGGACTTATCCTCTTTGGTCACCTGATCAAACCCGTCTCCTTCCTGCTTTGTGCGAATACCTATCATCATCATCACTGTCAGAGGGGCATGGAAAGTCCTCCGTCTTCCTGAAATTCCACCTGGGACTTATCCTCTTTGGTCACCTGATCAAACCTGTCTCCTTCCTGCTTTGTGCGAATACCTCTCATCATCTGTCACAGAGGCATGGAAAGCCCTCCGTCTTCCCTGAAATTCTACCTGGGACTTATCCTCTTTGGTCACTTCATCAAACCGTCTCCTTCCTGCTTTGTGCGAATACTTCCTCATCATCACTGCTGTCAGAGGGCGTGGAAAACCCTCCGTCTTCCTGAAATTCACCTGGGACTTGTCCTCTTTGGTCCACTTCATCAAACCCGTCTCCTTCCTGCTTTGTGCGAATACCTATCATCATCACTGTCAGGAGGGCATGGAAAGCCCTCCGTCTTCCCTGAAATTCTCCACTTATCCAGGGTCACTTTATCCCATCTTTTGCTTTGTCGAATACCTCTCATCATCACTGTCAGAGGGGACAATCTTCCTGGAATTCTACCTGGACTTATCCTCTTTGGTCACTTCATCCGACCGTCTCCTTCCTGCTTTGGCCTCTCATCATCACTGTCAGAGGGGCATGCAGAAAGAGTCCTCCGTCTTCCCTGAAATTCCACCTGGGACCCCATCCTCTTTGGTCACCTGATCAAACCCGTCTCCTTCCTGCTTTGTGCGAATACCTCTCATCATCACTGTCAGAGGGGCATGGAAATCCCTCCGTCTTCCCTGAAATTCCACCTGGGACTTATCCTCTTTGGTCCTTCATCAAACCCCGTCTCCTTCCTGCTTTGTGCAGAATACCTCTCATCATCACTGTCAGAGGGGCATGGAAAGCCCTCCGTCTTCCCTGAAATCTCCACCTGGGACTTATCCTCTTTGGTCACCTGATCAAACCCGTCTCCTTCCTGGTTTGTGCGAATTTCTCATCATCACTGTCAGAGGGCATGGAAAGCTTCCGTCTTCCCTGAAATTCTACCTGGGACTTATCCAACTTGGTCACCTGATCAACCGTCTCCTTCCTGCTTTGTGCGAATACCTCACATCATCACTGTCAGAGAGGGCATGGAAAGCCCTCCGTCTTCCCTGAAATTCCACCTGGGACTTATCCTCTTTGGTCACCTCATCAAACCCGTCTCCCTTCCTGCTTTGTGTGAATACCTCTCATCATCACTGTCAGAGGGCATGGAAAGTCCTCCGTCTTCCCTGAAATTACCCTGGGACTTGTCCTCTTGGTCACCTGATCAAACCCGTCTCCTTCCCTGCTTTTGTGCGAATACCTCTCATCATCACTGTCAGAGGGCATGGGAAAGTCCTCCGTCTTCCCTGAAATTCCACTGGGACTTATCCTCTTTGTCACCTGATCAAACCTGTCTCCTTCCTGCTTTGTGCGAATACCTCTCATCATCACTGTCAGAGGGGCATGGAAAGTCCTCCGTCTTCCTGAAATTCTACCTGGGACTTATCCTCTTGGTCACCTGATCAAACCTGTCTCCTTCCTGCTTTGTGCGAATACCTCTCATCATCTGTCAGAGGGGGCATGGAAAGCCCTCCGTCTTCCCCTGAAATTCCACCTGTGACTAATCCTCTTTGGTCACCTGATCAAAACCGTCTCCTTCCTGCTTTGTGCGAATACCTCTCATCATCACTGTCAGAGGGGCATGGAAAGTCCTCCGTCTTCCCTGAAATTACCACCTGGGACTTATCCACTTTGGTCACTTCATCAAACCCGTCTCCTTCCTGCTTTGTGCGAATACCTCTCATCATCACTGTCAGAGGGCATGGAAATTCCTCCGTCTTCCTGAAATTCTACATCTGGGACATATCCTCTTTGGTCACCTGACCTCAAACCCGTCTCCTTCCTGCTTTGTGAATACCTCTCATCATCACTGTCAGAGGGGCATGGAAAGCCCTCCGTCTTCCCTGAAATTCCACCTGGGACTTATCTCTTTGGTCACCTGATCAAACCCATCTCCTTCCTGGTTTGTGCGAATACCTCTCATCATCACTATCAGAGGGGCATGGAAGGCCCTCCGTCTTCCCTGAAATTCCCCCTGGGACTTATCCGCTTTGGTCACCTCCATCCGAACCCGTCTCCTTCTGCTTTGTGCGAATACCTCTCATCATCACTGTCAGAGGGGCATGGAAGGTCCTCCGTCTTCCCTGAAAATTCCACCCTGGTCACTTCATCAACTCCATCTCCTTCCTGCTTTGTGCGAATACCTCACATCATCACTGTCATCCCACCGTCTTCCCTGAAATTCCTCCTGGGACTCACCTGGTCACCTGATCAAACCCGTCTCCTTCCTGCTTTGTGCTTCATCACTGTCAGAGGGCATGGAAAGTCCTCCGTCTTCCTGAAATTCCACCTGGGACTTATCCTCTTTGGTCACCTGATCAAACCAGTCTCCTTCCTGCTTTGCGAATACCTCTCATCATCACTGTCTTGGAAAAAAGTCCCCCCTGAAATTCTCCTGGGACTTATCCTCTTTGGTCACTTCATCAAACCCGTCTCCTTCCTGCTTTGTGCGAATACCTCTCATCATCACTGTCAGAGGGGCATGGAAAACTCCTCCGTCTTCCTGGAAATTCCACCTGGGACTTATCCTCTTTGGTCACCTGATCAAACCTGTCTCCTTCCTGCTTTGTGCGAATACTTCTCATCATCACTGTCAGAGGGCATGGAAAGTCTCCGTCTTCCTGAAATTCCACCTGGGACTTATCCTCTTTGGTCACCTGATCAAACCTGTCTCCTTCCTGCTTTGTGCGAATACCTTCATCATCACTGTCAGAGGGGGCATGGAAAGTCCGTCTTCCCTGAAATTCTACCTGGGACTTATCCACTTTGGTCACCTGATCAAACCCGTCTCCTTCCTGCTTTGTGCGAATACCTCTCATCATCACTGTCAGAGCGGCATGGAAAGCCCTCCGTCTTCCCTGAAATTCTCCACCTGGGACTTATCCTCTTTGGTCACCTGATCAAACCCGTCTCCTTCCTGCTTTGTGCGAATACCTCTCATCATCACTGTCAGAGGGGCATGGAAAGTCCTCCGTCTTCCTGAAATTCCACCTGGGACTTATCCTCTTTGGTCACCTGATCAAACCTGTCTCTTTCCTGCTTTGTGCGAATACCTCTCATCATCACTGTCAGAGGGGCATGGAAAGCCCTCCGTCTTCCCTGAAATTCTACCTGGGACTTATCCTCTTTTGTCACCCTGATCAAACCCGTCTCCTTCCTGCTTTGTGAATACCTCTCATCATCACTGTCAGAGGGGCATGGAAAGCCTCCGTCTTCCCTGAAATTCCACCTGGGACTTATCCTCTTTGGTCACCTGATCAAACCTGTCTCCTTCCTGCTTTGTGCGAATACCTCTCATCATCACTGTCAGAGGGCATGGAAAGTCCTCCGTCTTCCCTGAAATTCTACCTGGGACTTATCCTTTGGTCACCTGATCAAACCTGTCTCCTTCCTGGTTTGTGCGAATACCTCTCATCACTGTCAGAGGGGCATGGAAAGCCTCCGTCTTCCCTGAAATTCCCCCTGGGACTTATCCTCTTTGGTCACCTGATCCAACCTGTCTCCTTCCTGGTTTGTGCGAATACCTCTCATCATCACTGTCAGAGGGCATGGAAAGCCCTCCGTCTTCCTGGAAATTCTACCTGAAATTCCATCTGGGAATTATCCTCTTTGGTCACCTCATCAAACCTGTCTCCTTCCTGCTTTGTGCGAATACCTCTCATCATCACTGTCAGAGGGGCATGGAAAGCCCTCCGTCTTCCATGAAATTCTCCTGGGACTTATTCTCTTTGGTCACCTGATCAAACCCATCTCCTTCATGCTTTGTGCAGATACCTCACATCATCACTGTCAGAGGGGGCATGGAAAGCTCTCCGTTTTCCTGAAATTCCCCTGGGACTTATCCGCTTTGGTCACCTGATCAAACCCGTCCTCCTTCCTGTTTGTACGAATACTCCTCATCTTCCATGGAAAGTTCTCCGTCTTCCCTGAAATTCACCTGGGACTGAATCAACCAGTCTCCTTATCATCACTGTCAGAGGGGCATGGAAAGTCCACCGTCCGTCCTTTATCCACGCTGGTCACCCTGAAAACCGTCTCCTTCACTGGGACTTCATCATCACTGTCAGAGGGGGCACCTTCCTGATTCAAACTTGTCCTCTTGGTCCTCTCCTGTCTCCTTCCTGAATACCTCTCATCATCACTGTCAGAGGGGGCATGGAAAGTCTCCGTCTTCCCCCTGAAATTCCACCTGGGACTTATCCTCTTTGGTCACCTCCATCAAACCTGTCTCCTTCCTGCTTTGTGCGAATACCTCTCATCATCACTGTCAGAATGGCATGGAAAGCCCTCCGTCTTCCCTGAAATTCCCCCTGGGACTTATCCTCTTTGGTCACCTGATCAAACCTGTCTCTTCCTGTTTTGTGAATACCTCCTCATCATCACTGTCAGAGGGGCATGGAAAGCCTCCGTCTTCCCTGAAATTCCACCTGGGACTTATCCTCTTGGTCACTTCATCAAACCCGTCTCTTCCTGCTTTGTGAATAATTCTCATCATCACTGTCAGAGGGCATGGAAAGCCCTCCGTCTTCCCTGAAATTCTACCTGGGACTTATCCTCTTTGGTCACCTGATCAAACCCGTCTCCTTCCTGGTTTGTGCCGAATACATCTCATCATCACTGTCAGAGGGGCATGGAAAGCCTCCGTCTTCCTGAAATTCTACCTGGGACTTATCCTCTTTGGTCACCTGATCAAACCCGTCTCCTTCTGGTTTGTGCGAATACCTCTCATCATCACTATCAGAGGGGCATGGAAAGCCTCCGTCTTCCCTGAAATTCCACCTGGTACTTATCCTCATTGGTCACTTCATCAAACCGTCTCCTTCCTGCTTTGTGCGAACACCTCTCATCATCACTGTCAGAGGGGCATGGAAGGTCCTCCGTCTTCCTGGTTTTGTGCAAATTCCCCCTGGGACTTATCCGTCTTCCCTGGTCCCCTGGGACTCAAACCCGTCTCTTTTCCTGCTTTGTGCAGATACCTCTCATCATCACTATCAGATGGGCATGACCCTCCGTCTTCCCTGAGAATTCTATCTCCGTCTTCCCATCAAACCGTTCCCCTGGGCATCCTCTTTGTTCCGTTTCCTAAATTCTCGCGGACTTATCTCCTTGGTCATCTGATCAAACCGTCTCCTTCCTGCTTTTGAATACCTCTCATCATCACTGTCAGAGGGGTATGGAAAGCCTCCGTCTTCCCCTGAAATTCTACCTGGGACTTATCCACTTTGGTCACCTGATCAAACCCTCTCGTTCCTGGTTTGTGCGAATACCTCTCATCATCACTCAGAGGGGCATGGAAAGCCCTCCTTCTTCCTGAAATTCCACACTGGGACTTATCCTCTTTGGTCACCTGATCAAACCCGTCTCCTTCCTGGTTTGTGTGAACACCTCTCATCATCACTGTCAGAGGGGGGCATGGAAAGCCTCCATCTTCCCTGAAATTCCATGTGACTAATCCTCTTTGGGACTTCAAACCCGTCTCCTTCCTTTTGTCACTCTCATCATCACTGTCAGAGGGGCATGGAAAAGTCCATCTGGGACTTGTCCTCTTTGGTTTGTTCAAACCTGATCCCTGTCATCATCACTGTCAGAGGGGCATGGAAAGCCCTCCGTCTTCCCTGAAATTCCCCCTGGGACTTATCCTCTTTGGTCACCTCATCAAACCTGTCTCCTTCCTGCTTTGTGCGAATACCTCTCATCATCACTGTCAGAGGGGCATGGAAAGCCTCCGTCTTCCCTGAAATTCCACCTGGGACTTATCCTCTTTGGTCACCTGATCAAACCCGTCTCCTTCCTGCTTTGTGCAATACTCTCTCATCATCACTGTCAGAGGGGCATGGAAAGCCCTCCGTCTTCCCTGAAATTCTACCTGGGACTTATCTCTTTGGTCACCTCCTCAAACCTGTCTCCTTCCTGCTTTGTGCGAATACCTCTCATCATCACTGTCAGAGGGCATGGAAAGTCCTCCGTCTTCCCTGAAATTCCCCCTGGGACTTATCCTCTTTGGTCACCTGATCAAACCCGTCTCCTTCCTGGTTTGTGCGAATATACTCTCATCATCACTGTCAGAGGGCATGGAAAGTTCTCCGTCTTCCCTGAAATTGGTCCTTCATTCTCCTTCCATCTCTGTCAACTGTCAGAGGGCATGGAAAGTCCACCGTCTTCCCTTTATCCACTTTGGTCAAACCCGTCCTTCCTGCTTCTGAATACCTCTCATCATCCAACCCCTCCGTCTTCCTTTCTACCTGGGACTTTCCTCTTTGTGCCCTGAATACCCCGTCTCCCTTCCACTTTGTGCGATCATCATCATCAGAGTCAGCATGGAAAGTCCTCCGTCTTCCCTGAAATTCCACCTGGGACTTATCCTCTTTGGTCACCCTGATCAAACCTGTCTCCTTCCTGCTTTGTGCGTATATTTCTCATCATCGCACTGTCAGAGGGGGCATGGAAAGTCCTCCGTCTTCCTGAAATTCCCCTGGGACTTATCCACTTTGGTCACCTGATCAAACCCGTCCTTCCTGCTTTGTGCGAACACCTCTCATCATCACTGTCAGAGGGGCATGGAAAGTCCTCCGTCTTCCTGAAATTCCCTGGGACTATCATCTTTAAATTTAAACCCGTCTCCTTCTGCTTTGGACCTTCGCATCATCACTGTCCAAGAGGGGCAAAAGTCCTCCGTCTTCCCTGAATTTCTACCTGGGACTTATCATCTTTGGTCATCAAACCCGTCTCCTTCTGGTTTGTGCGAATACATCTCATCATCACTGTCAGAGGGGCATGGAAAAGCCTCCGTCTTCCCTGAAATTCTACCTGGACTTATTCTCTTGGTCACCTGATCAAACCCGTCTCCTTCCTGCTTTTGTGCGAATACCTCTCATCATCACTGTCAGAGGGGCATGGAAAGTCCTCCGTCTTCCCTGAAATTCCTGACTTATCCAACTTTTGGTCACCTGATCAAACCCGTCTCCTTCCTGGTTTGTGCGAACACCTCTTATCATCTATCAGAGGGGCATGGAAAGTCCTCCACCTTCCCTGAAATTCTACCTGGTACTTATCCGCTTTGGTCACTTCATCAAACCCGTCTCCTTCCTGGTTTTGTGCGAATACCTCTCATCATCTCTATCAGAGGGGCATGGAAAGTCCTCCGTCTTCCCTGAAATTCCACCTGGGACTTATCCACTTTTGTCACCTCATCAAACCGTCTCCTTCCTGCTTTGTGCGAATACCTCTCATCATCACTGTCAGAGGGGCATGGAAAGTCCTCCGTCTTCCTGAAATTCCCTGGGACTGGGACTTATCCACTTTGTTCACCATCATCAAACCCTCCAATCTTCTGTCTCCTTCCTGCTTTGATGCTCCTTCCTGAATACCTCTCATCATCACTGTCAGAGGGGAAAGACATGGAAAACCTGTCTGTTCCTTGCTTTGTGAATACCGTCTTCCCTGTCAGAGGGGTATGAAAGCAAATTCCACTGGACTTATCCCCGTCTTTGGTCACCTGATCAAACCCTGTCTCCTTCCTGGTTTGTGCGAATACCTCTCATCATCACTGTCAGAGGGGCATGGAAATTCTCTCCGTCTTCCTGAAATTCCACCTGGGACTTATCTTCTTTGGTCACCTTCATCAAACCCGTCTCCTTCCTGCTTTTAGGTGAATCTCATCATCACTGTCAGAGGCATGGAAAGCCCTCCGTCTTCCTTTCCACCTGGGACTTATTCTCTTTGGTCCTGTCAAACCCGACTCCTTCCCCTGCTTTGAATACCTCTCATCATCACTGTCAGAGGGCAGGGGAAAGCCCTCCGTCTTCCCTGAAAATTCCACCTGGGACTTATCCTCTTTGGTCACTTCATCAAACCCGTCTCCTTCCTGCTTTTGTTACGAATACCTCTCATCATCACTATCAGAGGGCATGGAAAGCCCTCCGTCTTCCTGAAATTCCACCTGGGACTTATCCTCTTTGGTCACCTGATCAAACCCCGTCTCCTTCTAGTTTGTGGCGAATACCTCTCATCATCACTGTCAGAGGGGCATGGGAAACTCCTCCGTCTTCCTGAAATTCTACCTGGGACTTATCCTCTTTGGTCACTTCATCAAACCCGTCTCCTTCCCTGCTTTGTGCGAATACCTCTCATCATCACTGTCAGAGGGGCATGGAAAGCCCTCCGTCTTCCTGAAATTCTACCTGGGACTTATCCTCTTTGGTCACTTCATCAAACCCGTCTCCTTCCTGCTTTGTGCGAATACCTCTCATCATCACTGTCAGAGGGCATGGAAAGCCCTTTGGTCCCTGATCCAACCCATCTCCTTCCTGCTTTGTGTGAATATCTCATCATCACTGTCGGACTTCTTCCTGGAATTCACCTGGGACTTTCCTCTTTGATCACCTGATCAAACCCATCTCCTTCCTGCTTTTGTGCGAATACCTTCCTCATCATCACTGTCAGAGGCATGGAAAGCCCTCCGTCTTCCCTGAAATTCCACCTGGGACTTATCCTCTTTGGTCACTTGATCAAACCCATCTTCTTCCTGCTTTGTGCGAATACCTCTCATCATCACTGTCAGAGGGGGCATGGAAAGCCCTCCGTCTTCCCTGAAATTCTACCTGGGACTTGTCCTCTTTGGTCACTTCATCAAACCTGTCTCCTTCCTGCTTTTGTGAATACCTCTCATCATCACTGTCAGGAGGGGCATGGAAAGCCCTCCGTCTTCCCTGAAATTCTACCTGGGACTTATCCTCTTTGGTCACCTCATCAAACCCGTCTCCTTCCTGCTTTGAAAAGAATACCTCTCATCATCACTGTCAGAGGGGCATGGAAAGCCCTCCGTCTTCCCTGAAATTCTACCTGGGACTTATCCTCTTTGGTCACTGATCAAACCCGTCTCCTTCCTGCTTTGTGCGAATACCTCTCATCATCACTGTCAGAGGGGCATGGAAAGCCCTCCGTCTTCCCTGAAATTCCACCTGGGACTTATCCTCTTTGGTCACCTGATCAAACCCGTCTCCTTCCTGCTTTGTGCGAATACCTCTCATCATCACTGTCAGAGGGGCATGGAAAGCCCTCCGTCTTCCCTGAAATTCCACCTGGGACTTATCCTCTTTGGTCACCTGATCAAACCCGTCTCCTTCCTGCTTTGTGCGAATACCTCTCATCATCACTGTCAGAGGGGCATGGAAAGCCTCTCCCTGTCCTTCCCTTGGTTTGTGCGAATTCTCTCATCACTGTCAGAAATTCCACCTGACTTATCCTCTTTGGTCACCTGATCAAACCCGTCTTTTCCTGGTTTGTGCGAATACCTCTCATCATCACTATCAGAGGGGCAGAAAGCCCTCCGTCTTCCCTGAAATTCCACCTGGGACTTATCCTCTTTGTTCACCCACATCAAACCCGTCTCCCTTCCTGGTTTTGCGAATACCTCTCATCATCACTATCAGAGGGGCATGGAAAGCCCTCTTCCCTCGAAATTCCCCTGACTTATCCTTTGGTCACCTGATCAAACCTGTCTCCTTCATGGTTTCCAGTGAATACCTCTATCATCACTGTCAGAGGGCATGGAAGCCCTGGTCTTCCTTTCTACCTGGGACTTATCGTCTTTGGGTCACTTCATCAAACCCGTCTCCTTCCTGCTTTGTGTGAATACCTATCATCATCACTGTCAGAGGGCATGGAAAGCCCTCCTTCTTCCCTGAAATTCCACCTGGGACTTCTCTTTGGTCACCTGAAAATCCATCTCCTTCCTTGTTGTGGACTTATCCATCACTTTCAGAGGGCATGGAAAGCCTCCGATTCAAATTCCACCTGGGACTTATCCTCTTCCTTCATCAAACCCGTCTTTTCCTGCAAAGGAATACCTCTCATCATCACTGTCAGAGGGGCATGGAAAGCCCTCCGTCTTCCCCTGAAATTCCACCTGGGACTTATCCTCTTTGGTCACCTTCATCAAACCTGTCTCCTTCCTGCTTTGTGCGAATACCTCATCATCATCACTGTCAGAGGGGCATGGAAAGCCTCCGTCTTCCCTGAAATTCCACCTGGGACTTATCCTCTTTGGTCACTTCATCAAACCCGTCTCCTTCCTGCTTTGTGCGAATACCTCTCATCATCACTGTCAGAGGGGCATGGAAAGCTCTCCGTCTTCCCTGAAATTCCACCTGGGACTTATCCTCTTTGGTCACCTGATCAAACCCGTCTCCTTCCTGCTTTGTGCGAATACCTCTCATCATCACTGTCAGAGGGGCATGGAAACCTCCGTCTTCCTGAAATTCTACCTGGGACTTATCCTCTTTGGTCACTTCATCAAACCCGTCTCTTCCTGCTTTGTGCGAATACCCTCTCATCATCACTGTCAGAGGGCATGGAAAGCCTCCGTCTTCCCTGAAATTCCACCTGGGACTTATCCTCTTTGGTCACTTCATCAAACCCGTCTCCTTCCTGCTTTGTGCGAATACCTCTCATCATCACTGTCAGAGGGGCATGGAAAGCCCTCCGTCTTCCTGAAATTCTACCTGGGACTTATCCTTTTGGTCACCTCCATCAAACCCGTCTCCCTTCCTGGTTTGTGCGAATACCTCTTCATCATCACATCAGAGGGGCATGGAAACTCCTCCGTCTTCCCTGAAATTCTACCTGGGACTTATCCTCTTGGTCACTTCATCAAACCCCGGTCTCCTTCCTGCTTTGTGCGAATACCTCTCATCATCACTGTCAGAGGGGCATGGAAAGCCTCCGTCTTCCCCTCTTCCCCCTGGGACTTATCCGCTGGTCACTAATCAAACATCTCCTTCTGCTTTGACTCTCATCCATCACTGTCAGAGGGGCATGGAAATCTCTCCGTCTTCCCTGAAATTCCAAATTATCCTTTGGTCACTTCGATCCAACCGTCTCTTCCTGCTTTGTGCGAATACCTCATCATCATCACTGTCAGAGGGGCATGGAAAGCTCTCCGTCTTCCCCCTGAAATTCTACCTGGGACTTATCCAACTTGGTCACTTGATCAAACCCCATCTCCTTCCTGGTTTTGTGCGAATACCTCATCATCATCACTGTCAGAGGGCATCCGCTTTGGTCACCTGAAGCCGTCTCCTTCCGTCTTCCCTGAAATTCTACCTGGTACTTATCCGCTTTGGTCACTTCATCAAACCCGTCTCCTTCCTGCTTTGTGCGAATACCTCTCATCATCACTGTCAGAGGGGCATGGAAAGTCCTCCGTCTTCCCTGAAATTCCACCTGGGACTTATCCACTTTGGTCACCTGATCAAACCCGTCTCCTTCCTGCTTTGTGCGAATACCTCTCATCATCACTGTCAGAGGGGCATGGAAAGCCCTCCGTCTTCCCTGAAATTCCACCTGGGACTTATCCTCTTTGGTCACTTCATCAAACCCGTCTCCTTCCTGCTTTGTGCGAATACCTCTCATCATCACTGTCAGAGGGGCATGGAAAGCCCTCCGTCTTCCCTGAAATTCCACCTGGGACTTATCCTCTTTGGTCACCTGATCAAACCCGTCCCCTTCCTGCTTTGTGCGAATACCTCTCATCATCACTGTCAGAGGGCCATGGAAAGACTTCCGTCTTCCCTGAAATTCCACCTGGGACTTATTCCATCCTCTTGTCACCTGATCAAACCCATCTCCTTCCTGTCTTTGGGCAGAATACCTCCGTCTTCATCATCACTGTCAGAGGGGCATGGAAATCTCCCCTTCCTGAAATTCATCACTGTCTGGGACTTATCCTTTTGGTCACCTGATCAAACCCGTCTCCTTCCTGCTTTGTGCGAATACCTATCATCATCGCATCAGAATACCTCTCATCATCACTGTCAGAGGGCATTCCTGCTTTGTTAAACCCTCCGTCTTCCCTGAAATTCTTACCTGGGACTTATCCTCTTTGGTCACTTCATCAAACCCGCTCTCCTTCCTGCTTTGTGCGAATACCTCTCATCATCACTGTCAGAGGGGCGAAAGCCCTCCGTCTTCCCTGAAATTCTACCTGGGACTTATCCTCTTTGGTCACCTGATCAAACCCCGTCTCTCCTTCCTGCTTTGTGCGAATACCTCTCATCATCACTGTCAGAGGGGGCATGGAAAGCCCTCCGTCTTCCTGAAATTCCACCTGGGACTTATCCTCTTTTGGTCACCTGATCAAACCCGTCTCCTTCCTGCTTTGTGCGAATACCTCTCATCATCACTATCAGAGGGGCATGGAAGCCCTCCGTCTTCCCCAAAATTCCACCTGGGACTTATCCTCTTTGGTCACCTGATCAAACCCGTCTCCTTCCTGGTTTGTGCGAATACCTCTCATCACTATCAGGAAAGGTCAAATCCACCTGGGACTTATCCCCTTAGTCCTCCGTCTTCCCTGTGTGCGGAAATTCCCTGGGACTTATCCTCCTTTGAAATCACCTAGTCAAACCCGTCTCCTTCCTGCTTTGTTGCGAATACCTCTCATCATCACTATCAGAGGGGCATGGAAAGCCCTCCGTCTTCCCTGAAATTCTACCTGGGACTTATCCTCTTTGGTCACTTCATCAAACCCGTCTCCTTCCTGCTTTGTGCGAATACCTATCATCATCACTGTCAGAGAGGCATGGAAACTCCTCCGTCTTCCCTGAAATTCTACCTGGGACTTATCCTCTTTGGTCACTTCATCAAACCTGTCTCCTTCCTGCTTTGTGCAATACCTCTCATCATCACTGTCAGAGGGGCATGGGAAAGCCCTCCGTCTTCCTGAAATTCCACCTGACTTATCCTCTTTGTCACTTCATCAAACCCGTCTCCTTCCTGCTTTTGTGCGAATACCTCTCATCATCACTGTCAGAGGGGCATGGAAAGCTCTCCGTCTTCCTGAAATTCCACCTGGGACTTATCCTCTTGGTCACCTGATCAAACCCGTCTCCTTCCTGCTTTGTGCGAATACCTCTCATCATCACTGTCAGAGGGGCATGGAAAGCCCTCCGTCTTCCCTGAAATTCTACCTGGGACTTATCCTCTTTGGTCACCTGAATCAAACCCGTCTCCTTCCTGCTTTGTGAATACTTCTCATCATCACTGTCAGAGGGGCATGGAAAGCCCTCCGTCTTCCTGAAATTCTACCTGGGACTTATCCTCTTTGGTCACTTCATCAAACCCGTCTCCTTCCTGCTTTGTGCGAATACCTCTCATCATCACTGTCAGAGGGGGGACATGGAAAGTCCCCTCCGTCTTCCCTGAAATTCCACCTGGGACTTATCCTCTTTGGTCACCTGATCAAACCTGTCTCCTTCCTGCTTTGTGCGAATACCTCTCATCATCACTGTCAGAGGGGCATGGAAAGCCCTCCGTCTTCCCTGAAATTCCACCTGGGAATTATCCTCTTTGGTCACTTCATCAAACCTCTCATCATCCTCAGAGGCTTCCTTCCTAGTACCTGGGACTTCCTCTTTGGTCACCTCATCAAACCCGTCTCCTTCCTGCATCATCACTGTCAGAGGGGCATGGAAAGCCCTCCGTCTTCCCTGAAATTCCACCTGGGACTTATCCTCTTTGGTCACTTGATCAAACCCATCCTTCCTGTTTGTGCAATACCTCTCATCATCACTGTCAATGGAAAGCCCTCCGTCTTCCCCTGAAATTCTCCTGGGACTTATCCTTTGGTCACTTTCAAACCGTCTCCTTCCTGCTTTGTGCGAATACCTCTCATCATCACTGTCAGAGGGGCATGGAAAGCCCTCCGTCTTCCCTGAAATTCCACCTGGGACTTATTCTCTTTGATCACCTGATCAAACCCATCCCCTTCCTGCTTTGTGCGAATACCTCTCATCATCACTGTCAGAGGGGCATGGAAAGCCCTCCGTCTTCCCTGAAATTCCACCTGGGACTTATCCTCTTTGGTCACCTGATCAAACCCCTCCCATCCTGCTTTCATCACTGTCGAATGCCTTCCCCGTCTTCCTGATCATCACCTCTTTGGTCACCTGATCCAGGGCATGGACTATCAGAGGGGCATGGGCTCCGTCTTCCCTGGAATTCCACCTGGGACTTATCCTCTTTGGTCACTTCATCAAACCCGTCTCCTTCCTGCTTTGTGAATACCTCTCATCATCACTGTCAGAGGGCATGGAAAGCCCTCCGTCTTCCCTGAAATTCTACCTGGGACTTATCCTTTTGGTCACTTCATCAAACCGTCTCCTTCCTGCTTTGTGCGAATACCTATCATCATCACTGTCAGGGGGGGAAAGCCCTCCGTCTTCCCCTGAAATTCCACCTGACTTATCCTTTGATCCTTCATCAAACCCATCTCCTTCCTGCTTTGTGCAGATACCTCTCATCATCACTGTCAGAGGGGCATGGAAAGACCTCCGTCTTCCCTGAAATTCCTAATATTCTCTTTATCCACTGATCAAACCCATGATTGCGAATACCTGTCTCCTTCCCCGTGGAAAGACTTTCTTCCCTGTTCTACTAGGAATTATCCACTCATCAAACCCTCTCCTTCCGGCATTGGAAAGCTCTCCGTCACTCACAACATGGAAATTCCGTCTTCACTGAGAAATTCCACCTGGACTTATCCTCTTGGTCACCTGATCAAACCTGTCTCCTTCCTGCTTTGTCGAATACCTCTCATCATCACTGTCACAGAGGCATGGAAAGCCCCTCCGTCTTCCTGAAATTCTACCTGACTTATCCTCTTTGGTCCTTCATCAAACCCATCTCCTTCCTGCTTTGTGCGAATACCTATCATCATCACTGTCAGAGGGGCATGGAACCCTCCGTCTTCCCTGAAATTCTACCTGGGACTTATCCTCTTTGGTCACCTGATCAAACCCATCTCCTTCCTGCTTTGTGAATACCTCTCATCATCACTGTCAGAGGGCATGGAAAGCCCTCCGTCTTCCCTGAAATTCCACCTGGGACTTATCCTCTTTGGTCACCTGATCAAACCCATCTCTTCCTGCTTTGTGCGAATACCTCTCATCATCACTGTCAGAGGGGCATGGAAATCACTCCGTCTTCCTGAAATTCCATCCTCTTTGGTCACCTGATCAAACCTTGTCATCATCACTATCAGATCCCCTTCGTCTTCCCTATTCCACCTCCTCCCTGATCAAATCTCCTTACCTCTCATCATCAATATCAGAGGGCATGGAAAGCCCTCCGTCTTCCCCTGAAATTTACCTGGGACTTATCTCTTTGGTCACCTGATCAAACCCGTCTCCTTCCTGGTTTGTGAATACCTCTCATCATCACTGTCAGAGGGGCATGGAAAGTCCTCCGTCTTCCCTGAAATTCCCCCTGGGACTTATCCCTCTTTGGTCACCTGATCAAACCTGTCTCCTTTCCCTGCTTTGTGAATACCTCTCATCATCACTGTCAGAGGGCATGGAAAGTCCTCCGTCTTCCCTGAAATTCCACCTGGGACTTATCCACTTTTGGTCACCTGATCAAACCTGTCTCCTTCCATGCTTTTTCCTGTGAATACCTCTCATCATCTGTTTGTGCAGAGGGGCATGGAGTCCTCGTCTTCCCTGAAATTCCACCTGGGACTTATCCTCTTTGGTCACCTGATCAAACCTGTCTCCTTCCTGCTTTGTGCGAATACCTCTCATCATCACTGTCAGAGGGGCATGGAAAGTCCTCCGTTTCCCTGAAATTCTACCTGGGACTTATCCTCTTTGGTCACTTGATCAAACCCGTCTCCTTCCTGGTGCGAATACCTATCATCATCACTGTCAGAGGGGCATGGAAAGCCCTCCGTCTTCCTGAAATTCCACCTGGGACTTATCCTCTTTGGTCACCTCATCAAACCCGTCTCCTTCCTGCTTTGTGCGAATACCTCTCATCATCACTGTCAGAGGGGCATGGAAAGCCCTCCGTCTTCCTGAAATTCCACCTGGGACTTATCCTCTTTGGTCACCTGATCAAACCCGTCTCCTTCCTGCTTTGTGTGAATACCTCTCATCATCACTGTCAGAGGGCCCTCGGAATGCTTTGGTCCGTCTCCTTCCCAAATTCCACATGGGACTTATCCCCTTTGGTCACCTCTTTGGTCATCAAACCTGTCTCCTTCCTGCTTTGTGCGAATACCTCTCATCATCACTGTCAGAGGGGCATGGAAAGCCCTCCGTCTTCCCTAAATTCCACCTGGGACTTATCCTTTGGTCACCTGATCAAACCCGTCTCCTTCCTGGTTTGTGCGAATACCTCTCATCATCACTGTCAGAGAGGCATGGAAAGCCCTCCGTCTTCCCTGAAATTCTACCTGGGACTTATCCTCTTTGGTCACTTCATCAAACCCGTCTCCTTCCTGCTTTGTGCGAATACCTCTCATCATCACTGTCAGAGGGGCATGGAAAGCCCTCCGTCTTCCCTGAAATTCTACCTGGGACTTATCCTCTTTGGTCACCTGATCAAACCCGTCTCCTTCCTGGTTTGTGCGAATACCTCTCATCATCACTGTCAGAGGGGCATGGAAAGCTCTCCGTCTTCCCTGAAATTCCATCTGGGAATTATCCTCTTTGGTCACCTGATCCAACCCGTCTCCTTCCTGCTTTGTGCGAATACCTCTCATCATCACTGTCAGAGGGGCATGGAAAGCTCTCCGTCTTCCCTGAAATTCCTCCTGGGACTTATCCTCTTTGGTCACTTCATCAATCCCGTCTCCTTCCTGCTTTGTGCGAATACCTCTCATCATCACTGTCAGAGGGGCATGGAAAGCTCTCCGTCTTCCCTGAAATTCCATCTGGGACTTATCCTCTTTGGTCACCTGATCAAACCCGTCTCCTTCCTGCTTTGTGCGAATACCTCTTATCATCACTGTCAGAGGGGCATGGAAAGTCCTCCGTCTTCCCTGAAATTCTACCTGGGACTTATCCAACTTTGGTCACCTGATCAAACCCGTCTCCTTCCTGGTTTGTGCGAATACCTATCATCATCACTGTCAGAGAGGCATGGAAACTCCTCCGTCTTCCCTGAAATTCCACCTGGGACTTATGCTCTTTGGTCACTTCATCAAACCCGTCTCCTTCCTGCTTTATGCGAATACCTCTCATCATCACTGTCAGAGGGGCATGGAAAGCCCTCCGTCTTCCCTGAAATTCCACCTGGGACTTATGCTCTTTGGTCACTTCATCAAACCCGTCTCCTTCCTGCTTTGTGCGAATACCTCTCTCATCATCACTGTCAGAGGGGCATGGAAAGCCCTCCGTCTTCCTGAAATTCCACCTGGGACTTATCCTCTTTGGTCACTTCATCAAACCCGTCTCCTTCCTGCTTTGTGCGAATACCTCTCATCATCACTGTCAGAGGGGCTGGAAAGCCCTCCGTCTTCCCTGAAATTCCACCTGGGACTTATCCTCTTTGGTCACTTCATCAAACCCGTCTCCTTCTTCTTTTGCGAATACAACATCATCACTGTCAGAGGGGCAGGAAAGCCCTCCGTCTTCCCCTGAAATTCCACCTGGGACTTATCCTCTTTGGTCAATCAAACCCGTCTCCTTCCTGCTTTGTGCGAATATCTCTCATCATCATTCTCAGAGGGGCATGGAAAGCCCTCCGTCTTCCCTGAAATTCTACCTGGGACTTAAAAAAATGAAAAAGCAAAAATAGAGAAATGGTGAAAAAGCACAAACAGAAAAAAGAGAAGGTAGCAGAAAAGGAAAATAAACAACAAAGAATAAAACAGAAAAAGAAAATAAAAAAAATTTCAAAAAAGTTAAGAAAAGGAAAAAAGCAGATATTCAATAAAAGTGAAAAAAAGCAAAAAACAAAAGTAGAAATAGAAAAAAAGGATAAGCAGAAAAGAATAAAAAAACAAATAATAGAAAAAAGCAGGAAATAAAAATGAAAAATGGAGAAAACAGGAAAGGGAAAAAGTAGAAAGAAAGGAGAAAAGGAAAGAGAGGAAAAATAGAAATAGAAAAAAAAGAAAAACACATAAAAGGTAAAAAAGAGAAATGAGGAGAAATTAGTAAGGAAAGAAAGGAAAAAAGAAAATTAAAAAATGTAAACAAAAACAAAAGACTAAAATTGAAAAAGTACAGACAAAGTAAAGAGTGAAAAAGGTAGAAATGGAAAATTTTCTGCTTTTTCTTTTTTTTTTTTTTTCGTTTACTGCTTATTTCTTCCCTTTTTACTTTATATTTTCCGCTTTTTTTCCATTCTTTCATTTCCTTTTTTTCTTTTTTCTTCTTTTCCTTTTCTGCATTTTTACAATTTTTTTTTACTTCTGCTTTTCTGGTTTTACTTTTCTTAAATATTTGCTTCTCTCCTTTTCTTAACTTTTCTTCTTTTTCCCCTTCTTACCTTTTCTGCTTTTTATTCCTTTCTTCGTTTATACATTTTTCATTTTCTTTTTCACCTTTTTTCTTTTTTTCTTTTAACCTTTACCTTATCTGCTTTTTCCCCATTTCTTTCGATATCGGCTTTTTTGTATTTTTGCTTTATCACTTCTTTGCTTTTTCTCTGGTGTTCCTTCGTTTTCTCCTTTTTTTAGCTTTTTTGCTTTTATCACTTTTATTCCTTTTCTGTTTTTTTCCCTTTCTTAACTCTTCTACACTTACATTTTTTCATTTCCTTTTTTCACTCTTTTCTTTTTTTTTTATTCTCTTTTTTAACTTTTCTGCTTTTCTCCTTTTCTTTTCGGTTCTTCTTTTTTTCACATTTTTCCTCATTTTTTTACAATTAATTTTTTTATCCATTTTTTCTTTTTATTTTTAGCTTTTTCTCTTTCGTCCTTTTCTGCTTTTTTCCCTTTCTGCTTTTCTTGTTTTTTTCCTTTTCTTTACTTTTCTACTTTTATCACTTTTATTTCTTTGGTGTTTTTTCATTTTCTTACATTTTCTGCACTTTTCCTTTTTTTATTTTCCTCAGTTTTACATTTTTTTTTTCTTTTTTCACTTTCATCCTTTTCTGGGGTTTTTTCCTTATTTCCCCTTTTCTTCTTTTTTCCCCTTTCTGCACTTTTCTACTTATTATCATTTTTTTTTACCTTTCCTGCTTTTTTTCGCCTTATTCTAATTTCATTTCCCGCTCTTATCTTTTTTTCTATTTCTGCTTTTCCCCCTTATTATTCTATTTCTGCTCTTCTGTTTTTTCTTTTTCTTAACTTTTCTACTTTTTCCCTTTCTTACATTTTCTCCTCTTTTTTACTTTTTTTACATTTTTCATTTTCTTTTTTCATTTTTCTTCTTTTTTCCATTTTTTAAAAATCTTTTTTCTCAATTTTTTCTTTCCTTTTTGTTATTTCCATTTTCAGTTTTTTCTCTTTTTTTTCCTTTTCTACTGTTTTTCTATTCATGATTTTCTGTTTGTCTTTCAATTTCTTAGCTTTTCTGCGCATTTCCATTTTTCTTTTTGTTCTTTTTTACATTTTCTTATTTCAGTTTTTCCCTTCACTGGTTTTCCCCTTCTTTGCCTTTTTTATCTTTTCTACTTTTTCTTCATTTTTCTTTACTTTTCTGGTTTTTCTCATCATTTTTTTCTATTTCTGCCTTTTACCCATTTTGTTTTTTCACTTTTCACTTTTCAGTTTTTTTTTTCCGTTTCTGCTGTTTTATTTCTTTCCTTTTCTGTTTTTTCCCAATTTTCTCTTTTCTTTTTATTCCTATCCCTTTTCCTTTTTATTTTATGCTTTTTCTGTTTTTCCCCTATTCTGCTTTTCTCACTATTTTTTCTGTTTCTGCTGTGACATCCACCGGTGGTCGCAGCGCCAATATGTGACGTCCTCTGGTCGCGACGCCAATATGTGACACTGCGCTGTCGGCCTGTGGTCAACTCCCAGTTGCGGCGCAAAGCTGTAAGGTTTCTTCCACCAGCGTTTTGGGGTTGACTCTTTGTCGCTGCCACCAGCCTGTGTCCCGGTCGATCTGGTCGTTCCTGGTTCGATACCAGCTTTTCGTTCTAATCTCACTTCCAACGTCTGGTTACCGAAGAAACTACTTTGATCTCAAGTCTAACCTACCCACGTTGTGACTTTGATCTTAGGTAGACGAAATCAATCAGGCTTCGGGCCGTAGTGCAAGCTGAATCTGAGGTGAAGGTGATATCGCACAAGCGTAAGTAAAAGAAGCAATAAAACAAAACTCAAGAGGTTCAAATATGTTGAGAATAACAAATTAACTTTATCCGTCTGTTATATACAGGAGTGTGTTTCTCTCCCAGCCCGTTCATATAGATTTGTGACACTTTTGCGTTTCTTAAGCGAGTTTTGGTATCTTAAGTCGTTCGTCAATATAGCTTGCTTTTTGGTAGGAAGTCGAAGTCGGAAGGACGTGGAAATCTCTCGGTCAGCTTCTGTGAGGCAACGGTCTCCAACTGAAACTGCGTTCAACTGCGCAAACTGAGTAACTAACTGATTAGCTGCCTCGAGACGTTCGTTTATATGGATAGCGACCAAAGCCCAGTGTTGAGCCTGACGTGGCTTGGGTTCCCGATAATTCTCGATTGCCAGCAAGAAATCTCTTTGTTCTTAGGCCAGGAAAATTAATTACTTCCCATTTTTGGGGGTTTCTTCCTCTCCTCTCTCATATTGGTATCTCATACCAATCCCCTCAGTGGGTGTTAACAACTTCTCCGTCTTTCTCATACATTCACCTCCGCCTATCACCCATACTACCACTTGACCAATAATCTCTCGGCAGTGTGGGTGTGGCTAGACTGGCCCACTGAAAATTGTTATCCAGAATTTTGTTTACAAAATCTGTTTTTTCTTTTTTTCCTTCGGCCAAAACATTTTTTTACAAACCCCAGATTGCCAAATAATTCTTATCACATCTTTCTTTTGGGGACACCCAAAATTCACTTAGTCGGGTCTCTCTACCGACTCATCAATCACTGTGAAAACCCGACACCTGGGTTTTCTGCTAAGTCAGCTTTTAGCTGGGAGATCCGTATTTTACCTGAGAATCAAATTCTTTATTTTTCTCATGCCTTAAAATCCTCTTATTACCAGATGCCCATTGTCGACGATGCTGATTCTGACGTCAACAGTTTGAATAAGCAATAATAATACGATTTTCTTCCTCAAGCCAGAATTCTAACACACACCAGATGGTTCCCCTCGCTGGACCCAGGAATTAAAATTAAATGATATCTCTGAAAGATAACTAATATCGCTTCTCTCTGTCTGTACCGCGGTGGTCTCAAGCCAAAGTTTTTTTTATGGCCGCCATGTGTCGGTTGGCTTTGTTTTTCTTTCTGAATTCTGTTTCTCTTGGCGCGTCACTCCTTTATCATGACATTAATCAGTTTTGACAGAATCTCATATCTCGCTTTTTCTTACGGATTTTCTGTCTTGTGCGAAAAGTATCTTTCTTCGTAAATAAAATAAAATCTTCTTTTTAATGTCGCTCAGTCTATCTTTCGATATAGCTCTTTCTCGTCTTAAGTCTTTCCTGTTTTTAATTTCTATGGTTAATTAGTTAGTCAATTACCATAGCTAAATAGTGTCACACTGCTATTTTCCCTAATTTCTTTTTTTGCTCTTTCCATTTTCATCCTTTTCTTCTATTTGTACCTTTTCTGCTTTTTTTTGCATTTCTGCTTTTCCCTTTTATAACTTTTTCCCTTTTTTTCCTTCTTTTTACTGCTGTTTTTCCCCATTTTTTTCCTTTTCCGTTTTTTCCTTTTCTACTTTTTTTCCTTTTCTGATTTTTCTATTTTTCTTTTGCTTGTTATTTTTTTCTTCGTTTTCTTGTTTTTTTCTTTTTTTAACCTTTCCACTCTTTCATTTTTTTCCTTTACTTCTCTTTGTCTTTTCTCTTTTTTTCTGTTTCTCTTTTTTCTATTTGTGTTTTCCCTTTTTTCATTTTCTGCTTTTTTCCGTCTACTTTTCCCTTTTCTATTTTTTGATTATTTTCTTTTTTTCTTTCGTTCTTTTTTAGCTAATTTTTCTTCTTGTTCTTTCTTTTTTTTCTGCCTTTCTCCTTTTCTCCCTTTTTCTACTTTATCCTGTTTTTCCTTTTCTGCTTTTTCACTTTTTGCTCCTTTCTGTTTTTTCACTTTTTATTTCTTTTTAGTTTTTTCTCTTTTTTATTTGTTTCTTTTTCTGCCTTTTTTAAAATTGTTTTTCCTTTTTTTATTCTCTGTTTTTCCTTTTCTGCTTTTATCCATTTTTTCTTTTTCTTTTTCCCTTTTCTGTTTTTTCAATTTTTTGCTTTTTCACTTTTTCTTTTTTCTGCTTTTTCTCGTTTTTTTCCTTTTCTCCTTTTTTCCTTTTTTACGTTTCTTCTTTGCTTGTTTCCTTTTCTACTTTATTCCTTTTGTCTTTTTTCTTTCTAAATGTATGTTTTTCGTTGTTTGTTGCTTTGATATAGTTTAATTGGAATCAGCCAATAATTTTGGATATTCACCTCTAAATTAAAGCTTATAGCAAAGACAACCACCATCTATACCAAATATCACCTTCTTTGGATGAAGACCGACCTTTAGTATGAATGAAATGATAGTTAATTTTGCTTGCCCTCCACTGCTGTTTAACAGCGTTACTGTTAAGTATCCACTTATCACAGTTTGTTTAAAAAATGGAAGATTTAAATATGTTCTAGCGCGGGGGGGGGGGTCTTGGAACTTATGGTAAACCTATTTATTATGCTTAACTATTTTCATGTTTATTTACCCTTCTTTAGAAATAAGGTCAAATATCATGTTTCTTGAATACCTTTCAAGAGCTGTCATTTTGAAACTGTAATAATTGCATGATTTTTTTCCCTTGAAAATGTTAAGCCAAAGTTGCTTACCTTACATTACACATTGTCTATCCGAGAATTTTAGAAGCAAATAAACTCAAAACGGAATAGAATTTTAATAATTATTCGATGAAGTTACATATATAAAAGATTAACCAAACACTAAAAAAATGATTACCTGTGTAAAGAATATGCATTTGTGAAAAGTGAAAGAAAATATATATATATATATATATATATATATATATATATATATATATATATCATATTACTTTTGTTGCCAACAGTGTAAGCTTTCAGCCTTTCTATGTAGGCCTTTATTTCTGCTTTACACTCTTGCTGCTCAACAAGGGTTGGTAAGTCACAAAGTTTGACTGTCACTGCATTTGCTGGTCTTGAGAGGCAGTCTGCAACAGTATTTTCTTCCCCATGAATATATAGTATATAAGTTATATATTCAGATATTAACGACAGGTGTCTATGTTGTTTATCTGATTTCATTGGTGTTGGTTTATGGAAGGCTAATGTGAGTGGCTTATGGTCAGTGACATGTCTACCTTCAATTTTGGAATTGCAACAATGCCAAGTAAGCTGCCAGTAACTCCTGGTCAAATGCGGACCATTTTCTTTGGTTTCAGAATTTCTTAGAGAAAAACCTTATAGAAACAGTTCTGTCATCAATCATCTGATACAATGCTGCACCTACAGCATAGTTGGAATTATACGACATCAGATGATAATGAGTTATATCTGAGTCGGGGTAAGGAAGTGTAGTGAGTTTGCCCAGGACATTTTTAATGTTCGTAAATGCTTCTTTTTCAACTTCATCAAGATGTATGGTTTTGCGCAAATGGTACGTTTTTTATCAGTTTCAGTGAGTGGTAGAAAATGTCTTCTACCTGTGGAAAAAGTTTCCTCTAAAAGTTAACAATTCCTAGGAAACGTTGGTTCTGGTAATTCACTTATTTCTTGCTTTTTCTCTTTTGTGGGTGTTAAACCTTCTGGACTAATGTGATGGTGCAGAAATTCGAGTTCCTTCTTTAAGAATTAGCACTTGTCCAGTGATATTTTTTAGATTATTTTCTTGTAAAATCCCTAGAACTTTTTCTAAATCCATATGTTTGTTCTTCTGTTTTGGAGAAAACTAGAACATGATCCACATAGATAAAAACACGGTTGACCTGGAGACATATATTCCATCTTTACAGTTAACTAGCATCCCATCTCAGAAAGTCAGCACCCAAAAGTGGATTGACAGTGTCAGCCATCACTACAGCCCATCTATACGAGCAGAGAAGTCCTGGAAAGTCTTTGTCAATAGACGCTTCTCTATAACATTGGATATCTTGTCCGTTGACTGAGGATAGGCGGACGGTGTTGGGTTTAGGTAGAGGCCGTTGACATGTTTGCTGGGTAGTATTGTCACTGAAGCCTCAGTATCAATTTGCAACTTCAAAAAGCGGCAAATCACTGGTTGCAATGGCAATTCGCTCTGAAAGTTTTCCAAATCAGACTCTTCATTCGGCATAGGTCTTCTGGCTGGTGACGTTGATCTGGAATTTGGCTGTATTTTACAGGCAGTATTATTTGGCCACTGGCACTATGGTTTACATGTCTTGATTTTTTTCCGAGGCATACTTGGTGTCTCTGATTTTCATAAAATGGAAGTACTCCAGTATGCATTTCAATGTTGGGGTTTGTTTGTCCTTCGGATTTGCCTTCTGTAGTGTTCAGATGTGTTTTGAACTATATCTGTCTTCTGAAATGGCAAAAGATCATCACCTAAGATAACAAGTTCATTTAATGTCAAGTTCCTAGCAGCGGCTAATACTGTGGAAGGCATAGCTTGTGTGAAACGATGCCTGACTAAGTCTCCTCCCATTCCTACTTTGTCAGCTGTTCTCATTAATTTTTGCAGGTAATTAGAGAGCCTGTCATTAATCCGTTTTTCAAAAAGTTCCGGTTTTGTTTTTTCGTAACTTTTGATGACAGCTTCTTTCACGTCCTCATATTTTTTCGCCGGGATTTTCGTTACAAGTTCAGGTAGTAATGCCGACAGAACA